TAGACATCTTTCTTTGTCCCGTCTAGCGTCCATATGATAGTGTGAATTTTTCGGTCTCATGTTTGTTTTCGCCATCAAAGACATTTGTGTGGAATGGACTGGGATATATCTCGGGGTCCCTCAGAATGTTTTTTTTTTCGGTTAACAGAGCAATGAAGTTTTATGTTTTAATCTTTAGTTAATTATAAATGCCACGTACTTATTTTGTTCTCATATAATAAAATATTGCCTTTCTGAGGATTTATGAGCATTTTCCATGTCTTTTTTAAGCTGGCATTGACCGGATAGAACACAATGGATTTAAGGAGCAATAATGGGATAAATTCTAGAAGTTCCTCTGAGCTTGAAAAAATACCAGCTCCAAATCCGCCCTTGAAACAACTACGTTTGTAATAACAAAGCTAATGTATGGTGAAATATCAGCGAAAAAGTAAAAAAAAGTACTCACGTTCGCCGAAAAGAAATTTCAAGTACAGCTCTATCACTTAAGTATTGTTCAAAGTTGTCTGGATGAATTCAAAGACACACGTATGACCTCGACATGGCCAAGCTTCAGTGTAGGCTGTCGAAATGGACTGCCTTTTCCGAATGAATGCATCAGATTGCTGAACTTGCACACGTAGTTTGTCAGTCGTGTTCACCTCAAATGGTCAGTTGCTTTACAACATGGAAAATTTTTCCCAAATTCAAAGTTCGATATTTTCGCTTCGATAGGTTCTTGACCACGTTCTTGGAAAACACGTGCAGAGTTATATTTCTTTTATTTATAGACATATAGGGTTTAGGGCTATGTCATATTCTCAATTTTTGATCTTAGAAATGTTTCTACGTATCTTTTTGATCTTTGGACTGTCCTAAAAAAGTGATATCTCATTTTTTTTCCAAAGTTGGCTATAACTCAAGTTATCGAAATTTTGACTTCGCAATAAGTTTCTTCTGGCTCGACCTCGTATTTTTTTATGATTACCCTCTCCATGCAAATAGGACATTTCTCCGGTTTCATCCTAACTACCTACACCTCAAAAATGCAATTGCTAAGTAACAATAATATTAACCGTAGACTTGACAGTATAATTGAATTTTCTCAAAAATGCCTAGTATTTTTCAAAAAGAACGAGATAGTTGTATAAGGTTATTGGGAGAAGGTAACTTTAATTTATAATGGTGATCGGTCCTCAATATACCGTTTAAGGCGTAGCTATCAGGATACGGGGAAACTTAAACTCCAAAAAAATACGAGGTCTGACCGACAGACATTTATTGCAGGAACTAAGGCAAAGGAGGACCCTTTCATCCAGAGTTATTAGCACTTCTTACCAAACCGAAAAATACTTTTGGTATTATGCCAATGGAATACAACCCTACATTAAACGTAGTAATTTTGATTTATTCATTGAGCTGTTTAATTGCAAACTAAAATTTATAAATTCTGTTTTCATTACAAAATGTCATAGTAGCAAATTTTTACTGCACGCCACTGGAGACAATAACGTAAAATCTTTTCTCGGGCGCAAGAAATTCCACTTTATGCAACTGTATGGGAAAAAATACCCATTCTCAAGAGAAACCCCAAAAAAGTCCCTTTTTAGGGATAAATGTAACACTTTTTTAAAATTCGATAACTTGAGTTTTAGCCAACTTTCGAAAAATTTGAGTAATGTGATTTTTAAGAATAGCCCAAAGATCAAAAAGATGCATAGAAAAATTTCGAAGGTCAAAGATTGAGAATCAGACTAGCCCCAAACTTTGCTAAAAAACCTGCTCACCCTGTATAAGCGGATGAATAAAAGAAATAAACCGGTCAAAGAGTTGGTCAAGAACCTCCCGAATACCGCTACTCGACATATCTTTCCGTTCCGAAAATATCAAGATTTGAATTTTGATAAAATTTTCCATGTTGCAAAGCAACTGTTCACCAGTTTAGGTCTGACAACTTCGATACTGCTGTATAAGTTTGCAATTTTTTGTTTTTGTTTTTTAGAACCGATGACTAAAGATTTTGAAAAAGAGGGTTGAAGCTAATGGCAATGAAAGATGCGCTTTGGTCAAGAGGAGAGACGGCTTGCAACTGCCCTGGGTGCATGAACCAGAAGGCTGATCCCAAATATTAAAATTTGGATTGGCAAGGGAGCGGTGCAGAAAGATTACTATAACTGAACAGTTCCTCACAGGACATTATTTTGACAGCTACCTGAAGAAGGTAGGAATGAGAGAGTACGCGATCTGAGTATATTGCAATGAGGAGCATGATATTTGCTCGAACGTACAAGTACATAGGTACAAATATATGTATGTATACTACGTAGAGTAGATGACTTATACCTTCGGTATGAAAACCTAGCGCAACGCTACCCGCTATGAAGGGGTGGGATGTTTGCTGACTAAGGCGCTTTAATGAGTATGTCGCTTATGGAGAATCTCACACTTCGAGCAGCAAAGACCGGCAGAGCAATACTGTCAAATGTTCATGCCTGAGAATGGCTAAAAGCTTTCCCATGTCAAAAAAAAAGTTATACGAGGACGTTACAATATTGCGCTGTAATAGCCTAAATCGGTCAGTGACTCCATTATTCTAGTAACCACCTTAAACATACTGTTTTCCACAGAGATATCCACCATGAAAGTATTCTAGACGCATACTTTCCGTGTCCCCAGTATCAAATAAAGAACGTCGGTGGAGGTAGCGTAGAAACTAAAAAGAACAAAAAAAGCGCAATCCACCGGAATACATTATAAATTACGCTCCGGAGACTATGTTTACTGGAATAGACAGCCAACTCTACGGAGTTACCGCATATACACCATCGCACAGCAATGGTGCACCCGGCGAGATATTCCAAACAAATTACGCCAAAAAGTCAGATTTTTCCCAAAATAAAAACGCAGTGACCAAATCCATAAAAATGCCACATCTTGCTGTTTTTTAAAATGTCGGTCAAAGATGGCTTTTACAGTGTTTCAAGTGCGCAACTAGATGGAAATCTGACGAACGCCACCAACCAATAGTTTTAACAAGCTCATTTTCATCATCATCACATACGGTAAAGACGATAAAGAAGCCCTTGTGATTTGTAGCCCATAACCGCTCCATTTCAGAACTATGTACAGACATGTCGCACCACACCATCACGGTCAACGTGTCAAGTGCATGTTTGCATATTAGACACAGCTAAAAAGGAGGTGACCAGCCACATACAGCGTTGATGCGGTACGACATCTCTGAGCGTAGCGCAGAACGTCGAGCGTTTGTGAGCTAGCAAGCGTAAGGGCTTTTCTATCGTTTTAATCGTATGGGATGATGAAAATCGGCTTAGCAAAACCATTGGTATGTGGCGAACGTCATATTTTCATCGACTTGAGCCCAATGTTTCGAGTTTTTCAAAGGATCTAATCCACTTGTTTGCTTCCCGTCTGTCTCCACGACTAGATATAATATACCGCATCAACTCATCAGAGTTACTAATGAGCACGAAACAGCGCTGTCTGCGGTTGGTCATGGTTAGAGGAAATAGAAAGCAATCATGGACTTTTCCAACAGTGTTTCACAATTGTTCTTTAAAATGAGTTTTTTACAATATATTCTAAAGGCATGTAGCTTTTTATTGCATACATACTGAGACCAAAGCAACGCCAATCAATAAACTAATAAAGAAGTTATTGCAAAAAAGCTGGTTCGACAGATTTGGATGAAACTTGGAGAGCAATGCATAAGGATGCTTTCAAATTGCGACCATGTTGAAAAGATATTTTTCGAAAAAAAAATTATTTACGTAGATTCCGTTTCGATCATAGTAGTCCATCTACAGAAAGCACACTTCCCAAAATAATTCTAAAGAGTATTTAGAAAATGTTCCCAGGAATGTTTCCCTGTGAATGTAATAAAAAAATAATTTGATTAATGTTATTTTCTGATTACTTTTTTCTTGTTTAGCAATAAGATCATTTGTAGATAGATTTGGTTTTATTTAACGAAACTGATTCTACCAATTTTGGGGGAACAGCATTTTAATTACAGTATCTTATTTTTCCATACAGTCACGTCCGTCTTTTAATTTTGGCACCTAACGACGTATTTTTTTATAGTGAGACAGCCGCGTGAGCGGAAATACCGGGGTACCGCAACTGCTATAAGAAGCTTAATCCGATTTTTGAGCTGCCTAAGGTTAACAAGGCTGGGAAAAACGACAATCAAGAAACAAAGGAGCGATCGGAACGACCATTCTAGATGCTGGCGGATTCGTCTGGCAGACTCAACGCACTGCGTCTACATGGAGGAGAGCCCTGAGGGACAAAGTCCGTTGATATAGCGATAAAAGCCGGACATCCCTCCTCTGAACAGCATCGAGCATGGATAATAGATCGGAACGGAATGAACGCTAGGGCGCTTCTTGTTAGTCAAGGTACAGTACTGTTTTGGAAGCATTACACTGCTCCAAAATCATTGCGTCTCCACGCAGCAATAAACGACTACACAGGGCCAGTCACTCGACACCATTTCGCGTGGAAGCATCTCGTAACGTGTGTCTAGCTTTCAGGGCCATAGAAATTAGCCCAAATACTCAGCTCAATGTTTAGGAAGTTGCATTACTGTGTGGTAGTGTATATACTATGAGGGTGTTACACGTTACTTACTCCTGTTTTCTAGCTCGACATGGAGAATCTTAAGTTTTTGCAGAGCTTGGTTTGAGAATATGAGCCTGGGAATAAGAGTAATAAATTATGTTCATGTTCCGCAAAAAAGAACATACTTTATTTGTGTTTTGCTCTTCGTGGTTTTGCTTGATTCGAAAACTTTCACAGATGTGACTGGAAATTTGTTGTTTTCGCAACGTATCTTTAATTTGAGAAAACTAGCAGATCCGAGACATGACTCACTGCTTTTCGGATGTTGTATTAAATGTAATTATTGAAAAAATTCTGTCTATTTTTCAGGTAATCATTCAGCTCTTGTATAACATGGAAAGCACAAAACACTTGTCATATTTTTTTCCCAAAAATACATTTATTTAAATAAATAAATTATTTTTTATATACACATAACTCACTTAATTAAAGTGTAACCTTACATATCCATGTCTCCTAAAATAAAATCAAAAATATATACATCGATAATTATAGTATTCATACAGGGTAATCAATTTTTGTAACATACTTGTGCCATAATATCACTATTATAGAAATTTCTACTTCCTTTTTATATTTTAGGAGTTTTTATTTTCTTCAGCATGATCACCCTGTATCAAGCACCTTTATAAAACAACAAAACAAAAATAATTTTGATCCAAACCTGATTGAAAATAAAAGTTATATACATCGATCCTGCAGCATATTTCTTAAAAAATTATAATTCATTTCTGTATTTGAAACTTAAAAATCTTCCCATCATATAGGGTGAATCAGCATACATTCAAAACCAACAGTGTTACTTTCAAAATGCATTTATATACAGGGTGTCCCATTTAAGTCTATCCACCTAATTGTTTCGAAAACTACCCATCCTAGAAAAGAAGTTTCACTACAAAACTGTGGGGTTTTGGCGAGGCAAAATGATGGTAACCTTCACATGATCTTCATGGTCAAGCTAATATTTTCAAATGGAATTCCCCTTTTTAGACCGGAATTGGCAAGAGGAGAAAATTTTACGTCCGAATATGACCAAACTATGACCGTTAACATCACCTTTAAGCCATTTCAAGGTCATATCAACACATTGAGAATATGCTCTAGCAGAAATGTTCGACAGCACAGCTGCGAGCCTTGTTAGAAAAGTGACCTACACCATAACAAACACTATCTTCAAGGTCATTTCAAAATGTTACACGTGTAAATATAAAATTTTAGCATGAAAATACACGGGCAGCCTGACAAATAACATTTGAGAAGGACTTGACCTTGAAGGTAATGATTACCACCTCTGGGTGGTTTGTTTTCAGTGTCTTTACTTGAGCTTGAAGTGGTCAATGGTTATGGTAATGATCAGGGTCATATCCGGACGTAGAATTTCCTCCTGTTTCCAATTCCTCTGGAAAAAAGGGGGTTCCGTTAGAAAATATTAGCTTGACTTTGAAGGTGGCGGTCAAGGTCATGATCAAGGTCACCTCGAAACTGTAACTTTTGGAACTTTTCTAGGATGTGTAGCTCTCCAAATAGTTATTAGGAAGATTAAAATGGGGCATCCTGTATAAATGTGATATATTATAATTATTATTTTAAAAGTACAAATGTATGTTAAAAACAAAAACGTTTGTTTGTAACTGGGGTTAAAAGGCGCAATACTGATTCACCGTGTATGTTTAAAACAAAAAAAATATCAATCGGCCACTCCAATATAATTTCAAAATACATGGACAAGCACTGTTTTTTTAACTATAAATTTCGTGAAGTTTAGGACATTTAATATCAAAAAGTAGAGGCGCGATCATATTTCCGCAGGATTATACAAAGCTTATTTATTATGCAATGACAAAATAATCGATGATAGCATGATACATAATTGGTATTAGCGAATTGTTATATAGATCCATTGTAAAATGTAAATCTTTCCAAAAGCAAAGCTTGTAAAAAATTACAAATCTTTGCTATGCTTGCTCATTTATTACGAAGAATCCAATATTTTTTACATCCACCCATTATTTAGCTTGAGAAGCAAGTGCCAAATTAACGACCGAAATCAGTGATATGATGAAAAAATGTTAAATTCACGTTTCAACATCTTGTCCAAACTAGAATTATTGTGAATGTGAGAAATAATGATGTGATTGATCAGAATATATTAAAATTATTAGATGAATGCATCATATGTGAGAGAAATCTAAAACTATAACAGATAGCTGAGCACCAGCTTAACCTTAACCTGTTTCAACTTACTGTCGAAATAGTGAAGCAAATAGTAATGCAAAGGAGGCATAAATATCACAATATATGAAACTACTACATCTTAAGAATCGTGTAAATCGACGTTAAACAACCATATAATGTATTACAACGTACAAAATGGGATCTGAAAGATACAAGCGACATCTATGATACAGTAACAGAACACAGAAAAGGGTTCTGCTGTTATCTCATAGATGTCGATAGGAGCTCCAATTCCTTTTTAGCCTGTCTAATACCCATTTTAACTGGGCGTGTAAAGGTACACCACCATACTGTATGAATATTGTTATCGAAAGCATGACCGCGACTACCTTGCAGTATCTAGAAACAAAGACTGAAGAAAATAAAGTTAATCATAAATGAATTAAGGGGTTTCACTACGGAAGCAAAAGCCCAAGATTACAAAATTATAACAAAAATCTTCAGTGTTCAGTGCCTAAAAATACCAGCACCATCTATGCGATAGAACACATGATACTATAACTCGGTTACAAGTGTTCCGCTCGTCGGTATGAAATAGAGCGTTTTCATTTGAATATTTGGAATATATTCCCAGCATTTTTTGTGTTATCGACTTTACATCATAATTTTAGTATTATATAGAATATTTTATTCATATTACGATGTTCTGTCAATACAATTTAATGAAATATACCACAGACAAAATACATTGCCGTTATAAAGCTATCACTTTTGAAAAATTGACAATAGACAAGTTGAAAAGTATTAAATAACTCAAGACTTAATCATTGAAAATGCGCTTGTAGCTTTTCAGTATGAAATTTCTTTAGAGCTCCAATTGAATGGACCTACCTTTTTATTGAAGTAGATTGGTTTCAAATAATACATTTGTGCATCAGTGACATATATCAATTTGTTACACTAACTTTTTATACAGAAAAAGTATGGAGGATACAATATATATGACATCTTTATAATGTTGTATAAAATGTTATGTGTAAATGGTTTTTAATCTTTTTTTTTATCATCCTCACTTTGTACTTCTAGTTCTATTCCTACATCTAGTGGTTGATTCATTGATTTTATGATCCCCATATTCAGCCCTTTTCCATTCGTATACTGGGAGTAGTCTGCGGCTTTGGTGATTTCATCAAATGACGGGAAAGTATTGCATCACTGCTCTACTTCCATTTATATTGAGGTAATCCCAAAGTATTTTCGTTTAAATAGTAGTCACTTTCCACAAAATACTTCGAAAATATTCCTTGGGGCTATTACATTAAATTTGTATTGATAATAACACTTCAGAACCCATTGTTCGCAAACTTGTTTGTTCTTTGGAAAACTGCAAAAAAACGATTTCGAACGTCTTGTTGTTGCTTAAACAACCCACAACTGCACTTTACACCATATTTAAAAGTAAAATTCACTATTTTTTTTTAAATTACATTCACACAGAAACTTATTTGAAACACACCAGAAACAAACTAACAAAACCAATCACAAATTACACGCTAAAGCGCCATATAAAACTACGTTTGTCAGCCGTCTCTGGGGATTTCTGTCACCGAGTGACCACTCTAACTCTTTTCAAAGTAGATTTCTTAATTCACGTTTGAGCTCGGCTAGTGTATCTTAGATGGCGCCAGTAACTTTCAGAACCATTTTTGGTTGCCGGAATACAGCATATGGTCAGGTAGAACCCGTTGATCAATGGATAAACTGACTTTTGCGTGTTTCAATATATGTTAAAAACTTGGCACTGTACAATGAAAACGATGACATACACTACCGTTCAAAAGTATTTGAACACTTGCATATTTCCATTAAAAATCATAACAAACAAAAAAAAACTATTCAGTACGTATTTATTGTTCTTTATTTACTGAAAACCATCACCATAGAAATCAAGCATCACTGAAAGGTCATTCAAATCAAAAGTTTGCTCACACTATTATTGGGATCCCATCATTAGCCATAATCGGAATTTTGTTGCCTTTAGAATGTTGTTTTGTTTTTGTATAGGAATTCTTTCTCAGCATTGGTTTTTCGATTATTTCTTTTAATTTCTGTTGTAGTAACCGTGCTTCAATACCTTATAATTCAAGATTGTTCAACAAGTGCGTTTTCGTTTATTTTTTTCTGGGCAAAATGTGTAAAACTAAAGAATAGTCTGAGGAGATAAAAAGTGTAATTATTGGTGTTTATAAATCCGGCAGAAGTATTCGAGAAATTTCTAAGCTTCAGAAGGTACCACTGTCATTTGTACACCACATTATTAAGAAATTTGATGCTCAAAGCACAACATCCAATAGCCGGCATTCAGGGAGGCTCAGAGTTACAACTTCCACTGAAGCATAATAGTGGAAAGTAAACGCAACAGACGCATGACTGCACCCGAAATAGCAGACTTGAATGAGGCCCGTAGTGAACCTGTAAGTATGACTACAGTTAAGATTGCTCGAAGCTAGACTTAAGGGATGCATAGCAGCATCGAAACCACTCCTAAGGGCTACTAACAAAAAAAGAGACCGAATTGGCCGAAACAACATCAAAATTGGACAGTTGCTGACTGGCAGAAGGTCCTCTGGAGCGGTGATTCGAAATTTGAAGTTTTTAGTTCAAAGAGAAGAGTATTTCTCCGCCGTCGGCCTAACGAGAGCGCATTAGAATAATGCACTGACGCTTCAGTCGATCACGGTGGAGGCTTTATAATATTTGGGGCTGTTTTGGTGGTTGTGCTCAGGGGGATACTGTGAGAGTACAGATAATACTGAATAAGGAAGGTTACAAAGCCTTGCTACAAAATCATGTTGTGCCTTCTGAGACTCGTCTTATTGTTCCGGGATTTGTCTTTCAGCATGATAATGTCCCAAATTTTTGGAAGTAAAAGAAGAACAAAATATTTTGAAAGTCCTCGGATTTGAATCCGACAGAGTTGCTGTGGGATGAACTGGACGGGCAAGTAAGGAAATGTTGACCTACATCTCAAAAGCATTTATGGAGAATATCACAAGACGAATAGCTAAAATAACCTCATCCACTTTATAAAAATTAGTTGCGTTTACACATCATTTGCCAGGCTGTAATTAAAAGTAAAGGAGGACATATTGATGAGTCAAAAATATGATTATTTTGATTATAAATAGTTGTGTGTTGTAAGAATTAGGAAAATAAATGTTTCATACAGGTATTGTAATGTTTTCTTTAATAACTTCCATCAGTTTCCTTGTTTTCTGGGTGTTCACGGTAGTGTATGTTCAGAAACACCTACAAAATAGATGTTCATACACATCCACTTTTTCAGCATCCACATACAATGATGATGATGATGATGAAGCAGTAAACAAATTCGGACTAGGTAGAAACAGCAAATATACCAGTTATTTGTAAACAAAACTACATAGTTAATAGTCATTTGTTGACATATCGTAATTATCTGCGAAAACATATAAACGTGCATGGGTTCCATACAATCCTAGTGTTCCAGACAATTGCGGATTTATCGATAGCGTCCAATACCTGTGTTAGAAAGAGATAGAATCACCTCGTTGGCGCACTCTTTCCAACATACATATTGCACGCTTCTCGCGCTTCTCTCTAGTACACATTACGACGTCAGCTGAATTTGAACCTCACCGTATATTATAGTCATCAGCGTTACGAAAGGGCGTGTACTTCAACATTGAGTTTTTACTTGGACAGAAATTTTGATTTATTTCATTTCACTTCTTGTTTAATTGAACATTCAGTCTAATCTAGGATTGTTAACAACAACATTGAAAAATGCAATATATTGGAGTCAAGCCAAATTTTTTGATGGAAACTGAAAGGGGTCAAACGAAACCTTAAGCTGACTAAACCAAGGAGGAAGCTCATTACACCTAAAAAGAACTGTGAATATCAAATTAGTTAAGATACTTCCAAATCTTTTTATTGGATAAATATACTGACAATGATATAATAGCAGGAATTTCCATCTTATGCTCAACTAGGTATTTGCTTTTAGCCACGACAACTATTTAGAAAAACCAAGTAGAATCCATGCAAGGTATCCCACTATTTCCAATATCAGGTTGATGTTGCTGCTCGATAGAGAGAATGCTTCGTATTGTTTACTTCACGAATTAAGCAGAATTGAACATATGCTGTACTGTTAATAAACATTTACTTTTGTTTCTTTGCCTTATTTAATTTATCCCTGTCTATTAACAATAATGGAGCGATTCCCATCGAACCATAGATAGTTTTTGTGCTTCTGCGCGTGAGTCCATCCAGTATGATTGTCTACTTGAACATCCCTTCCAGTGAAATTGCAATGTAAACATATACGCATAGGCTTAGCTTCTTCTAATCTATTCGAATTAATTGGAAGCAATGATAACATTCCTAACGTTATGTATGTCAATCTATGTTTGGGACAATCGGTAATAGCCTTAGTTAGATATAAAAGCAAAATGCTGCTTCAACAATGATAGATCAAATTTGAATATTTGGTATAAACATTCTGACACCGTTCTTCATACCAAAATCACACTCTCGACGACATTTTCTAGTAGCGAAGAATATCTCTGGAGTAAAATATCTTTTCCGATCCACGCTGTAATATGGAAAAGTCAATAAGATCGAGGCAAATAACGGCACAGAACAGATAACTATTTACCATGTTAGTTCGACACATCAAAACGTGGCCCCAAGCTGATAATTGAGTGATATTAAAATCCCCATATCGACATGGAGAGAGTGTCCACACCAAAAGAAGACACACAATGCGAATGGAGTTAGGGAAAAGTAGACTGACTTTTCGAATTTAAAGGAACAAAGTGACGTTTGTCCGCATGTTGTTATTTGGCGAGAGATGAATACGGTGTTGCCAGATGGATACCACTGCGTGACACGATTCCATATTACGCAACAGGTGACATTATATCGATTTTTAATGACATGTATGTTTTTCGAAAAAATATCACCTAGGAACTAGCTGTCATTCTGTTCATGTTCACTTGTACTAGCTGTACGTGTTGGCTAAGCGTCAACGCGTCATTAGACTTCAGCTATATGTTTTGGCTCTGATGTGATGTAACATCTGCTCCAGAGATGGCAGAAGTGAAGGCCATTTATAGCTTTTATGGATAAACTGTAAATAGGCCACTTGACTCATATCTAATTTTATTGAATAAGCAGTATTTGGCTTAGGCCCGTATCGTCAGTCGTCCCTACAATTGTAGGGCGCCGTTATGGCCTCCTTGATTATCATAGTTTTCTACTTCTCCGTGTCAGCGCTCTATTTTGAGGTTATATCACAAACATCTATTTGCATCAAATTGTGCTTGCTTTTGAGTTATATCATGTTTTATCAGCCTGAAATTTCCTACAATATAAAAAGAAAACATATCTTCACAATAGGAAAGCGCTGACGCTGACACGGGACGGGTGCAATCTAGAAATTTTTGAAGGAGAGAAAGCAGTATGACAATCAAGGAGGCCATAAACGCGCCCTACAATTGTAGGGACGACTGACGATACGGGCCTAAGTGAAACGAAATATATCGACTTCAATTTTTAAAAGTGAAAGGTGGATATTATAAGTCCAATTTAAAAAAATATATTTCTTATTTTTAATACGATACAGTGAAAACACTATCAGCTATGATGTTATACAAAAACAAAGAAACGCCATCCGTATATCACTCTCTCAATGTTTCTAAAAAACTCATAATCAACGTAAAAAGTTATCGTTTCATCTTTTTGAAAAAAACAATCATTGGCGTTGGAATCGTAAAAGCAGAAAGTACAAATTTGCCGAAAATTGACACAATGATGATTGATAATTTTTTTTGTTTATACTCCAACTACCACGAAGGCCTAAGGCCTAAACACCCATAGGGTACCGTGCTACCGTGGGGCTATAGGCGAACACAGGGAAAAGGAGGAACGCCACACGGACTCTGGCGAGGGAACACGTGTGCATGCAACATGCACACATTCTTGCTCCGCCTACGAGATCCGCCGGGTGGTACCTCCGCGTTCGACAGTCAGAGACCGTCTACCACCTACTAATTTGTTTGCCTTCAACCCAGATTTCTGCTCTACTGAGCTGAGGAACATCAATACTAGAAGTCTGATATAATGATAGACATCAAAAAAATAATACAACTACATAATATTTCTTTAAAGAAGTCATTCAAAACTAAGTTCATGCCTTCACCGTTGAATAATTTTATCTGATATTGCATTCCTTTTTTTTTGCACATCTGCAAGGGAATCGAACGGTGATGACGAAGGTGACATCTAACTTAAACGAGACGATAAAATCTGCACAATAAAATGTTAAATATGTCCCTCCAAGCAATACACAGTGTTTTTACATTCTCGGACGCTACAATCACGATAATTACTAAATTTTTCAGGTAAGCTAGAAGAAGTCACGTTTATATGTTTCAAAGTTTGACAGGTGATGCTGCCGTCATATGCTCTTTAGAAACGGTACGACTTCAGAGCACAATAATATGCGCCAAACATGGCGGACAGCGTTTCCGCCTGAAAAATATATTTTTAAATTAAAGTTTCACAGTCTTTTAGGTCTTAAAAACCTAGTATTTATTTTCTTGTCTAATAGAACAAGTATTAACTATTTAAGACTTCTGGTATGAACTCTTTTAACTACTTTATGCAAGTACGCATGACCGTACGGGGTATTTTGAATGTAACTAAATGATTAGCTGTTGATGTCTTGAATTGACGAGTTGGACTATCATGATAAATAGTAGGGTGTCCAGTAGGAAAGTTCACATTTCAAATTTGAATTACGCGGCAACCATATACGCGAGGAAGTAGCGAGAGTTCTTGATCGACGCGTTCGGCGTGCGGGTTAAATAGTCACAATGGAACGTTGGACCGGAGCGCAACGTGCTTTTGCTGTCGAAGCTTACTTAAAGAGTGGTGATTCATACGCAGCTGCCCTTCGTTAATTTTGTACACTATACAACATTCGTCGACCAAGAGATGCTCCGATGAAGAACCTATTGAAAAAGTGGAATAAGAGGTTCTGTGAAACAGGCCCTCTTAGTCAACCCATTCCTGGCTGCGTCGAGTAAGTGATTCGGTCATTGCAAATCCTCGACGTTCTGTACGGAAGCATTCCGCTGCTTTGGGAATCCCTAGGTCAACACTGCATGGCATAATGAAGAAAAAAATGGGTCTTCATCCTTATAAAGTCCAATCAGTCCATGCTTTAAAGTAAAGTGATTACGTATTACGGAAATCTTGTGCTGAACGGTTGTTGAATCTTTTTCCTACGCAGCGCAGACTCGAGAACGTTATTTTCTGTGATGAGGCCCATTTTCACTTAGACGGTTATGTGAACAAGCAAAATTTCAGATATCGGGCACCAACGAACCCAAAAGATAAACATGAACAACAGCTACGTAGTCCAAATGTGACTGTTTGGCGCGCCATATCCTCTAGCGGTATTATTGGGCCGTATTTCTTTGAAGATGAAAACGGTCATGCATTGACAGACAATTCCGAGCGTTACAAGGACATGCTCGACACTTTTTTTGCTCCTATTGTAAGAACAAAACGTCGATTTAACAGATGATTTCAACAGGATGGGGCCACTGCCCATACTTCGAGAGAATCGATGGACACGGTGAAAGCACTTTTTCCTCAAAAAGTTATTTCGAAGTTTGGAGACATTCACAAGCGTCCTAGGTCACCCGACCTCACGCAATGCGATTATTGGGGTTATCTAAAGTCAAAAGGGATGGCAAACATTTGGATGGAATCATATTTAAGAAATAAAACCCGCCGAATTTACGAATATGTTGATAGTAAGAAAAACTTTCTTTTCATTAAGTTTGTTTTTTTTTTCTTAAATCAAAAAGTGAACTTTCCCACTGGACACTCGTATAACGTCTTTGACGCTTCACTTGAATTTCAAAATTAGATCTACTAACCGTCTCCTTACGTATTTCGAGTACCTACAACCTAACTCCATCATATCTACGTAGCGGCAGTTTGCGCCTGTGGAGTCCTATTCCTCCGATGATCGTAGTTGACCAATCTCTGCCCCACCAGGTACTTATCGTTCTTGATGTGTTCGTACAACTTCCGGAACTGCCGGATTTGGAAATGTACGATGACCGCAATAACACCTACTAAGAGTAGGAAGGGGTAGAGACGTCTAGCGATGACGTTTCGTGTTTGCAAGTTGGTTACGAAGAGGGGCACGATAGAATACGCGCAGACGTAGGGGACTGTGAGCGCCAGACCGAAGCTGACTATCACTGGGGCAGCTAGTTCCTGAAAAAAAATCGGAATGTTATAGTTTTGCTGTTAGGATAGACAGCACAGATTATTGGCACATTAAAGGTAATCCAAATAAGATAGCACAAAGCGCCATCTTTTAACAGAATCGACCACTACGAAAGTGAAAACAGCAAGCTGTTGCCAGTTGGCATTGTAAGTCGCGACCGCTAGATGCCGTCTATTTTGGTGCTGTAGTAGATACGGTCTACTCGCCATTGAACAAACTAGTAATATAGCTTTCATTCGCCCGACCACAGACAGCCAACCATGGACAGCTGTTTCGAGCTATTTGACAACTCTTCAGCGCGGTGTAGGCTTGGTGTCGATGGACATGAAACGAAAGCTGTGCGGCTCTACTCTATTCACAGTATAAGGTCTATCGAAATAAGACAACGCAAAATACCCTATTAGGAGCATCTACCACCGCTTAATGTTTTCACTTTTGTCATCGTTGCTGCACACAATTCTTTCAGTTACGAGATAACAATATATCCTGTCAATTTCTTATACCTGTCTGATGCTGTTCCGCCGCTTTTACAGACACTAGACAGCTACAAATCGTGACATTTTTGTTGTCCTGGTATTTTTGTCACTTCTGGCACTTTGCAATTAACAATAATGCTCTTGAAGTTTGAAACAGTAAGGCCACTTATACATTTTCAATATAGTTAGTGGGGATAGTTTCCTTCAGGCGACGCTCAAAGCAGGTTACAAAGTCATGTATACTAATTACACCCCCCTAATTAACAGTGACATGTTCTATAAACGCTTAAAACCAAAACGTCGAGCTTTTTGCGACACGCTAAGTCGGTATATCAGTCCAACAGCAGTCAAGAAGATGCAAATTCGATGATCAACAACCGTATTCACGCAACCGTATTGGCTAAGCGTTGAGCAAGTAGGTGGCGCCATATTAGTTGTTTAAAGCACATGTGTAAAATTCATCATGGAGCGGTACACGATCCCACAACGCGTCCGTATTGTTAACACGTTTTACTTAAATAATGAGTCGATTGTCGATTCGGTCTAAATAATGCCCAGTGTCAACACAATTCTTCAGTGGTGCGGTGAATATTAGAGTAATTAAATATTCAGTGAATCACTCTACCTTGCCCGAGCGAATGAGATCACTACATTAGTGAATAGTTTTTGGCTGTAACTGCATCAAATTTCGCATTATGGAACGATTGAGAAGGGGGTACTTAACGCTGCGACCGTGATGCCGAGGTACAGCGTCACCGTATTCGTTATCCAAACTTCGTGACTATAGTAACCTTCCAGCAAGGCCGCCAATTAACGTATATCACATAACGTCAAAAGCATGTTTTGTCCTTTTTAGCACCCACAGAACATGTAGCAAGGTACAGGATGAGGCTGCATAAATTCCTTTTTTAAAAAACGCACCATTCAGTCGGTTGATGTCATAGCGTAGCGCTAGTGGTCTCGTTCGGAATTTTGTCCCGACACAGTTCAGTCGCCACGATGTGTTGGAACAGTGAGGAGCGTGCTTTTGCCGTTGAGGCCTACTCTTCGTGTTTGATGTTCTGTGTGCCTTCCAGAATCGCTCTGAAATATCAGCGCTGATGATACGTTGGGCGTACTCATTTCACATGCAACGGATCGTCAGTTCAAATTTGAATACCAAGTTAAACACTCGCAGACAAATCGCTGTTGCCATTTGGGTTATAAAATGAGACGAGGAAACCAAAAAAAAAAAACATTTATGGGTGCATCCTATTATATGTGCAAGGTATCTAAAAGGTGCCTTTATTACTTGGTACTCCAGTTTGTACATTATACAACAGGGGCTACCTCCAAAAATGCTGCGATTTTAATATCCCTATTCTTATATTCATTGCAGGCGATGCCCCATATGCAATTTTTGGATTCAATAGCACTAATGAAGAGTTCAGTGTCAATTTTTTAATGATTCATAGTAAATGTAATAACACTTGACCTCACAGAACGTGCACAGACAAGCAATGGCAACCTCGCTTGCCGGTACGCAACTCACTGTCAGTCCTTTCGCTCATTAAAACTATTGCTCGTGCGCGCGCTGATCTACGGTAGCGCACGGGCTCGGCGTATGGCCGCCGTACCAAATCCTACGCACTGATCATACGCGCTTTATATGAAATACTCATACAAAACCAACGGGACTTGCTCGTCTGTCCTGACCATACGTTTCATGTGAAACGGAACTTAATTTAGCACCGTTGGTCCCTGACTTGAACCGGAAATCAATTGTTACGTAGGTCACCACTTTAAGACAAACTGCAAGTGCGTCAAAAAGAAGAACTGAAGACCCTCGGCCCATTATATCACCTGAAAACGTTTAGACAGTGAGAGCTTCAATGTTGCGATCATTGCGTTCTGAGCGCAAACATGCGTCTGCGCTTGGACTTTCCGATCGTTCTTTGAGGAAAATTATTCATGATGGCAATTGTGAAGGAACTTTCTGAACGTGACTTCAATTCTCAGATAAACGCGCGCGAGCGTGTTGTCTAACTCGATACTGAGGACGCTATTGTTTTTGTTTTTTTTTTTTTAGTGATGAAGCTCTATTTCATTTGTGTGGATTCGTCAACAAACAGAACAGGCTGGGCTTATACCAATCCTTGAGAATTGCATCAAAGGCCCTTGTATTCACATAACGTCGCAGTGAGATGTGGAATTTCCTCAGCTGGAACTATTTACACTGGTCCTTTGAGAAAAATAAAGTCGCAGTGACAGTGAATTCGGACCGGTTTGTAAACATAATCTAGGATTTTTTCTTCCATGGCTACATGAGTTGGACTTAGGGAACATTTGGTTCTAACAAGAAGTTGCAACGGCACACACTTAGATCGATAGCTGTTTTGATGGAACGCTTCCCAAAGCTCCTCATTTCAATTAGCGGCAATTTGGAGAGGCCAGCCCGCTCTTCCGATTTGGCCCCTTGTGACATTTTTCTATGGGAGTTTTTGAAATCCCGTGTTTATGTGAACCGTACAAGAACCTTACAAGAAGACCAACATCCAGGAAAAAACTGCCAACATAACGCCCGCTATGCTTTAATGTCATGGCAAACGCCAGAAACCGGTTTACTCAGTATATGGAGTATGGGGGACGTCACCTATTTGATGACATCTTCAAAACTATGTAAAACAAAACTTTAGGCTTGCGTCCACATCCAAAACAAATAAAAATGTGCTGATTCATACAATGGGTTTTATTAAGTTTTTAAAAAAGGAAGTTATGCTGCCACACTCTGTATCTAAATGCTGAGTGGAACAATGCATAATTAAGTGAAGTTCTGGTGATTCTCGTTATCACTTAAGACAGATGTCATCGAAATGAAGACTAATCTTAGATTCAGTACCGGTACAAAAAGCAAATAACTACCATGCTGGATACTACGTTTGGTGCCTTACCTTGAAAATGAAGGTAAGATTCATATCCCTGATGCCGTCCCTGTACGCTCGTTCGATAGCGTTTCTCAGGAACCAATCAGGACCCATCATAGTGATAGCACATGCGATTTTAGTGTAGAGAACTCCCAGTGCCCAGTCTTGCCATATGAAAAGAATTGGAGTTTGGTAAATTGGCACCCTGCAACAAATTATAAACATGATTACCTTGAACCTCAAATAAATAACAGTCATAAGTAATTGCCAAAAAATTCAATTTTATTTCAAAAGGCATATGAGTAAAAAATATTTTCCACGACAGTTCAACACGTCAAAACGCGATAACAAAATGAATAAAACAGCTGACCATAAATGGCCACATTTTATAGACGCTTTTGAGGAATGAGTACCGTTTAAGGAATAAGCTCGCCGTGGATTTGAAGCAAAAGATAACGTTTTCTTGAGGGGTGTTCAAGGTAGGATTTAAAATTCGCTATTCACAGGTGCCTGAAAGAGTTATCAAAAATTTTTAAATTTGCACAATTTTTAAGGTTATCAAAATTTTCAAAATAATCAAAATGTTAAAATTTTCAGTCTTTGAGTTTTCCAGAACATTCAAGATTCCTAAAATCTGAAAGTTTCGTAATATTACAGATTTGGAAAATTATGAAAATTTTGAAGGTATAACAAATTCTAAGATGCTGGGAATTTAAAAAAATACTATTTGGTAGTTTCGAGAACTTGGAAAATGTCTAAAATCGTTCAAATTTCAAAACCTTTGTAGATTCTCAAAATTTTGATGATAACATGTTACAGCCTACTATGAAATGCGATTGTTGAATCCTTCCTTGAACATTCTTTATAAAATAATTATAACATAAGCACTACCTATTTTTTGATGATGGTATGAGCTTGTATGAACTAGTGTGATGCAATAGTGCAGCTTTCGGCCATAGTTGCTTGCTCGAAAAATCCAAGGTAAAAAGACCCCATTATCGTAAAGCGACATAGGTGTGTCTGTTACAGCTTAATATTACCCAGCGACGCAGATATTTGCTTGAGTTGTTTTGCATAAAGTAATTAAAAATGTTTTGGTATAAAATCAGCAAGAACTAGTCAATACAGCTGTTTATAATGGATATCAACAGATCCACTATTGCCAGCAGTAGAAAATTAACAAAAGGGGAAACTTAGGCGTTAGTTGAAGTATCGTGGTAAATAATGTATCTATGCTATGCGTACCTAAGAGGTATAATAACAACCAACTCCAGCAATAGCCCGAATAGCAAGGGTATGACACCAAGCAGGATAGTGCTGGCAACAACTGTCTTCAGACCCAGCACAAACCACTGCTTCAAGCGATCCAACATGGCGGCCCGTCCTTGTGGAAGCCAGCTTAGCACTAAGGTGACTGCTCTTGCTGCTACCCAGCAAAGATACAGACCACAGGCAGCTGTGTAGAGTTCGTGAACCTATAAAGAAGAATCAGTGATCGTAATACAAAGGGTAGGTACTGTAAAAGTTTTGCAATATTATTTGAAAAACGGACTCAGGAGCCTGCATATTACTGCATGTTGAGACATGTCTATGTGTGCATAGTATCCCCCAGCAGCACGTCTTTTGACTTTGTTGTTCATTCGTATTGACAATGTAAAGTGTGGATTATGGCATCGTGGTCACGTAGTGAGATAAGGGCAGTTTTACAGTATAACTTTACGCGTGGTTTAAGCATGGACCAGTGCTTAGAAGAAATGACGCTTGCATTAAAGAATGATTGTCCATATCGTACGACTATATTCAGGTGGTGGAGAGTGACATAGCAACAGATAGAGGAGACCGTACACCTTCATGCACCAGCAGTTCATTCAATTCTGCATAACCATCCGCGCCAAGGCCTGCACCGAGTTTTGGCGGATGGAGAAGTGTATTGAATGTGGTGGAAATTACTTTGAACGAAGTCAATAAATAAAGACGTATTGCAAAACTTTTATTATACCCTTTGTATTACTACTATAGTCTGACCGTTCCACTTCTTGTATGTAGAAATTTGTAGTTGTAACTACTTAAATATAATATATGCTGGCAACAACTGTCAAGCCAGTTAAGGATACCTGTATGAGCGGAAGACACAGAAAATTTTTGAATTCAGATTATTTTCGCTAATAAACCTTCCCGAATTGCTAAGCTCGTAATGTGCTGAAAACGTTTTCGATAAATTGACCGCCTAGGTCGTATGATTCAACACCTCTAGACTTTTTCCTTTGGGTTTATGCATGTGTACGAGACTTTCACTGACGAATTAAAAAATATGTTACTCAAGTAACTAGCTCAAAATATACTAAATGTCAGAAAATGCAACACCGACTAGGGCTGCTGTAATTTTGAGCATACTTTTACAAGTTTTTGATATACTGATAAATAGAAATTGATTAAAATTTCAACTCGAAATTTCGCAAAATAGCTGAGATTATCCCACCTTAATGTTAATAATGTGTTAAAGCTCGTCTGTTAGCTATACATTCGTTAAGTCGTCGCGGCATTGATTTGATTATGTGATTGATGTCTTCTTGTATCGTATCCCAGGCCATCTGAATTTCCTCCCATCATCCTCCCATCATATCCCATAAATGTTCGATGTGGGAAAGGTCTGGAGATCGAGGGGGACCCTACTAAAAAGTCTAAATTAACACGTGCGACACGAGGTCGTGCATTGTCCTGCTGAAAAAGTGGATCTTGCAATGTCTCCAAAAAGGGAAGCAGATGTGCTTGTAAAACTTCATGGATATAGCGCTGAGCAGTCAGTCTACCTCGAATGAACATTAATCGTGACCTGCTGCCGTAAGCAATGGCACCCCATAACACCCACAGTGCGATGAATATTCCGTTCCATGGAATATAGGACTTCTTACTCTTGCACGGCCATCATGTGTGCCCAAGCAGAATCTGGAGTCATCGCTGAACACGGCTGAGTTCCAGTCCATATTCCATTCAAGTCTCTCCCTACTCCATACCAATCGTTGCCGAAGATGCTGTGGAGTCAGAGGTAGTACAATATGAAAATCGATCTCTAGTCTGTCTTTGACGTCCAGTACCTCTAAATCGTCGATTTCGGACTTCTTGGAACCCCGCTCGACAACATCTCATTAGAGTAGCTTGAATGAATGAATGAAACATGAAATTAGAGGTATACCGGCCACCATAAGGAGCCAGAGCATAGGCCACTTAGATCTCGCCATTCTAGCGAAATCGAGTATAGCCTTGAGTTCAAGCTCCTTAACGTCCTGGGGGTCCAAAGTAGCTTAGTTTCGATTCACCCGATCAGCGATTTCTCTAAAAGAAAATCCGGCTTCACGTAACCCGATTATCAGACCCCACTCAAGCTCGGAAAGTTGAGTGAAATTAGCGCATCTGCGAATGCAATGAAACAGCAATGAAATAAATGGAACCAACACAGAGAAATCACTGAATATTAAGTAAACATGTTCATATTGTGCGGATCCTGCTATGACAAAAAAAGCATCTAAAAAAAGTACGGTTCGGAATGCCTTCAACATTTATCATCGAATACTTCCATGATTGCAAATATATTTACAAGTTTTTATAAAAATTCAATAAATAATTCTGAGTGTTGCATTTTATATGTCACTTAGTATACATGGGCTCGTCAATAAAAATTGCAATTCCAAAATAGACCTCATTACCTGGAGTGATTACCAACACTTGAAAAAATAATTTCGAAAAAGGGAATAATATGGATGCCTCTCTCGTTTGATAATAAAGATAACCCGACTGAGTTGATTTTTTCATGTTTTCGAACAATGCACTCCCCAATGAATCATCCATTATCTTATAACAAATAGAAATATTTTTTGTTTACGTTAACCCACCTTCACCTCGGCCTGAGAATTATTAGCAGATATCTGAGGCGCTGGAGGTGGCGCTCCCACAAGCCAAAGCGCCATCACACTGCGACCCAGAAAAACGGGCAACGTCAGAGCCACTAAGCTGGAAGCCACTAACGATATGCAGACGCATAGAAGAAGACCGAAGAGTCGTGCTGCGAAGAAAGATGGCCGTACGTACGGTTGGAAGCCTGGAAGAAAGTGTTCTTGAAAAAATAGGCAATGCTGCCAAACATGATAATTAAAATAGCATTTATTGCCCAACAGAATTTTTATAATTCCATTTACGAGACAAAGAATCGAAATCTGGCATAAAAATAAAAAACAATACTGATTTGTTCAAATTTAAGATAATAAACAAACATTAATGTAGCATTTGTAACGTTATTTAAACTGTTGCCTTAAAAGCCTCTTGAGATGAGAAAGAGAACACACAAAGATATCACAAATACAGAATATTATGTGTTCATGCACGTGATTCTTAAAGGAGATTTTAAAGCTAAGTTGGTATATGCACGGGTGCAAACAAAAAAGTATTGCTTCTAGAGCATTAGTTGTGTTTTCTTGTATCACTTAAGGAAGCAACTTGGAATCTTTCCAACAATATTTGGTAGTCTGACCCTGACGCTGAAGAAACTAGATCAATCATGAAAACCAGTTACTTATTTATTTTGAACATGATTGATTTGACTATATAACACTAATAATAAGGACTTCAAATCAACAAAGCATATTTGCATTTGGAAAGTACCTAAATATACAAAGCATAATGTTTTTAATGCAGCCAAGACTTTAATAAGCTTGCAGTATCTAACAATAGTACCTAAAGCTCTATTAGCACTATTTACAATTTGGATAATGTGATAGTCGAAATTCATCCTACTGCCAAATGTGACCCCAAAATCACAAATCGTTTCGTGCCGACTGATTACATTTCCTCCGATGTTATAGCGAAAATTACTAGGTTGCTTTCATCAGAATGTAATCACTTTGAATTTAGCGATATTCGGATGCAGTTTATTCAATCGACACCAATCTTCTAACTAATTGATACTGTACATACACACAATCAGTGATGCTGTTGATTTCAAAGAACAATTTCAAGTCATCGGAAAATAGTAATGTTTCACAATGAATACTGCTACTTATAACGTTAACAAAGAGCAAAAAAGCAATGGTCCCAAATTCGAACTCTGCGGTACCCATGAAGATACTGTACAATGAAAAGACTCTAAGCTATTGTATGATGTGAATAGCTGACGATTATATAAATAGGACTTCATTGATATCCATTGTCAGCGAAAAATATCATCAGGTTCAACTATTGGTAAGCATGAATAACTGACAGTAAAACAATTATTAATGCATATTCGCATGGTGTCTCTATTCATTGGCCCTATGTTTACACGGTTTACACCTTAGGTAGACAGGCGCTTATATGGCGCTTAGACACGCATACCACACAATGTAAACGAACACAGAATCGCATTCACGCACAGAACTATGATGCTATTTATTTATTTAACAAATTAGAGAGGACATCAAACATAAAATCTCCAAAATAGACATCTACAATATAGTTAAACATACAAAGTGGTAAACATTGTTATTGATAATTTACATACAGGGTGTTCATTTGAAAACTTCCCACCACGGATTTATCAAAAACCACTGATTAAAAGAAAAACGCCGAGACACGTCAGAAGATTTGTCACGGAGGACAACTTTTTAACCAAAAATTACTTCACCAACTTTCAGGTTGGGGAATAAAAATATATTTCAAATAATGGCTCCATAGAAAAAAGTCTAGTGGCGTCACATCAGGAGAACTTGCAGGCCATTCTTTAGGGCCTCTTCGCCCTATCCATTTTTATCTGGAAACTTGTTGTCTAGCCACCGGAAGAACATAGTGAGGAGGAACGCCGTCTTGCTGGAAATATATGGAAATATTTTCAGCCTCATCAAGTATAGGGTTTCCATCCTCTTCGATTTGGTTTTCAAGGGTTTTAATGATAAGCGGATTGATGGTATTTTCCAACATACCCAAATAAATGTCTCCATTCAAATTTCCATTAGTAAACGATGGCCCCATCACTTTGTTTCCTAAAATGGCTGCCTATACATTAATTTTTTGGGGGTAATGGGTATGCTCTTCTACAAAAGAATGAGGATTTTCATTGCTCCAATACCTGCAGTTATGCTTATCAACAAATCCATTTAGATAAAATTTGCATTCATCACTGCATTCATCGCTGTAGTCATTTGTTCACAAAACTAAACTCGCCTATGGAAATCATCTTCGGTTAACTCTTGCAATATTTTCATTTTTAATGGATGAAATTTATGGAGTTTAGTAACTGTGTGTCAGAGCCTAATGAAATTGCAGTCGCAGCAAAAATTTTGCGTACTGAAGTATTAGGGTTTATTCCAAAATGACCCAAAACTTCAACTTGAACGGCTTCTGGTTTGTTCGTACAGTAGTTGGTAACTTGTCGGTGACTGTCAAAATCAGAATCAGGGAGATGTTACCTGTTCGTACAGTTTCTGACTGCTGACAGATCAGAGGACACCAGTCAACCAGTGTCAGTGACAGGTATCAGAGTGTGTCGGAACTATCTTGAGGACGACTAAAATTGCTTTGCAAGAGGCATTCAATGAACTTTTCTCTAATAGACGGTCTGAGGATACCTTCGTACCAACGGACCGTTGGCGATCTAGCTACGCCAACGGGCTTTGCTCCTCAGAGCTCTCTTCCATGGTGTCGCCCCGCGATGTGCTTACCTGACTTCGGCCTGCGTGTCGAACTTCGTACATCCAGAACTGGCCGATAAGACCGCTCCTTTGTCCCGAGGGTGTCGAGATCGTGTAACAATCTACATGAGGAGATTTTCCCAATTCTACTAACTTTAGGCAGTTCAAAAATGGGAATAACAAAGTTTCTGTAAGCTCCAGAAAGCAGCCGCGGTGCCTTGGCGTGTAGGGTTCACCAGCGCGGCTGCTTCGGTGTAAAACAAAATGAAACCCAAAAACCTTAATTTTGTAGAGAAAACAGTGCCACAATTCAACAGAAACAAGTTTTTGTAACATTTTCAGGTGAGCAAGTGGCAGAAGAAATTTTAATGAAATTCCATTTTAAATATCAGCCAGCGCCAAAGGCTTTGTGCTCAATATTTTGTTTATTGACCCGGTAATGGCAAGATTATGGTTACAGTATGGTTACAGTATGAAAAATCTGAATAATAGAAGACATAACTTCCAAGAACCGAAATTAATACGATTGTTGTAATCACTCATCTTTTGAAAATTTTTGTTACAGTTGCAAAATGCGTAATTACGCGATTTAAGTCTTACTTCTATATAATTTCGTAGTATCAGTTCTATTTGTCCATGTTGAGAACTCTGCGAAACTTATAGCTGTGTAAGCAGATCTTGATAATTGCAGTTATGTTCAGCCGTTTTAGCTTTTTAGTGTATAACACCCTTTATTATTCAAAGACGTTATTAAATCCCTGTAGTGTTTTCACTTCTTTCTTCTAGTAAGAGTCTGCATATACAGTGGCATTCACCATTGGGATCTTGGAAACTGTAAGGGATACGAAGTCGCTTAAATGGGGTAGTCAACAAAGTGATACTTAGAAGGTTTCGAAATTCAAAGTACTTCCGCAGAGTAACGGAAAAACTGAATTTTCCCTAAATTGTTCTGATTTTTTCCTGACTTTATTTATATTGGGATTTTAAAATAAATTGCACATTAACTGTGCCACGTTTTGTCCTCTACAAGAAGGCATAATCAGAATTTCTATATGACGGTTCGTCTCTTGTACCCCAGCATCAACTTTCGCTATATTGCATTTTTGCACAGATGAATAGTTTTTAATTTTGATTCAAAACATGTATAATACGTCATGCATTGACGTTGTCAGACCTTGATTACTTTAAGAAAAACAGAATTCCTTAGGTAGGCCTTGAAATGATCAGATGCTTGTTTCGCTGTGTCTGTGTCAGTTTTTAAAAGAAGTTACAGAAAATTTCTATTAGATGAATTATAGCGTTTACTTTATATTGTTCCTTTCCTTTTTATATTTTAAATGTTTTTTTTGTTAAAGCTGCCTAAAATGATTTGACCTTATTCGTTAAATTATATTTTAAATTATATTTTTTATATAATTTCTTTATATACATATTTTTTTGACGTTTATAATTATTATTTATTTATTATTAATAATTATTTGGTTAAGAACTCAACTGTTGTAATTTTGTTTGTTGGGCTAGTACTTTGTTCAGCTCGTCTGTTTACTAGTCCCTTTTGCAGCGAATTCAAATTGTTTCTTTATTTTTAATTTTTCTTTCTCTTTGTATTTTTTTGCTCTGCAAATAAACGTTATTATTATTATTATTATTATTATTATTATTTATCCCAAAATCGCTCTATTTTTTCCGGACTCTATTCGAGATGGGATTTCAAAATAAAGTGCATATTGTCATTGTTACTTATTCTCGTCTGCAAGATGGCGTAGTCAAATTTTCAATGCGACATTTCTTCTTTCGACTTCCGTCATAAAATTTGTTTTTTCATATGGACACTATACTGGAATTTTGTACATTTAAATGGACTTTTTAAGCCCTAAATTCAGTAATTGTTAGTTGACCATAAATTTGTTGTTAGATGAAAATTAAAAGGAAATAAAAAGATATGGTGAAACCTGAATACGAAATGAAAATTTTATTGATGGTAATAACAATAATAACCATAAATAAGCAGAGGTATTCACAGTCTTCCAAACTCTGTTGCTATGCAAACAAACGAAATCTAATAATTTCAAGCCTACCTAGGAACTTCTGGAATAACTAAGGTTTCGCAATGTCAATGTATCACATACATTTTTTCAATCAGAATAAAAATTCTATTCATTTGTGTAAGAATCCAATATGGCGTCTATAAGAAAAAATTAAGTTGATGCTGGAGGACAAGAGACGAAACGTCATATTGAAATTCTAATTGTGCCGTCTTGTAGAGGAGAAAATGTGTCAGAGTTCATGTACAATTTATTTTGAAATCCCACCACAAATAAAGTCAGGAGGAAATTAAAACCATTTTGGGAAAATTTGTTTTTTACGTGACTTTCCGGAAGTACAATTTCAAAACTTTCTAATCGACATTTTGCTGATTATCTGAATACGCAACTTTGCCCCTATTCAAGTGACTTCGTATCCCTTGAAGTTTACGAGATCCGAATGGTGAGGGTCGAATTTAAAATACCCTGTATAGGGAAAATATTATTTTCAGCCCAGCACATTACAGTCAGTCCCTCTCCGGGGGCACCCGTGTGAAAAAGGTGTATCACAAAATCTCCAGAATTCGTTATTTTGTTTATTTTTTTATCAGCTTTGGGTTGGACTTACATAGCTAGAACATATAAATACTGTTTGTGCATACACTTCGAGGCTGGGCGACAAAGGAACAAGAAACAGAAACCCTACTATCCGAGTTTTATTAAAAGTTATTCACAATACTTTGTACATTTCTCATGGATATTCACTGCAGACGTTTATTCAGAATTCTTACTATTTATTTACTTCTTCAACTTGTCATTCGATGCGTGGAATCATATTTCTTCGAATTTATGTTTATATATACTTTATATATGAGAATTGAAATCTAAAGGAAAATTCGGGCACATTTGGACAGTTGGACGAAAAGTCCTAGATCATTCTGGTTTACAGCAAATGAACCCCCAACTTTTTCAAATTTGTTTACTTCATTCTGAAAAATTTACATTCGAATAATTATTGTACTTGATTTCGAGCTCTGACAATTTACTGGAAAATTATCTGATGACTGATTTGACAGTCAGAAGTTTCTGTACGAACAGCGGATTAGTTGTCGGTAATCGGTCTGACCTCCCTCAGCCAACTCGTAACGTTCTCATGTACGCAATTAATACAGTCAGCGACATGTCAGTGACAGCTAACTGCGTAAACTAGGTGATGACTTGTCGCCGACTATCAGTTTGCTGATTGTCAGCAAACAGGCTGTACGAACAAACCATACATCCAAGACTCTCCGATTAAATCGTTTTTTATTTGCAACAGATCCAGTTTGAGTAAATTTTGTAACAAGTTCCAAAACATACCTATGCGAAGTTATCTTCCCCGAATGTCTGGCGTTAAACGTGACGGCAGTTTGCCAGGCACATTGATTTTGGGTACCATAAATTATAATCATTTCCACTCTTTCGGCTAGTGTGTAAACCATTTTGGAAGTAAAATCTGAATCAATAAATTAATTTTCACTATCCCAAGATTGTCACAAAGGTAACTGACAAGCAAATTTAATTCTTTCTTTCCCTTAGCAACAAGTAACTAGACATGAATAACAATAAATACAGTTCGCCCAGGATATCTGTGTTGATGAAAAGAACGCGAAAACAAATTCGGGTTGTTATTTGGTTGTTGCCACGTCTAATCTTCCAAATTGCTGTTTATGTTGGTAGTTTCCGTTTGAGCACTTATTGAAATAAAAAGTGACATGTTTGTGTGTTTTTGTTCTCTATCTAAACAAATTAAGATAAGTAAAGATTTTTCTAATTTTTTCGAAAACTAATAGACTGATTTTAAAAAATCAAACGTCAAAATAAAGGACTTCGGAAGATATTTCAAACAAGCTATTACTCTATACCCTTTGTCATTTAAAATTTTCAAGGGAATGACTAGGGGCCGAGGGTAAAAGGGGGTGAAGTAGTTTTTGGTTAAAAAGTTGTTCCCCTCGACAAATCTTTTGACGTATCTCGGAATTTTTTCTTTCAATCAGTGGTTTTCCATAAATCCATGGTGTATGTATATGTATAATGTTCAATTCAGTAACGAGAATCATAAAACAGATAATGTAGCTATATAAGGGCTTCGTTACTTTTGGTGTAAGCATGGCCATTATCTGGCAGAGCAGTCTATAAGAAATGTACATTATACTTGTTTAAAGTTATGCTAAGAGCTCTAGGGTTTGGTTGCTCAGATACCAGACAAAGTTAGTGAGAAAAAAGGGAAGAAAAAAGGATAACATGCGGGAGGTAGTGTGCCTTATCCATGTTAGATAGGATTCGAGAATTTTAAATTGATCTTTAAGCATAGTTTCGAGATATGTTGTCTTGATTAAGTAGTTAACTGACTCACGCCACCTAGGATTGCTGTGTAGTTCTACTTGAATAGGCTGTCGCTACGCGAGTTCTCTATACAGGAAAAGGAATGTCAAGGTATCCGTGAAGAATTTCATTGGAGGCATACCATTAGGCATTAATGATTGTACATGTAATATTCAGTAAAACGAACAACATACCCGTTGGTGGTTCCATCATCAAAAGTGCTTGATGTACTGCTCCCAGTCCTCCACCTGCTTCAGGTGCTACATTTGCAGCAGCATTTTGATCAGCGTTTTGTTTTCCATCATTATCGCCCAGCAAATAAGAATATATATTCAAGATCCAGGATACCACTCTGCACCAATTTCTTACCAAACCTGCAAAAAATTATAATATCAATACGACAAGCGCCAGATTTCAGTCTCCTGGCGTCAACATGTTCACAGTATTTCTAAAATCTCTGCGTATCTGTAATGCACCTGAATGTGTAGGTGGGTATATTCAGAATCCGACGTCAGTCTGCAACCCACGGAGCGTCGCCGGGGCTCAATACAAATCTGAAATTCGACCACTCGGAACTTCAGAAGTTTTCCAAGTCACGTTCGAATTCAGTGTCCCAAATCACTCAAGTGTGCCATGTTTCATTCGGTTATAACAATGAGAGACGAAAATGAAAATTCATATAGTATATTTTGAGCTTTCCTGTAAGAAAATATTCAAAATCTCAGTATCGCGAGCATTAATTCCGGATCCGATGTCAGTTTAACGAGAGGCTATACCTCAAATTTAGCCTCACGATTTTTGTACTCCAATACTTTGAGTTTTCTTAAGAAAAAAATCCCTGTGTCAGTACTTCAATTTGATGATAGATGGTGCAAGGTCCCAAATACACCAACAAGTAAAAACCAATCTGACAAAAACACAAAAACGTTACACAAAAGTTTGACTACTTAACACAACAACAGCGACAGGCAGTATGGTTTCCGGCACCAACTATCCACGGAAAAACTTCCTAACTTACGTCACTCAACTGTGGAGCAAACTCATTCAGTTTTATCCTGAGGCTCATGTTGTTCTTGTGAAATGCTGCCCTCTTATGCAAACTTCAATCCTACGACCTCTCAGAGAAGCTCTAACCGCAAGATAGCCATCGTAATTCCCTGGCGATCGATCTTGGCTCCGGCATTGTTCCTCTTAAATATCAACGACCTGTACGATCTATCCGACCCACAGCTTACCTGAGGACAGCACTCTACTTGCAGGCATTTAGTGTGAAAAGAACACTGGCAGCTACCTCCTCCGTGACAAGAGACCTAGAGGTTATCACTGCTTGGGGACGCAACAAACTGATACAGTTTAATGTTCCCAAAACTCAGTACTGTGCCTTGAGCAACAAAAAGCGCCCCTGTGCTCATCCAATTTCGATAGATGGCCGATTTCTACCAAAGAGCCGTTCCCTTCGGGTGCTCAGAGTCCAACTCACCGAGGAGTTGATCTGGCACGAACACAGCTCGTCAACAGAGAGGCAGCTGTTGAGATAAAGCTAGGCTATTTGTTTAGGGCTAAGAAGAACTTTTCGTCACAAGACCCAGATAAGACCTACTCAAGAGTACTGCTCACATGTTTGCTGCCGCATCGACAACATTATCCATGCTCAATGGTTTTCAGGGGAAAGCTGCTTTGCTATAAAAAAATTACAAAATATACACTTACTTTTCAACCATATACGCGTATGCGACTGTTCCAGAAGCGACGGTAGGATAACTTGCAACAGCAGTAGCTCCAATGACAGCTCATTCACTTGAGTGTCATTATTCAAGGACACTGTATAAGGCAGGAACTGTGGCAACGTCGCTTTGAGTATCCTGATGGGCAGCCATAACATCAGCAATACCGCACTTCCGAAAATGACAGCGGAGATCAGCAATTTTCTGATGTGTTCCAGAATGGGTAGGTGGATCATCTCTTGAATGGGGCTGAAGTCTGGATCGTTGAAGTTGCGAAGGAACCTGAAAAAATAATATAATAACCGAGTTTAAAGATAATGCTATCAAAAAACAGTGTCAGTAGAAAGCATTTTGAGGAATCGGATAATAACACGAACAGTTTCTATACACCTAAGGTCTAATATGTTCCATTATTTATTAGTATTTTAACAATGTAATCTAATTGTGACAATTATTAAAAGAGTTTCGTTTTTTTTGAAAATACAAGGTACGTTTACTGCATATTTTTTTGAATTGCGTCTTGAAATTCTGTGATTGTACCTGTTAAAAATAAGCATCCATCCATACAGTACTTTTCAAAAGCCTCGTACTTATTTCTTGAACGGGTCAAATTAGTAAGGCGAATCTCACATGACCAGCATTTATTTTGGTACTTACCATGAGCATCATTCGCCGGTACCAGTGGATTTCGACGTAATATTATACATCAGTAATTACTGTAAATAGTGATCGTGTGACATTCGGCTAAAAGTGGCAGTCAACCATTTCAGGATGGCGGATGCGCACCATTTTGGAAAAAGTTTCTCATAACTGACAGGCTGTCAAAATTAAGCCCCCCCCACAACACCCAAGCCTCGAATTTCAACCCATACAAAAATATTTCTGAAGATGATCGGGAGCCTCTGAAACGTTGAAAGAAGAAGTTTGGAAGATTTTGATTTTTTTATGTTTTTTACAGTAGCTCCGCCGCTACTGGATCGATTTTCAAAAACTACAAAGCTTTTTTGTCCTTGTAGTGATATTGTGTGAAAATTTCATCGAAATCCGAGCAGTACTACCGAAGTTATATGCAATGATTAGCGGACAGGCAGACAGTCAGACAGAATGAAATTAATTTTTTGTGATTAACATGTCATATAACATTCAAAAACCATATCTCAATCCGTTCTCAAAATTTTTCACGATTACTATACCTCCTCGCCCAGTTGCGTAGTAAATATAATTATGCAAAATCTTCTGCGCAAACATGTTCAAATTAGAATTCAAATCGAATTAGATATTGGAATTCGCCGCCACAAAATGCCTCCGTTACACTTACCAAAGAACTCCTGGCCGCAGAATCTCTCTAAGTAGCAAGATGAACGAAGCAAAGTAGTAGACATAGACCATTCCAATCAGCCAATGTATGAATATGGACGTTCCAGGTGCAGATCTGAAACTGTTCTCTCTATCTTTGAGTGTAGCATCAAACATAGCCAAGGAGCATATGTCCAACCACCAACCACAGACGAGGGGTATTATCCCTATTTCCACTACACTGAGAAGGGATACTTTTACTACTACGTAGCACAAACCTGTAATGAGAAAATGTGGTTTTCATAAGCTGTTACGTGCTTTGATACAATGATCGCACTCATCAGAACATAGCGCTACTTCAATAGTCTCTCACATCACTGATGCGATAACTTATTTGACATGGAGTGATTCCCAAAGTGGGCCAGGTGGACCCCAGGTCCACGGAAGACTCAACGGGTGTCTATGCTGACGTAAAACAAAAATGGCGTTTCCCAACCCGGCACAAAGCATATGGGAAATGGATCCCAGACGATTTGTGCAAGAATTCAGTATGATATATTTCTCGCCTTCGCAAGCAAGGTTTCCATGGACCAAAGCAATCCTATGAATGGTGAATGTGTCGATTAGTAGTAGTTCTCAGACCAAAAACTCGAAAAATCAGTGTAATAAAAGAAATATTTTGATAAATCACCTTTGCTAGGAATGCAACAGGGAACGGGTCCACCGAAACCGGTTAAATTTTCAAAGTGGTCTATGATAAAAAAGTTTGGGAACACCAATAACGTCATCGCGTCCTCGTTGGCCGACACTCACCGTCACTCCAAACGGCTTGATGTCATAACATTCCTTTTCTCAGGTGCGATTTAGGTCTCGACGTTCGTGAATAATTTTTGGTTGTATAGTGTTGTAGTCACCGTTCTTGGACGTTACATCATCAATGCCATATGAAATAAGTAAACAGATCTAGTCTCCTTACCATGAGCGGAACTTAATTTTCCTAACTGAGAGAATCCGATTCCAAATTATTTACTAATCGTAATTCTCAAAAATCTTCTAATCTAGTACATAAACATGGGTAGAGTATGTATAACACGCCATTTGATGTTTTTTAAAGTTGAAATAAAAAATACATACGGAATTTACAATATAATACAATCTATGTGAGTGAAACACACATATATATATTTATATAGGTTGTGATACTGAAAAGAAAAGTGAGGTTGCTTGGGAGTTTGATGAAAAGCGATTGAGGGATATTATCAAGGAGTCTTTTCTGAAATACTTAGGACCAGTAGAGCAGAAAATTGAAAGCAAAATCAAAGACCTGAGTGAATCTATTCAATACATGTCAGACTCTTTTGACGATCAAAAGCGGTCATTGGAAAGTGTCTTGTTGGAAAATAAGACACTAAAAAAGGAAACTGCGGACTTGAAGAAGAGACTTCAGATGTTGGAAGGGAGAGTCGAAGCCTTTGAGAACAAGGAAAGGGCCAAGAATTTGATAGTAGCAGGAGTGCCAAAACAAACCAATTTAGACATTAAAGGAAGTATAATGAAGATTTTTACAGCTATGCAAATACAAACTACAAACATGGTAATGGAGAGTTTTCGATTGGACAAAAATGATGAAGGACCTATCTTGTTAAAAATGCAAAGTGAGCAGGCAAAGAAGGATGTCATCAAAAGAATCAAGGATTTAAAGGGTATATCTACAAGGCAATGTGGCTTAGAGGGAAGTGACAGAAAGATTTATTTCAACGAGGATCTGCCAATGTCTAAGAGGGTACTTTTAAAGATGGCAAGGGAACTTAAAAAGCAAAAGGGATATAAGGCAGCTTTTTACCTCAATGGATCTGTTTACATCAAAACAAATGAAAATGAGCAAGCCATAAAAATTAAATGTGAGTCTGATTTGGACAAATTAAGATAGTATAGGTATAGTAAATGTTTTAGGTCTATAACAGAACTTGTAAGTAATAATTTTCTCTTTTTTAATGGCTATAAACAGTATTTTTGATGATTATAAGATCTTAGAAACAAACATATGTGATAACTTATGTCAAGTAGACTTCTTTGATAATTCTGTAAGCGACCTTAATTTTACGCATGTAAACATACGTAGTATTTATCAAAATTTTGACCAATTTTTGGTGTATCTTGAATCATTAAGTAAATCTTTCGATGTTATAATTATGTCAGAAACACACTATGTATACAATATAGACGATTTTAACATTCCTGGGTACAAAATATTCTTTAACGAAAGTAGTCTTAATCGATGTGATGGATCAATAATTTTTGTTAAAAATGAATATCATATTACAAATCAAATAATTCAAGAAAATAATTTAAAGATTATTAGTGTCACTTTGCAAAAAAATCATGCAACGGTTGTTCTCCTAGCTACGTATAGGTGTTTTTGTATTTCAAAGGATGAATTCATTGATAGTCTAGGAAGAATATTTCAACGTTCCATCACTGATCGGAACAAGGTTTATGTATTTGCTGGGGACATTAATATTGATCTCTTAGATAGGGAAACAGATACAACAAATAACTATTTGACTTTATTGCAAGGCTATGGGTTAATGAGTGCAATTAATAAATCAACAAGAATTACTGATAACAGTGGGACTTGTTTGAATCACTTTTTTATTAAATGTAAGAGTAATGTTTTTGAAAAGGTTAGGGCTGTGATTTTGAAGAGCGACCTTACAGATCATCACCCCATTCTCCTTAATATTCAGCTAGATAGATTAGGTGAGGGCATTACAAATGAAATTAATACTTTTACAAAAATAGCTTATGAAAATATCACACAAAAACTAAACGGAGAGTTGTGGGGTGATGTTCTACAAGAAAATAATGTAGAGCTTTGCACAGAGGCTTTCATTAATAGACTAAAAGACATCATTTTGAAAGCCACTATAACTAGGCCTATACAAAAAAAAAAAAGAAATTAAAACCTTGGATCACTGGTGGGCTCCTAATATCTATTCGAAACAGAAACCTCCTTAAAAGGGAATGTGCACTAAATCCCAGCAATTTCGTAGTTTTAAACAGGTATCAGGAATACAGGAAATTTTTAAATAAACTTATCAAGAAAGTGAAGTATAATTATTACAAATATTTAACACAAAAAAATTTGGATAACCCCAGAAAATTGTGGAATGTGCTTAGAGAGGCTACCAATGACCAAGAGAGTAAACCAGAAATAAAATATATCACTACCAAAACTAATTCAGAAATAACTGATAAAAAATAAGTTGCAGATGAATTTAACAATTATTTTTGTAACAATGAAATTACTAGAGGTACTTGGAGGAATGAAGTGCGGGAAAAAAGAGGTAATGAATCACTTTTCTTGTGTCCTGTGACGAATGATGATGTAATTAGGGAGATAAACTGTTTAAAGAATGGGGTAAAAGGCGGGGAGGATAATATTTCATCAAATATAATCAAGAAATATAAAGAAAAACTTAGTATTCCATTGAAACACATAATAAACCTAGTTTTTGGTACTGGTATTTTTCCACAAATATTAAAAAAACCAAAGTGATACCTCTTCACAAACAAGGAGATAAAAAAGACATGAACAACTATAGACCCATTGCATTAACTAGTACAGTAAGTAAAATTATTGAGAAATGTCTGAAAAGAAAATTAATGCAGTTTTTGGAAAAGCATAAATTACTCAACTTAAATCAGTTTGGTTTCAGAGAGAATTCTAACACTGAAGTTGCACTTGTCAGGGTCACTGAGAGTATTCTGAAAGGGCTAGACCAAGGAAAAAAGGTGATGGGTATATTTTTAGATCTAAAAAAGGCATTCGACACAGTGGCACATCCAATTTTACTAGGTCGTTTGGATAATCTGGGAATAAGGGGCATTCCAAATAAACTCATAAAGTCCTATCTTTCTGGACGTGAACAAATCACAAATGTCTCGGGTCAGGCAAGTAATATTTTGAAGGTAGAATGCGGAGTGCCACAAGGTACGGTTCTCTCAACTTTGCTGTTTATAATATACATAAATGATATAATGGAACAATTAAATGATGCAAACATAACTATCTATTGCTTTGCAGATGATACGAGTATTTTAGTAAGTGGTGAAGATTGGGATTCCGTCAAATTAAAAGATGAAAGAGCATTTCACACAATTAAAAATTGGCTAGATTTTAGTTTGCTCTCTCTAAGTATTGAGAAAACCAATTTTATGACTTTTTCCCTTTCCTCGCGTACTTTGCCTAATCTAAACTGCATTAAGATTCATGACTCTTATTGTGACTTTGCACCTCAGTGTGCATGTAGCAAATATATAAATAAGAAATCGAGCTTGAAATATCTAGGAATAATTATAGATGAACTTCTTACTTGGAAAGATCATGTTGAGTATGTTACAACAAAGATTAGAAAACTTATTCACAAATTTTATGAATTAAGGGAAATTTTAGACTTCAGAACTCTTAAAACAGTTTATTTTGCTTTAACAGAATCTGTAATTAATTATGGTTTCGTAGTTTGGGGAAATACAAGTTTAGCAACGTTATCCAAGTTACAGGTAGCTCAGAAATGGATCATAAAAATTATGCTTTTCAAACAGAAACGATATTCATCTGAACTTGTTTTAGGAGACAGTAAAATACTGAACCTAGAGCAGCTCTATTTAAAATCACTTATAAGATTTATGATGAAATATGATTTCTACAAAGAATACTTACAGCATGGCCAAAATACAAGAAGTGCTGCTCATGCAAAAGTAAAATTGCAAAACCCTAGACACACAGCTTGCCAGAGTCACGTTTACTGTATAGGTCCAAAAGTTTATAATGATGTGCCAAATAGTATTAAGAGATTGAGATATTCTACTGTTAAAAAGGAATTAACAAGATGGATTATTATGTAATATAAAAACCTGTAGCATTAAAGGTATTAAGTTCCTAAAATTTAAGATAAAACATAATAGCTTTGAATTTGTTTGATCTATTTTTATATTTCTTTTTCTCTTTGTAAACTAGAATTAAGAACCTCAATGAAAAAGTTACACTTAACAATGTGAATGGGGTGCACACACAGTATTTTGAATACAATTGTGCATCTAAAACTATTAGAATAGTGGGTAATTTTAAGAATAGATAGCTGGATTTAAATATTATACAATAATTGTAAAGTCTATATATTTAATATGATGTAAAAAACTGTATACATGTTGAATCTGCTGCTAATAAATAAATAAATATATAAATAAATATATAAGGGTGTCCGCAAAGTTGGGGTTTTCCTTTACACGACGTGTAGATCTTGAAAACATAAGCAATTTTTCTTAGTACCATATACACCAATGTCTTAAGGGAACCGAGATAAAGGGCTCTGCAACATCAAAAATATCTGAATACCGTCCTGTAGCCACGATATCCCCGAATGGTACTAGGACACTAGCTCAACCCGACGGGGTCAGTGTGTCAGGTCAGTATGCAACCTTCAACCGACGGTTACGGTCACGCGTCTAGAGGTAAACGAACCCATATAATCGATTGCGTTTCAAAAAACAACAAGCACTGGAGACGTGGCTAGAGAAGTGCAAGTATCAAAAATTAAAGTGTGGCAAACGCTGCGTGAAGAGGGGCTGTATCCGTTTCACGTCCAACGTGTACAAGCCCTTCAACCTGACGATTTTCCAGCAAGAGTGCGGTTTTGTGAGTGGTTGTTGCATCAACATGACAATAATCCGGACTTTTTGAAGTGCATATTGGTGACAGACGAATCTACGTTCACGCGTAATGGGGTGAATAACTTTCGCAACACTCATGTTTGGTCATTACGCAACATTTTGCCTTCCTTGTTTGCCTGCGTCTGCTCGGTAGCGCATCAGCTGATTTCATTTTCTGTTGGAGCGGTATGATTCGGGCAGAGACGTACTTAGCCCTTCTCGTCAACTGGAGAGTGAGTACTTTTTCCTTTATTTTTTTTTTACTTGGTCGCCCTCGTTTCACTACACATTACCTTTGTTATTTCAAGGGTAGTTGTTTCTGAAAAGGAAAACCCCAACTTTGCGGACACCCTGTATATATATATACAGGGTGTCTATATATATGTATATATATACATAAAATAAGTTATGATATTGGGGGTACAAAATATAAGATAATTTCATTTATTTATGACTTGTTCCGAAACGGTCAAGGCAAGAGTGGGGATTTCCTTCACAACTGTCACAATATGTAGTAACTTTTGGTATTTTATTTTTTGCTATTTTACCCCTTATTTTTTTGTTATAACATCCTTTACAATACCGTCTGACTTCATGTGATTTTCCTTCTTTTTTTTCAGTCCGTCGTTCCCGTCTTGTGTCAGCTTTTGACGTAGACGGTAGATTAGACACATTATTTGTTGGAAACATGACTTTGGCCTGATGGGCATTTTTCTAACATTTTGCTTCGCGCTGATATATATCTATCAAAATATTTAGCAATCTACACTAAGGTGCACACATAGAAAATCAAGAATTATAAATTTTCAAAACTGTTTCAATAAAAGTATGAATTATGGGATTTCTTCATCAGTGCCATCTGAACTTTCTAACAAGTGAATGACTACATTAGTCTCCTCCCTACTTGATGCTTGTCCCAGTCGTTTTTAATCAAGACCTCGGTATGTTTGACACACTTGGCCCAAACTGTAGGAGCCACCTTCGCTAGAGCATCGTCCCAAACTTTCAAAACTTCCTTGTCACTATAGCCATTTTCCCCAATATGACGATCATAGTACTGTTTGGCTATTCCTCAGACTAACTCAATGGGGTTGCATTGACAATGGTAAGGGGGAGCCGCAAAACTTGATGTCCATGTTCATGTAATATTTCGTCTATGATATATCTTGGAGCCGATGCGATGGTTTATTAAGGCGACATATATTTAAAAGGTAAGTTTAAAAGCGTCATCATCAAAATGTATCTTTTTGTCTTGCAGCCAGTGCTTCAATTGCATTTTACTCCAATTGGAATTTTCTGTTAAGGCACTATGATAAGAGGCATTATCGATGATTACTAAATATGGCTCTTGTAACGCTGGTATCAGCTTCTCACATAGCCATTTTTTAAAAGAATCTTCACATTTTTATCTCGCCAAACTCGTTTAAGCGACCATTTGCCAAATCCACGTTTCATCTAAGAAAACGCATTGGAGAGGACTTCTACTATTCAGATTACTCATATAACGTCTCATAAAATAGGTACGTTTGGAAACAATGTCTGATTTTTCAAACAAGAGTCGGCGATTATCTTCTGTATTGTAGGAAAAACTGCAAGCTTTCAATAGACGCCTTAAACTTGAATCCGAGGCGTTGTATATGTACCTTTTTTAAGCTCCTGATTGAACGCACGTCTGTTTTGACGGCATCACTTACATCATCGGTCTTGCATTTTTTGATTTTGTGAGTTTCCCCAGGTGTAACTATGGGCAAACCTTTCTTATTATCTGATTTGATTCGCTAAACACTGTGCAGACTAATCTGCTACTCTCTCCAGTACGCATTAAGTGGGTAACAAGGGACCGCTGTTTTTATTCTCTTCCTGGAAATACTCTAATAAGTTTAGCACGAGCTGTCGGCCTTCTCCATTGGTCGTATTTTCGGGCATTGTACAATTTTATATTAAAGATTTATAACATGACAACTCAAATTGCACGCCGATGTCAAGTAAGTTGTCACTCTGACAAATCTGACACAACCAAAAAAATGTATGTCTTTGAGCTTACCAGACAAACGCTCACACACCGGGGTAGGTTGCATCTGAATCTATGAGGGAGATGGAGATATATAAAAAAGGATAATGGTAGTCTTACTTTGACCCGCCAAGAACGGTGACTACAACTATAGTTGCGTCAAATTTAGCATGGTAGAACGACTGTAAATGGGGAGCTTAACGCGACGGCCACTTCATCCTATTCGTTATCCAAACCACTTCTTCATATCAATCGCTTTAATAGCGCGTCGCGAATTTAGCGCCGGTCTTCACCTTTTCAGGGTCCGTATTTGATTAACGTATTCTACCTGAACATATCCATATTTGCCATATTGGCACATCCAAAAAGTTATCTGAGGTAAACTGAAGGTATCTCCTCTTCGCCATAATCATAGTAGTAATAGTATATTTAGTGCACATGGCATGTCAAAAGGAAAGTAGCATAATTAAAATATCACAATAAATGTAAATATAATACAGAGTGGGATATATAGGTAATAAGCTAACTAGTGTTTTTGTTTTTGTTATAGTAGTAGCTGAAATCAAAGCTAGAGTAAAATAGCTACTTGTTAAAACACTATAAATCATTTGAAATAAAAACAATCCGTTATCGGCCGAACTATGCTCGGTCGTTATCCGCCGATATAGGCAGCAGCCTCTTGGTGGTCCAATGAATGCGAAAAATATTAACAATGATTCACAGCAAATGAATTGATTGTCAAACAGATCGACAGACTACCAAGATAAAAGTGTCACTTCCTAGTGTTACCAATAACTGTCAATAAAGTTCAGGTTATCAACTTTAAGCAATGCTTATAAGTATCAACTCACCCAAAACCCTCTGTGCCCTATTGAACCCGAACAAGGCCGCAATCCTATTCAAGAGCGCAAACCAAAAGCCAACAGTACAATACCCCACCAAAGTGGTGAGCAACCCCTCAAAGTGACTAGCCGAGGCCGCCTCCTTCATGTTGAGCAGCGACAGTGTCATCAGCCCCATATGGTATGGACTGTAGGCGAAGATGAAGATGAAGAGGGTGTTCAACGAGATGATCCAGAAAACGTGTTCCAGGAACATGAGGGAACCATCAAGGCCCAGAAGGCGTTCCCAGGTGATCTCCTCGGCGGCTCGATCCCATTCCATAGGGATCCAGTTGTTGTCTTCGCCGATGTTGCCGTCTGCGTCGTCGGGTTGATCTGGGTTTTCTTGAATTACTCCTGAAAATAAGGATATTCTATTGAATACACCAATTGGTAGACACATACACGGTTGTGCATAAAGAATGTACCAAAAATCATTCCTACATTGAACTCGTAAAGATAAGAATATTGAGCCAGCCATACATGTATTCGTAACATCTGAAACGTATCCTGTGGTTTATATATTGATAATCCACCATGCTTGTCTGGCCAACAAAACCACATTTATTTGAAATTGTGGTCTTTTCGTAGACTTTCCTCGTGGTTTTGATTGTGTCGATCGTGTCCTGTTGCTGTTTAAACTGTATAGTATAGAATTCTGATGTTCTACCTCTAAAGCATTTTCAGTCATATCTTAATACTTGAAAGCAGTATGTTCTGTTATAGCGCATGATCTGTCGATTTGATTGAAGAACTTTCTTGCTGGAATGCAAATATTTCGAAAAAGATTTATTAACAGAAATAAATATGGAGTGTGTTTTTTATATAATAACTACATCTTAATTATAATTTTCAACAGAGAATAATGAAACAGTAACAATTAGAAAGGTATGACATGAAAATAGAATATAAAGAAGACATGTTTTTCACATATATTTTTTTTCAAAGAGTTTAATCTAGGATTACCTTTTGGTGCTTTCAATATAGTTTTTTTGATCCGCAATTTCTAGGTCAAATTGCAATGTTCGTAAATTAATATTTGAATCCCCACTCAAACATAATATTGCCTACTAAGTGTGGAAAGAGGTGTCTCGCCTCTGCTGGCTCGTTCCTGGGACAATTAGTTGAAATGGATGGAAAGTAGTATGTAGTAAGACAAACAGCTTGTTGTATTGTTTTTCAAAATACATACCTGGCTCCACAACATTCTGCTCCCCATCCTCTCCAACCCTCTCAGCTTCTCCATCCCCACCAACAGCCCCAACATTCTCTACCTCCCCGCCCCCATTTGGCGCTTCCCCTTCTTCTTCATCTTCATCCCCATCCCCTCCTTCTCGAGCCCCGCCTCCCGCATCTCTCTGCCCCCCGCCACCTGTAACAATCAATATACTTATTGGTGTCAAAAAAAATCCAGAGAATGAGCATGGCCAACTGATCAAATGAAAAACTTAGTAAATCTCACTGTGAAAAGAGTGTGCTAATAGATACTACGGGATTTATATTTCAAAGACTTCAAGTTATTGGTGAAATTAGACCACAGTTGTAGCAAAAGGTAACTAAAAATGTTATCTGTGGAATAGCTGTTTGTAGAAACAGCTGACTAGGCATCTTATGTAAAAATTATTCAGGTTTATGAAATGTAACACCCATACATCTACATTCTGTATATTCGAACAAACATGATGTTACCCTTAAATTATTAAGTGAATTCAAAGACAACTTCTCGAAGTACCTATTAGGATACCTTATACAACAGGCAACCAATTACGCACCTCTGCCGAGCCAATCAGGTCCGCCCCCATGCAGGATCTGTTCCCGTAGCCACACCAATCCAGCAAAAGCAAGAAGGGTACATGTGACCACAAAACAGCCTTGGAAGATATCTGAGGCTAGGTTGTCAGTGGCCAGTATGTCAAATGGTAGGGTTAGGATGGCGTCTATTGTACCAGCAAATAGTGCTCTGGAAGAAGAATATGTTGCTAGCGTCTCCATATTCAAACCAAACAGGCTATAACCTCTAGTTGCGACATAGTAAAGTTCAACTAAAAAGTCAAACAATATAGGCTATTACCAGTTTCTGGGAAGCTCTCCGAAAGTCAAATTTCCTACTTCGTCCAGGTAGTATCTTCACAGGTGCTCAGAAAAATACAATGTTTCAGATTTATTTGGCCTGATAAAGAATCCAATTAAGATGTAAGTCTTTCATATTGTTTTTTGGGCTCAAACATGGCATATGTGCACTTTTTCAAATATTAATCGCACATGTCTAGTAAACTATCAAAGTTCTAAAGCACCTTTTTGTTCAGACATCAATTTGGGCCTGAAAACTTACAGACTCATTGAATGGAAGGAACCCTCTTGGAATAAGATTATGCAATAAATCCGAATTTGAATAGTCTTCCAAGTAGATGTGTAGATACTACCTAGACTAACTCCAGATAAGATTTCTGAAGGTCATATATGCACCAAGTTTCACTCATTTGTAGTTGTGGAGGATGAAAATGGAAAACTGCATTGACAATCTTGACCAAAGCCTGGTTCTTGACTAAATGGGGTCCATATATCATGAATCTAATAACAGTTTTGTATTAACAGCATTAAGAGGTCAAATGATGCATGTTCAAGTCCAAATAGGGCGCAGTACCACAAATTATCCCAGTCTACTGGCTACTGTGTTCTGCTGACTTCTAGGCATGGATGATAAAAATGGAAATTAATTTTGTACTATAGAAGTTTCAAAATTCAAATATTTAGAAAAAATGGTCAAAAAGAGGATATGAATGTGTTTTGTACCCAGATTAATAGGAGGCCTGAAAAGGACCACATCTCTGACACAGCCACAGAAAGTGAAATGTTAATTGTGCATTAAAAAATTGTGAATATTGTAAAATCATTGTCTATCTCCAATCTTGATCAAAACCCGATTTTGATGTGGAGTGTAGATCCCAAAAAATCTCTTATACTTTGCCTGTGCTTAATAGGAGAGCACAGCATGGCCCAATTCCATCCTTTGGTACACAATCTTCTATGGTCATATTTGAAATAACATTCCATATCTAAAACTTCTACATAGTTATATTTTTTTGATCTCATAATGCTTTACACCTCTGAAAATAGCATTTAATATAAAGGTTAATAAGAAGTTTAGATATTAATAGTGCTCAAACTTGTATGGCCTACTGATTTGATTGCACTATTTGAAAATTTATCTTAGTTATGCATATCATATCATATCTTATATTAAATTTCCGCATTAATTAATCATTTAATTGTAATTAACAACCTTCATTGTCTGCTGCAAAACAATATAAAAATAAATACCAATGTTACACATTTATCATAGTTAAGCTTTGGTAAATTCAGATCAAACTAGTGTACTTTACCAGATACATAACTCTTAATAAATATTAAATACATGTACTACAATTTTACCTTGAAACAAAATCCTCACCTGTATATCCTACATGCTGTAAGTGGCACTATCCCCAACCATGCTAGAGCCACCAAAGTATAATGAAACCAATACTTCACAGCAGTGGCTATCGAAGCCAACAGTCCTGCAGCCAGATCTTTGAGTGGCAACCGCCTTGGCATATCTGGTGAATAAATAGGTGTAAAGGAAAACCTATGGCCACACAACTCGCAGTATTCTTTTCTGGAATATCTCATCCATTGCATGAGACACTCTTGGTGGATCCACTTGATGCTGCCTGTGCAGATACAAGGATGGAACAAGGGCCGACCTTCCAGACCCTCTGATCTGCACACTCGGCATATTATGTCGGTATTAGAGACTTCCGAGTCCATGATCGATCTGGAAAACGCACAGCTGGTAAGTGTTTACCAATTTTGTCGATATGGGATACCTACATCTATTTGAGCTTTGGCATTTAATTACGTTACTTGTTTACATTATACGGACGCTCTGTTGACGATTATAGAGACATCACATAGTACGTTGCATTAAGTGTCTTCAATAATGAGGACAATCAGAATTTGCACGTTTTTTGGCTTGTAGAGATAAAAAGACTGGACACAATTTCACTGAAAAAACTACTTTATTTTGACAGGTCACTTCTCAACCTTTTATCTTGACATTTCGGGGAACGATGGGTCACAGGGAACATTCTCGCTACTCACGGGTATTTGGAGTTATTGATGTAGGTAACGGAATTGTTACAGAAACGCATTAAGTCTGACGTTTTTCAGGGTCAGAAACTGCTTTGAAACAACTTGAGGGCATTGATACTTGCAGTTTATGATTAACTTCGTTTATAATGGATATTGTCAGCTGGAAGGTGGAAATCACAGTGATTTTTTGATATGTTGGTCAGTTTGCTCATCTCTAACTAGACCGGAGATAGGACGCTCTCTATAGAGAGAAAATGGAAGCCACATTCGGAAAAAGCCAGGTGTGCCAGATATATCAATTTTTCGCAAATCTACAGATTTCATCTGTTTCGTGTTGAACTAATGCAGAGCATCTACGTTTAACGACAATTTCATACGGAAAAAAAGGAAAAATTGTTTGGTTAACAGCTGGTGGGTTGGCTTCACGGCTCCTATTTTGCCTTTCTCTCAAGTTATTTACTAGACTTTATTTTTACCTATAAAATGAAAATGAAACTAGCAACCCTGTTGGTGCAGTGAAAATGGTCCAATGGGGGACCCCAACGTGTTGTGACGTTTACGCTTACATTTTGACACTTTATACGTATGTTTTAGGTTAACATATATGTCACTTGAAAAATAAACCCTTTTTATAATTTAATTTGCTTTAGAACGTTTTGGGTACGATGTAGACAGTATTTGGCTTTCCAGCAACGTGTGATGCGGCCTTACGGGCATGTCGTTGCCGAAAAAATCCCATAGGGAAGCTGACGAACTGAGCGAAACCAGCTGCTCTTCTCAAGATGATGCTGATTTTTGCCAAGTGGATACGAATTACGGAAGCGACATTGAAGATAACACATCAACGATCCACTTGCAAGAAGAAATTGAGGCTGAAATTCCGCCTATAGCCATAAGAATGCTAAATTTGTGCAGAGAGTTTGCTATTTTCTGTGTCATCATGGTCACCCTCACAGCACTTACCAAAGAGTGAGTTAAATCTAGATAAGTTAGGCTCATACTTGATTTAGGAGTGCACTATGATATTGAACCACATATAAAAAATAATAAAAACAAACCTTCAGATGACCCTGCAGAATGTATTGAAGTTATTGGAGGGAAGTAGGCTCAATAGTTAGTATCCTATTAATGTTTAAAAGCTTCACAGTGCAAAATTAAAATGAATAAAATATGCTTTTGTCCACCTGAACAAAGACAGCCAACCATGGGCAGCTGTTTTGTGAACAACAAAAAAAGCATTGCAACTATCCTGTGTCCAGAATATTAGGTCTATCAGAATAAGACAAAGTCCCATCTATAACCAGAATCCACCATAAAAAGTAAAATCTGAGATGCCAGCACCTGCTGTGCATGTTTATGACTAACAGTTAGAAACATTAATTTTCATGGTCCCTTTCAACAATAATAGTGTCTGAATCCTGTTTGAGTTCAGTTATTTGAATGCAGCAGTTGCTGATAATGTAAAATCTACAGTTTTGTCAGATTCATGATCTTGACAACTGATTTACCTATGAAATTGAGTATTAGTCAAGATGATAGATGTGCAAAAATATTTATTGATTTTCTAAAGTGCTTATTAATTTCCTCAATATAAAATTTTCATTTTTGTCAGCTGTTCTAACATATAAATGAATCTCAGTGCGATCGGCTAATTTGGAATGCTAATTTTGAATATGCTATCTAAAAATGCCAACATATCATGAAGCTAAATTGTGAATACCATAATACGACTTTTGGAACATTATACCAGTCTCAGCTACAACTTTTGGAGTCATCCATGTTTGAAATGTTTGCTTTCTGTCTCTGTAAGTATGATAACCATAGAGAAGGTTGCTTCATGCCAAGTAGTAACTCATCAGTGCAGCATAGCTGTAGTAGTTCTGGAGAAAAATAAACACAAAGCAAACAAATGGGTCTAATTGTTTGCAAAACTCCAAATGCTGTGGAGGTTGGTAAACAATCTGATGATCTCCAACTACGAATGGTTTCCCAAGATGATGGAAAATCTGTATCATAACTGCTATGATTTGTTCTTGTTGCTAAAATTTAGTTGGTAATGAAAGAAATTTGAGTTTTGAACTGACACCAGATTTTGTAAAATTCCATAAAAAACGAGAATAAAAACCCCCTAACATTATTTCCTTTCATCCTTTCTATAGAAACACAGATTGTAAAAATGTTGGTACAATCCAAGTTATTAGCTTGCCAAGGATAACCAACTGACCAGATGGAACTGGCACAGATTTTTATTACTCTTCTTGCTAACTCATAATATAAGATTGTGTTGATATCCATTAATCAATCACACCAAAATGCCTGAGCAGAGATAGATTATAGTCTGGACTAGCATATAGGCTATTTCTTGTTTGTTTGTTTAAGATTTATTTAGCAAACTAATCAATTAGGTAGATAACATACAGACTTCAGAAAAAAATTTGCATCTCTAAGAATTTTCATTGTCCATGAAATATTAATTTAATTTTCTTTTAAATATCTTTAAATTACAAGTAGACTTTATATCATTATTTAGTTTATTAAATTCAAGTAATCCTTTCTGAAATATTGATTTGCTACTATTGCAATTTTGTAAATGAAAATCTATATTTCCTCTTGTATAATAATTGTGGTAATGATTATTCAATTCTATGTAGTGTTCTGGCAAAAGATGATTTTTTATTTTAACTATAAAAATAAGAACCAAATATGATATGAAATTTTGTATACTCAACCACTGCAATTTTGTAACATAGATTTTATTTTGGTGTACTGATTTTTATTCAATATTATTCTCATAGCTTTATTTTGCAAGACTTGTAATTTTGAGAATACAGCTTCATTGGCAGTGAACAAGATAGTTGAACAATAGAGTAAATGCGGTAGAATAATTGTATTATAAAGTATCAGGTATCAAGACTATGAGAAACCCTATAAAAGTGACTTGTTTTTTTTGGCATTTTTTGAAATACTGAATACTAAGTGACATATAAATCCGAACACCCAGTTTAAATGGTTTTATTTTAATAAAATTTTGTATAAGGACTTAATGAAGCATAATAAGTAAATGATAAAAATTTCAAAATGATTGCACTGCTTTAAAGCCCGTTGACCTTTAATAATGTGTGGATGCACCCTGATGTGCTACGCATTCTCCAACGCGCCTAGGCATGCTTCTGAGCAGGTGGTCAATGTCCTCCTGTGGTATCTCATTCCAGGCAACCACCAACTCCTCTCGAAGTGCTTCTAGAGTTTGAGCAGGACGTTGCAAATTGAGCAATCTCCTACCCATCATATCCCACACGTACTCAATTGGGGATAAGTCGGGAGAACTTGGTGGCCATGGTAACAATGTGACATCATTATGTTGAAAGAAGTCTATTGTGACTCTTGCAACATGTGGTCGGGCATTATCTTGTTGGAAAGTTGGATCTGCCAGGGTGTCAAGATAGGGTAAAAGATGGGGTTCTAGAACTTCGTGGATATAACGCTGCGCGTTGATGTTACCTCTGATGAAGATTAAAGGTGGCCTGGAACCATAAGCTATAGCACCCCAAACCATAACTCCAACAGTGTGATGAACATGTCTTTCAACAAAAAACTGTGGATTCCTCCTTTCACCACGTCGCCTTCTAACCCTCGCACGACCATCGTGCATGCCTAAACAAAATCGAGACTCGTCACTAAAGACAATACTGCTCCATTCCTGATCCCAGAGTGACCGTTGTCTGCACCACTCAAGGCGATTACGTCGGTGTTCTCGAGTTAAAGGGAGGACCCAGTGTGGCCGGTATGAAAACAAGCCAAAACTTCGCATGCCAATAGGTCTTCCGTGTTCTGCAAACCATTCATTTGCAATGGACCTGGTAGTGGAGAAACGGTCCCTTAAGGCCAATAATCTTAGGCGGCGATCTTCACGGTCTGTTGTTCTACGGCGGCGTCCAGTGCCCCTTGCTCTTTGCGTACGGCCTTCTCGAAGCCATGCCTGACAACACCTAACCACAGTGTCTACACTTCTTTGCACTCTAACTGCAATTGCCCGAAAAGAAAGTCCAGCTTCCCGAAGTCCCACTATACGGCCCCTATCAAACTCACTAAGTTGACGAAATCGTACAGGTCTCCGTACTCTAGGCATCGTAACCGATCGTAAAGGATGTCAAGAACCAAAATCCGCCAACGTTGATTCTTTACTGCGGCTGAAATATTCATTTTTAGAGCGTTAGTGAATTAAAAAAAGCAGTATAAAAACCGGAATGTCCAACTGATAAGGCTGAAAATTTTTTCACTTGTTATTTACAGTAAGATAAATACATTCACCAACTTTTATTAAAATAAAACCATTTAAACTGGGTGTTCGGATTTATATGTCACTTAGTATATTCATAGTGATGCTCAAACTTTAGTTTACTATGAATATATATACCTAAATATTTAATTGATTCAACATTTTCAATTATTTCTCCATTTATCCTAACTGTGATAGTATTTTCATTTAGGTATTTCCCTATTGGCATACATTTTGTTTTAGAAATATTCAATTTTAGTTTATTTATATTTAACCAATTTACGATTTTTGCCAAGTCAGAATTTAGCATTTTTAAAGCAGTGACTATATTTTCATCTGATATATATTAATGTATCATCTGCAAATATCTGAAGTTTACAATTATCTAAAATATTACAAATGTCATTAATGTATAAAAGAAATAGTAGTGGACCTAGTTTACTACCGTGTGGTATACCAACAGAAATATTCTTTGATCTTGATAATGTAGATCCAATTTTGGTTTTTGACTTCTGTCAATTGAATAGTTTTGTAGAATTTTGAATACAGATCCTTTAAATCCGTAGTGATGCAATTTTGTAAGTAATTTATACCTGTCAATAGTCTCAAACGCCCTTTTGAGGTCCAAAAATACTGTTACTGTATGTTTCCGATTGTCCATACATCTCCTCTCCATTTGTGTTGCCGTTTCAGTTGAGTGTTTCTTCCTGAATCCAGCTTGAAATTTGGTTAATATGTTATTTCCCTCAATCCATTTGATGATCTGTTCTGTTCGTAATAATTTCTTCAAAATCTGGCAGAACATTTATTAACCGCGTATTGGCGTACAACTCAGAATTCTTAACTTTAGAAACAGGAGTTATGGTAGAATACTTCAGTTTTGTTGGAAATTCGCCATATTTTAAACAATAATTTATCAGGATTAATATTCTTGCTCCAATAATATCAAAACATCCATTAAGCACACTTTTAGACAAAATCTCACTATTATTATGATTTGATTTAATTTTTGATATAATCTTCTTGAAACGATTAATGTTTATTGTTCTAAACTCACTGAATGATGCATTATAATTTGAGCTAATGGGACATTGGTTGGGATCCCCATCAATAATTGATTTTACAATATCGTTGACACTTTCTATGAAATAGGTATTCATTCGATCTGCTATTATTTCCTCATTTGTTATTACCCCATCGTCGAATTCCATTTTAGATAATGTACTTTTTCTAATAGGAGAAACAATGTTAATTATTATTGAATTAGATCTAATAATTCTGTTTCTTTCTTTTATGTCCTTAATCAGTCATCTCTTCACTAAAACCGATGACTTTATAGGTAATAGGTAATTTCTTTCGACCCACGTTAACTTTATAACTTTGTCCAATGTTTTTTTATGATCCGGGAGACAATTTTAAAATGTCTATTTCATGAGCTACAGCCCAACTTACTTTGACATGTGGTATCTGGCGCGGAAGCGCTCTGTCGCTGGGTCGACTGAAATGAGTAAGGGTATATAAATAGATCATTTGCATAGTGCATTTTGGTATTTGCTGTTAGGTACTTCACATATGATCTATTATAATTAGCATTATATATTTGATATTCATTATTGTTGCATTAAAATGTTAAATAAATAATATCCATTGCTAAAGTAACTATTGCATGATTTTGAATATGATATACTAAGTGACATATAAAATTTAACACCCAGAATTATTTATTGAATTTTGATAAAAACTTGTAAACATATTTGCTGTAATGGAAATATATGCTGATAAAAAATGTTGCAGGCATTCCGAGCTGTACCTTTTTTCTAAAGGCTTTTTTTGTCATATCAAGATTCGAACAATATGCATGTTTTCTTAATATTCAGTGATTTTTCTGTGTTGGTTCCATTTGTTTCATTGTTGATCCATTGCATTATCATTCCTAGAGTTTGCAGACTCGCTAATTCCAGTCAACTTTCCGTGATTGAGAGTGGTCGGATAATCAGGTTACGTGAAGCCGGATTTTCTTTTAGAGAAATTGCTAATCGGGTGAATTGAATCGAAGCTACTCTAATGAGATTTTGTCGAGCGTGGTTCTAAGAAGGCCGAAATCGACGAGTTAGACTGGACGTCAAAGACAGACTACAGAGCGACAGGATCGTTATTTGAGACAACTAGCGCTTAGAGATCGATTTTCCACACCATCGTCGGCAACGATTGGTATGAAGTAGGGAAAGACTTGAATGAAATGTGGAATGGAACTCAGTCGTGTTCAGTGATGAGTCCAGATTCTGTTTTTATCGCATTGTGGGTGTTATGGTATGGGATGTGATTGCAGCAGGTCACGATTAGTGTTCATTCGAGGCAGCATGACTGCCCGGCGCTATATCCACGAAGTTTCACAACATCTGCTTCCCTATTTGGAAACATTGCAAGATCCACGTTTCCAGCAGGCCAATGGACGACCTCATGTCCCACGTGTTAGTTTAGAGTTTTTAGAACATGTATGGGACATGATGAGAAGATGGTTGCAAAATTCACCGCACTCTCCTCAATCATTGGAGGCTCTATGAAACCAAATTCAGATGGCCTGTGATACAATACACCAAGAAGACATCAATCACCTAATCCAATCAATGCCGCGACGACTTAACGAATGTGTAGCGAAGAGAGGAGCTTCAACACATTAGATGTATTATATCTCAGCTATTGTGAGAAATTTCGAGTTAAAATTTTAATCATTTTCTATTTGTCAATAGACCTGAAACTCTTAAAAGTATGCTCAAAATTACTGCACTCCTAGTCTACACTTTTGCCATGTTCATACCCTTCACAGTAAAACAGCTGGGTTTTACAGACTTCTAAATAACAATCTGATTTTAGCCCTCCAAAAATATCAAAACCACCAGCAGCATATCCCTTCTTTCCAAAAGGCTCACTAGTAACAGATTGGTTTAGAGGCCATGTAAGCAAAGCCATAGAATACTCAAGAACAAACGACATAGCCTTCATCATGTTCTACGCTCCATGGGATGCAGAAAGTCAATCTGCCAAAAAGGAATTTGAAATTGCAGCAAAATACATGCAGGATTATGTGAGCTTTTCAGCTGTGAACTGTTGGCATCCTCAAAGTGAATGCAAAGTGCAGTATAGTAAAGTTTACAGGTGGCCAGTGTTGATAGCATATCCATCTCATGGTAGAGGAGTGCAATATAGTGGACCTATGAGTGCACCACATATGATTAAGTTTTTGAAGAAGATTTGCAATCCTATTGTGAGGTTAGGTGATGGGAATCCTAAGCAGTTTGAAGATGTAAGTAACAAGTTACATAAATCAATCAGTGTATGTTTGAATTAAGTTTATGTAAATAAAATAACTGTAAAGTTAAGGAGCAATAAAAGAATGGCATTAAGTAGGTTGGCCCTGCACTTCCTAGGCAACATTGTGATGAGTTCATAAAGGATTATATTCAGCACACGTTGATTCCTCTTAAAATAAAGTTTGCAACAAACATGTATAACATGAGATTAAGTGGATCGTGACAGTCAAATAGACTCATACAATTAGTCTGCAATGTTGGCAATAATGAATTTGGTGTAAATCTAGTAAAACTTGTAGTGTTTTGTTTTTGTATGCTAATGAAATTTTCTAAATAACAATAACAAGTGCAAAATGAATCTGTAGCATACAAAAACCAAAACAAAATATGGCTCAGTCTACCTGGCATTGACAGATCCGTCAGAATGATATGTCCTTTCCCGATATGGGGAAATTTGAAATATTACTAGATAATTAGCTGTCATTCTACCGTGATGGATACTCGTGAAATAGGGTATACCCCCAGCGTCAAATTTCTAACCCCTGCAAACATTTTTAGTAATTGACTAGGACCTTCTGAAACATCAAAGAACGCCGTTTGAGCGATTTTTTTTAAATTTTTTGCCTTTTTCTCTTCCGGCACTAGACCGATTTTCAAAAAACTTTTTTGTCATTGGCAACTACTACTAACCATGTGTGAAAATTCCATCAAAATCCGAGCGGTACTTCCCAAGTTAGACGGACCAAGGATTAACGGACAGACACACACAAACCCAAGGAAATGAATAACATGGTTTTTCGAATGCACATGTGATATCACATCCAAAAAGCATGATACCTCTTATCCGTAATTTTTCGCGATTACAATACTCCCTCGCCGGTGAATTCCAAAAGTTTGTATAAATATCTGTCTGAGCCCAAGAAATGTTCAGAGAGATATGAAATTTTTCAGAATTCGCTTCCTAAAAAATCATCTTGAGGTATTGTAAGGGGATGAGAAACTTGATAAGTATACAGAAGTAGTGTGGTATACCAAAAAGTTGTGACTCCTTCAAAAAGATTTTTAAGTTCGTCCAAAAATGACGGGTAACTCAAAAAACCAAAGTGATATATTCTTTGCAGATATATGTGGTTGCGAAATTAAACACTTCACCTGGTAGTCGGGACTTTGCAGTTTTCTATACAGCGGCTCTAAATTATGTTGAAAAAGATCCCGAGTATCGTATCACATTCTTTGTGACGCCCACTCCTACTAAACATCCTACCTTGCATTTACAACTTTGGAATGAAACACTGGTAAGATCATATAATGTTCACAAGATTGCTCTAATAGCAAGAAATGAAGCTATTTTCAAGTAGCAGCGAGTTTCAAAGATTGAACTACTTTTTGCAGGTTTACCCTACTCATGAGAAGGCATGGTCTCCAGACGAAATATTGCAGTGGATCTTCAAGAATACTCATCAAATCACAACATGGGTGACTCCAAGTGGATCTAAAAGTGTAACTTTATATAACAATATGAACAACCATCCAACACTACTGCTTTTTACACCAAAGAATCCACTGCATCACAGTAATGATTATTATAATATGGTAAAAAAAACTGTAAGTACCTTCAAAAATTCGTAACTAACTTGATAAATTTTAGCTTCAAGATGTTTCTCAAGAATATCATAATTGTAAAGACAACGTTATGGTCAGCATGCACGCCTTAGCATTAAAGCTTAAACGATCAGGTATGTCATTTTACAGAATCGTATACTGTATATTGGCTTAAAGAGGTTCCTAAAAAAATATACTGTGACATAAAAAATGCAACACCCAGAATTATTTATTGAATTTTGATAAAAACTTGTAAACATATTTGCTATCATGGAAGTATACGCTGATAAAATGTCGAAGGCATTTCGAGCCGTACCTTTTTTGTAAAGGCTTTTTTTGTCATATCAGGATCCGAATAATATGAACATGTTTACTTAATATTCAATGATTTTTCGGTGCTGGTTCCATTTGTTTCGTTGCATTATCATGCCTAGAGTTCGCAGTCGCCCTAATTTCACTAAACGTTCCAAGAAGGCCAAAATCGAAGAGTTAGAGGTACTGGACGTCAAAGATAGACTACAGAGCTACAGGATCGTTATTTTAGGCAACTAGCACTTAGAGATCGATTTTCCACAACAAGGGCAGTTGCGAACCAGTGGTTTGATGCTGCCGAAAGGGTCTTTTGTACTGTTTTCATACCGTTCCCATCTTGTACTGCCTCTGAACCTACAGCATCATCGACAATGATTAGTATGGATTAGGGACAGACTTGAATACAATATGGAATAGAACTCAGTCGTGTTCAGCGATGAGTCCAGATTCTGTTTGAACACACATGATGGCCGTGCAATAGTAAGGAGGAGACGTGGTGAAAGATGGAACGTCCAATATTCCATCGAACGGCATGTTCATCGCACTGTGGGTGTTATGGTATGGGGTACCATTGCTTACGGCAGCAGGTCACGATTAGTTTTCATTCGAGGTAGCGTGAGTGTCCAGCGCTATATCCACGAAGTTTTACAACCACATTTTCTTCCCTTTTTGGAAACATTGCAAAATCCACTTTTCCAGCAGGACAATGCACGACCTCATGTCGTATGTGTTAGTTTAGACTTTTTAGAAGCGCCCGGTGTAAATCTGCTTCAGTGGTCTCCTCGATTTCCAGACTTTTCCCCCATTAAACATGTATGGGACATGATGGGAAGAAGGTTTCAAAATTCACCGCATCCTCCACAAACATTGAAGGCTCTAGGAAACCATTGTTAATATTTTGCGAAATTTCGAGTTAAAATCTTAATCACTTTCTATTTATCAGTAGACCTAAAACATGTAAAAGTATGCTCAAAATTACAGCACTCCTAGACAGTGTTGCATTTTCTATGTCACTGAGTATACAATGTACGATCAATGATAGGAGTTTTATGATGAAAATTAATGCTTGGTGTTACCACGGTCCCTAACCTGTAAGCTTAAGTGTCAATAGAAGCTTTCCTTTTCGCCACTTTCTCAGATAATCTCACCTCATTTCACCTCGCCTCACATTTTGATGCGTAACATTTGTCAAAATGAGGTGAGATTCTTCCCGTTGCCCCTGCAGCATGTGCTTCTCGGTACATGCTTCAGTGAGATTTTCAGCTTACTCGATTGGATGGCTGGGGAGGTTTCTGGCATTTGAGGAGTTTTGGTAAAAGATTTTGCGAAACTTTGAATTGAAATTTTTAGGTTTGTATCAATAATGAGACAGCATTTTCATAGAATACGAAAATCTGACACCCTAAAAATGTGTTTTGTGCTTGTTAGATGGAAAACTTACTTTACCGTTCTTTTTGACATATAAATCAAATCCAAGCGAATAACCAAAATTTGTGTTATGTACCGCGATTATCATATGGTTTAAGATGGCACACGGGTTGATGACGTCAGTTACACGAATCGCTTGAACGCGTTGGTTTTAACCGCGGTTTTGTTGCAAGTTGTTTATTTTAGAAAAGCGCGTATATAATTTCTGATTATTTTTATTATCACTTAATAATTGGTGATTTTTTGTCTACAACAGTGCATGGAAAGCTTAAAAAAGAAATGACCTTTCATAATATTAATGGGAGAAATGTTTTTTTTCAGAAAATAATTTTTAATGATGGAACCATAATCAAATTCAAGCGAATAACCGAATGAAAATGGTATTTACCATTTTGGATTGGTATTTACCAACGAATTCGAATTACCGATCCGTTCAAGCGAGTGTGGTTATCACTTTGGTTATAAGATCCGTGACGTCATGAATCAGCTGTTATATGTCATAGTTATCACCATAAAATTGTGGTATTTACCAACTCCGGAGTAGTTTTATATTTCTGGTTATGATTTGAAATGTGACAAGTTAGAATTTTGGCGAGTGCTGGATATTTTTGTTGTACTTCAGCTTCATTTTTGAGAAACTTGATACAGGCTGACTTCAGTTGTAGCATAAAGTAGATAGAGCACCTTATTAGATATACTCATTACTGTTGTTGGGGACACTTTAAATCTAGTTCCTATGCTTAACAAAGTATCATGTGTAGTCATATACCACAAGAATATTAAAATATGGCCATATAAACTCACTGGATACTGTCCACCGGTTTTGCTAATATCTTTTTTCATCTCTTTTTCCTATCATTTCTGCAAAATCAATAAATGTTTTCTTTAACATGCGGACAAGTTTAGAGAATTGAAGGTTACCATAGCTACAAAGCCATGGTTCCATCATTAAAAGAATTTTTCTGAATTAATATTATGAAAGGTTTACCTTCCATACACTGTTCTAGACGAAAAAGCACCGATTATTAAGTGATAATAAAAATAATCGGAAATTATATACGCGCTTTTCTAAAATAAACAACTTGCAACAAAACCGCGGTTAAAAACAACGCGTTCAAGCGATTCGAGTAACTGACGTCATCAACCCGTGTGTTATCTTAAACCATATTATAACCGCGGTACATAATACAGAAATTTTGGTTATTCGCTTGGATTTGATTCATGTCTATGATAGCTTTCAATTCTCTAAACTTTTCCGCATGTCAAAGAAAACATTTATTGATTTAGCAGAAGTGATAGGAAAAAGCGATGAAAAAAGATATTAGCAAAACCGTATACAGGTGGACATTATCTAGTGAGTTTATATGGCCATATTTTAATAGTCTTGTGGTATATGGCTACACAGGATTCTTTGATAAGCATAGGAACTAGACTTAAAGTGTCCCCAATAACAGTAATGAGTATAACTAATAAGGTGCTCTACTTTATGCTTCAACTGAAGTCAGCATGTATCAAGTTTCCCAAAAATATCCATTACCTGGCAAAATGCTAACTTGTCACATTTCAAGTAATAACCAGAAATATAAAAATACTCCTGAGTTGAGTAAATACCACAATTTTACGGTGTTAACTATGACATATAACAGCTGATTCATGACGTCACGGATCTTATAACCAAACTGATAACCACACTCGCTTGAACGGATCGGTAAATCCCAATCCAAAATGGTAAATGCCATTTTCATTTGGTTATTCGCTTGAATTTGACATATAGTATAAGAAAAATCACGCTTCTCACCTGTGCGGTGTGCTACTCAGTTCCAAATGGAAATTTACTAATATGTGTATCAAGTATTATATTATTTTTATTTATTGCTTTATTACCGCATTATTTTTTAGTGAATGTTTTACACCACAAAACATTGAGTGCCACATGTAAAGCAAAATCGAAGGTGCAAACCAATAAACGAGTGATCTCTACACTTGCTACAGCTTGGACGAACATTTCAACGTGTTCAAAGAAGGATAAAGGTTGTAATTTTGTGGATAAAATTAGTAGCTTCTGTTTGAAGTGGCAATCAAAAGGCACCATTGACCTAGCGCCTTTGATATCTCTAACTACGGATGAGTTGTGTGAAAATTGCAAAGCATCACATCTGGAAAACTATAGTTCGATGTATACAGGTGAGATGGAGCACAGGTCTTCTACTTTGTCCACTCAGAGGCTTTTGCACGATATGTTTTAGTAGACTTTGTTGTTATAGCACCACATATACGGTTTTGTAAAGTCCCAACTTTGAGGTCACCCTATAACAGGGTGATTCACAAGTTGTGACAAAAAATGAAACATCATACACAGGACCGCATTTCAAGGGGAGTCTTCTTTGTAAATTTTTTTCCTCGAGGGCTTTATTAAAAAGATACGAGGTGTTGAAGTTTAAAGATGAAAAACATTTTTTTATATCTTCAAAACCGTCAATTGGAAAGAACTAAAATTTGGTATGTGGATTTACCTAATTATTGTCCATATTTAAAAGTCGTCACTCAAAATTAACGTGCACCAGTGGCGGAGATACAGGGGATTAGTGGCATTATTTTTCCAAATAAAAATAGTACGCCACTGTTTTTTTTTCGAAACGTGCGATTTTTCGAATTTTACCTACAAATGCTACAAATAATTACTCTTATGTTTTTTTCCTAGATTGCGCTGCTTTTGTAAAAATAAAAATAAAACAAATTGGATGAGCGAAGCTTTATTTCAACAAATGTTCAAAAAGACCACCATTCTGACGGATACAGGTACGGCATCTGGTGCCTGTTAATTTTAAGTAAAGATTCTTGAATGTGACAATACTTAGGTAAATCCACATACAAAATTTTAGTTCATTCCAGTTAACGGTTTTGAGGGTATTAATTTTTTTTTATTTTTAAACTTCAATTCTTTTTAATGAAGCCCTCGAGGAAAAAATTTTACATATAAGACCCCCCTTGAACTGCGGTCCTGTGTATGATGTTTCATTTTTGGTCACGACTTGTGAATGACCCTGTATAGCTTTAGCATGCAAAATATACATTTTAGTTCTTCAAGCGAACAAAATTTGATACAAATTTATAATTTGGCGCTGCGAGTTCCATTAAAATAATAAAAATTGTGTGCAAACCATATTGACATAATACATTCCAGGGACAAATGATCTTAGATCTCCTGAGGCTCTCCTAAACCAGTACAAGAAAGAGAAATGTCGACAGTTCCTAGCAGCAGAAAAATTGCATCCAGCTATTCTAGAAGCAGAGTACAGTTATACTCAAGGGAAGTATAGAAATGTCAGCGGATTGTCGTGCCAGACAAACAAAAGTTTGACGTTTTTAGCTATGGACAGCTTGTTGAACTACCAGTTTGCTCGACGGTTGGGAGTTGATCTGTCCAGTAAGCTTGATAAGAGTGCTGCGATTATCATTGGTGATAAGGTAAAGCATTTTATGTATATACCTTTTTTATCAGATCAAACATGTTTTGCTTAATCCATTGATTAATGTATTCTCCCAGATGTCAATTGAGTTGCCATGTAGGATCTCAAGAATTCTCTTAAAAAACAAACAGGATTTTCCTTTGAATGAAAACTGTTTATTCCAAAAAATGACATCAACCTTTCAAGGAACAAATACCGCCTAACCTCCACCGTAATTATTCCTAATATTTTGTAAAATTGACCTTGAAGTAACCTTGTCGTCAACTCCAAGGTTATCATTTATAACCCGATTAAAAGTTACCAAAGGACTAGCCTTACCCATTTTGACCTTTACGGGTGACCTTCATCTTAGGTTTTAATACATATTGGTATCTAGGATTTTTCATTCTTTCAACCTTAGGTGTTAAAAAGGGGGCTTTATATTTAAAAAAGGTTTATCTTAAAATAACCCATAAGGTGATTCTCCAAGACATACCACAGGAGTGCTACTTAGAAAAAGATCTGTTTCGTTACATAATATTACACCTGGTATGTTAATCAATGCTTGAGCTTGATTCAACTCGAATCTAAGAAGCATCAAGACGTCTGTAAATTATTTGTTTAGGCCAATTTCACGATTCGTGAGTTGTTCTAGTCAACAATGCCAAGTTACATATCTAACCGACTCACTTTCTTTTCTTTGCTCTTCTTCCTCCCACCTGTCTTTCTTAATCTCTTCTTTCTCCTGACTTAGTCTGGTATCTAGGCAAGCAAGCCTGTCAAGCCTACTTACCTATAAGACTTTCCAAGAGAAAATGTCCTCTGGCACTGTAGTACGTAAATTAAAAAGTGTTTAATATCATTATGTAGGTTTTCCGGAAAAAATGCCACCTTGGAACTAGCTGTCATTTAATTCATGATCACTTGTAGTAGCTGTGCGTGTTGCCTTAACGTCATGACAGTTGAGTTATATTTCGCTATGACGTGGTACTCCAGAGCTGGGACTAGTTGGAGCTATTCATAGCTCCTATCGTATGTGGCCTGAGCTGGCCTAAGAAAAGCTATTGATGGTTTGCTCTGTGAATACCTGGCATTCCAACCACTTGACACGTTGACCATGGTAGTGGAATACGCTATCTCTGTGCTTAGTGTAGAACATCGGGCGGTATGAGCTAGAGAGCGTAAGGGCCTCTATCGTCTTCATCATACGGGATGATGGCGATCATCAGATTTCCATCTACTTGCGCATAATGTTCTTAAGCTGTATATTCTATACTATTGCAGGAATGCCGGTCGTTGTGCCATTCCTCTTTAGCCCCCCATAGCGAATACGAGTAGGTGCGGAATTGGCTAGCGACTAGTTGGTACGCAAGTTCATACTTTACCGATTTTTAATGTCATCGATTTTTACGTAAAACTCCTGCGGACCGCTCTGAGAGACACTGACATTAAGACGTCGCCTTGTGACACTTTTGAGGTATCGTGTCATTGTTATTATTAATTTGTTCCAGATGGAGTCCCACTACATTTTGGATGGTCCTATTAATGGGATCACAATTCGTGATTTTATTTTCAATTTCACAAAAAACCAGTTAAGTAGATCGCTAGAGTCGCCAGCAACTCTGCTTGAATCCGAGCGAGAAACTTTTAAAAAGGCTGAAGTTGATCCAAAAAGTATTAGAATTAAAGAGTTGGATACAAAATCGTTTCTACCTACTATCTTTATGGAAAATAAGGTATGGATAGCCTCAAATTTGACTTTAGTATTTCGAAAAAATCATATATGACAGTCAACAAATTATTGGCGCATTAGTTATGCATTAGTGTCAAATCACTCATATGCATGTATGAGAATACTTGTTTTGCACCCAAAATAATTGTATCTGATTGGAATTATATTCTTGTTTTAGGCTGTTCTAGTATTCTATTACTCAAAACAATGTTCCTTCTGTAGTGGTATCTCATATACCTTACTGGTGACTGCAAAGAAGTTAGCTCATGTAGATAAATTATTGTTTACACGAATCGATGGAGATACCAATCTGCTGCCTTGGGAATATACTATGGAATCTTTTCCCACTATCCTCTTCATTCCCGCTACTAGGTAACTACAGACCTTAAATGAACCTAAGTCGAATTAATCAGGCAGGTTTAGGATATCGTTTCTTTGTTTTGCTCCATATAAATAAAAGAAAAAAAGAATTTTAAAAATACGCTTTTATTTAGCCGTTAATACAAAAACTGAGCACTTATAAATACTTCCGATCAGAAATATCCCGCTTTATACAGGGTATCCTGAAGGTCGGGACTTTCCTTTTCAAAAACAACTACGTTTGTAATAACAAAGCTAATGTGTGGTAAAACAACAGCGAAAAAGTAAAAAAAATGACAAAGTACTCGCCATTAATGGAAAAGAAATTCCAAGTACAGCTCTGTCACTTGTAAGTATTGTCCAAAGTTGTCTGCGATAGATTCAACACATGTATGTGCTCGATATAGCCAAGTATTGGTAGCATTTCGAAGACACTCGCGGTAAATTAAAATAATATGGACAACTTTCGATATTGCTATATGAGTGTGTCATTTTTATTTTGTTTTTTAGAACCGGTTTTTAAAGGTTTTGCTGGCCATCATAATCGCGTTTGACCTCATCGAGGTGTAGAACCGCTTTAGGTTTTGTTTAGGTTTGATTTATTTTTCGGAGCCTAACATCTCGCTAATCTTAAGACTTTGGTGTATATGTTACTAGAAAAAATCTACTCATTTTTCCAAGATCTATGCGCCGTCTAAAAGAAAGTCCCAACTTTGAGGACACTGGATACTTCTCAACCGGTTTTTAAAGGTTTTGCTGGCCATCATAATCGCGTTTGACCTCATCGAGGTGTAGAACCGCTTTAGGTTTTGTTTATGTTTGATTTATTTTTCGGAGCCTAACATCTCGCTAATCTTAAGACTTTGGTGTATATGTTACTAGACAAAATCTACTCATTTTTCCAAGATCTATACGCCGTCTAAAGGAAAGTCCCGACTTTGAGGACACTGGATACTTCTCAACTTTTAAACATGTGGCTCTTGAAATGTAACACATGTGCTTCACTCATCAATCCATATGGGATTTAGAATGACTTATTCTCTTAAAAATCCCTTTCATTTGGTGCCCGTTTGATAGGGGTGGCTATAAAAGTTATAAATCTCCGTTTTGCGGCGGCCGCCATATAGAATTTAGAATGATGTCACTTTGCTTATTATGTTTCTCTCAAGCCCTTTGATTCGATATCTCGTTCGCCATTTTGTAGCATCCGCCATATTGGATTCAAAGTGTCGGCATTTAATTTACCGTATGTTGCCATGGCAACCAAACGTGTATATACATTTACCGTTTGGTTAAGGTAAACTGGTTCGAAATTTGCTTTCAAGATTTGTCTCACACTAACAAGCAAAGTTACGTCGAAGCTTAGTCTCAAAGGGCGTAATCTTTAATGTTACTATATCACTACTATTAGATTCACCATTTGGTGTTCAACTGTATTTCTCTTTTGCTGTCAGACAACTGTATCTCAATTTTATTCCCTGAATCAAGGGTTAGGGTCGAGATACAATTTTTGACCAAATGGATATGGTGAATCTAACGGAAATGATTATGTAAATATTTAACATCTTTTGACACTATGACCGCGACAGAAAACCTTGTAAAAATATTATAATGTAATGCTCAATTTTACTGTCATATACAAGGTGGCCAATATACAGGGTTACAGGAAAAGTCGTGCTAGATCCGTTAAGGGCGTGTAGTACCCATCATTTCTGACTTATTTCATTATGAAACACCCTACCCTAAACTTAACCCTTTTCGAGATATTCAACTTTTAATGTTTTTATTGAAAATTGCCGATTTTTAGGCTACTAAATGTATTTATTTTTATTTTGTGTGTGTTATTATTACTATTATTGCATTTTAACATGTGTAATAACATGCTTTAGGACGTCAATCATTAAAATAGTCCATAAGTTAATTGAATAGGCCGTAGTAGATAAGTGAATGTTAAGAAATTGAAAAAAATATCAGAAAGTTTATTTTTCTCGAAGGGATATCTAAAAAAAATATTATGGCAATTGTTCGGCAGATGTGTTTTAAAATATCTATGTTTTATCAGCTATCTAACGAGGTATAACAATCTAGGATTTGTATTACATTTCGTAGAAAAAAAGTAGTTGGGACGCTCCAGTAGCAGTTCCCACGCCTATTCTCCTTCAAGTTTAGACGCACCGTGCGAGCGAGACATGACGATTTAATGTGGGTGCGAATGAAAGAAAACATATTATAATAACCGGTTAGGGCTGGAAATCCAACACGGGATGTTGTTTTGGTTGTCAGTCTGCTTTTGTGCTTCGTACATAGTAGATGTGATATCGTTTTGCTCTTTTCCTCGACTTGGCTACGATTCTGGACTATTTCTTCTGATTTGTGAATACTATGCTTGTTCACTGGACTCTGATTTGTACTTGTGATACGGAAGTGTTGAAGATGACGTCCTACACACCTGAGGAATATGCTGATATGCTTATTTGTTACGGATACTGCGATTGTGTATCTGCGCAAGCTCGCAACGAATACAGAACTCGCTTCCCCGGTCGTCGAGTGCCGGATGTGGCCGTTTTTAACAGAGTTTATCTAAGACTTCGAGAAACTGGCTCTGTTTTGAGACGAAATACAGACCTGGGAAGACCACGAATTTATGACAACGAAGAACTGCAGGACAATGAGATAGTGCAACGCTTTCGAGCGGATCCGACCATTTCCACTAATCGTGTTGCCCGTGATCTGGGACTTTCGCAATGGAGAGTGTGGTTTACAGTGCATACTGCTGGCCTATACCCGTACCATTACACGCCGGTACACACTATTGAAGAAGGAGACCCCGCGAGAAGGTTGGACTTCAGCAGATTTATGCTAAATGCTGACGTAGAAGACCCAGATTTTCTAAGAAATATCTTATGGACAGATGAATCCAAATTTGATAACGATGGCATAACTAACTATCACAACGCCCATTACTGGGCCCCAAAAGTACTAAGGAATCCCAATAAGAAAAGAGTGGCGAGGTCCCAACGAAGATTCAGCGTGAATGTGTGGATGGGCACTATCTCCAACCATTTGATTGGACCTTACTTTCTCCCGGACAATCTAAATGGGGAAAATTACGAAAACTTCTTGAGAGGAGACTTCAGAGATTTGCTGGATGATCTGCCACTCAACTTGAGAAGGGACATGTGGTTCCAACATGATGGCTGCCCTGCCCATTTCAGGAGAAGTGTCAGAGACTGGCTGGACACAAATTATCCAAACAAATGGATAGGACGAGGTGGGCCGTTGCCATGGCCAGCAAGAAGTCCGGACCTAACCCCCATGGATTTTCATGTGTGGGGGTGCATGAAAAGTCTTGTCTACAGCGAGCCAAATCCAGTTTCGTCTGTGGAAGAATTAAGAGAAAGGATTGTCGATGCAGCAAATCAACTAAGGACAACGTTGACCACTGCAGTTGTATAGACTGGTCTCCGTAGAAGGATGCGACAATGTATCAGAAACAGAGGCAGCCATGTTGAACATGAACTGTAGAGTAAGAAAAAGTTGTGTGAAAACCTGATTTAATAAATGATATTCCATGCTTACCTATTGTTTTATTTTACTTTTTAGGGCTAAGTATCAATTTTCTTCTCCACTGTCGCCTATGAAACTAAGTTTTTTCAATGCATTTAAATAAAATCCTAGATTGTTATACCTCGTTAGATAGCTGATAAAACATAGATATTTTAAAACACATCTGCCGAACAATTGCCATAATATTTTTTTTAGATATCCCTTAGAGAAAAATAAACTTTCTGATATTTTTTTCAATTTCTTAACATTCACTTATCTACTACAGCCTATTCAATTAACTTATGGACTATTTTAATGATTGACGTCCTAAAGCATCTTATTACACATGTTAAAATGCAATAATAGTAATAATAACACACACAAAATAAAAATAAATACATTTAGTAGCCTAAAAATCGGCAATTTTCAATAAAAACATTAAAAGTTGAATATCTCGAAAAGGGTTAAGTTTAGGGTAGGGTGTTTCATAATGAAATAAGTCAGAAATGATGGGTACTACACGCCCTTAACGGATCTAGCACGACTTTTCCTGTAACCCTGTATAATTGACGCCGTTTTTGATACACCCATTTCGGTAGGTGGCGCCGTAGTAGTTGTTTAAAGCTCATGTGTCCAATCCATCATGGAGCGCTATGCGATCCCACAATGCATCCGTATTGTTGAAACGTTTTACTTAAATAATGAGTCGATTGTTGCAACGATTCGGAAGCTAGGACAATATTTCGGTCGAAATAATGTGTCCAGTGTCAACACCATTCGGCAGTTGGTGCGGAAATGTGACCAAACAGGTGAAGTTAAAGACTTTCCAAGGTTGGGCCGTGTTCGAACTGTTCGTGCTCCGGAAAATATCGGATTATATTGGATTACCCGAAGCAAGTTTTTCCAGAGGATATCCTGACCTTGTTTCGACTCACCCTAACAACTATATATTTCCAGTGGAACAATCAATTTTATGAACAAACTGACGGCGTCGCAATGAGAAGTGCGCTAAGCCCGACGATAGCCAATTTCTACATGGAAAGGTTTGAGGAAACAGCACTGAACACCGCTCGCAATCGTCCCAGTTGTTGGCTACGGTATGTGGATGATACCTTCGTGGTATGGAGCCACGGAAGAACAGAACTAGCAGTGTTCCTAAATCACCTAAACAGCATTCACCCCAAAATCAAATTCACAATGGAGATAGAAGAAGACAATCAACTGGCCTTCCTAGACGTTTTGGTGGTCAGACGAGAGAACTTGAAGCTGGGTCACAGGGTTTACCGCAAAACAACAAACACTGATAGATATTTACACGAGGACTCCAACCATCATCCTGTGCAAAAAAGAGGTGTCATTAAAAATATGATAGACAGGGCACATCGAATTTGTGAACCTCAATACCTGCAGGCGGAACTGGATCATGTTAACATGGTTTTACAAGCAAACGGCGATAGCAGGGAACAAATAGAACAGGTTTCAGGACAGAAAAGCAGACCGCCGGCAGGAGACAAGGGATCACCTGCGGGAGTCTCCTTCCTACCATACATTAAAGGCATCACGGATAGAATAGGAAGGTTGCTGCAGAAACACAACGTGAAGACCATCTACAAGCCGACAAATAAAATCCAGCAACTCTTAACATCAGCAAAGGACCCTAGGGACCCCCTGAGCAGTGCCGGCGTATACAGAATACCGTGTTCCTGTGGTAAAGTATATGTAGGCACCACTAAACGTAGCTTGCAAACACGCATCAAGGAGCATGAAAGAAAATGTCGACTGGGACAAACTGATAAATCAGCTGTGGCCGAACACGCACTCCAAGACGGCCACAATGTTCTGTTCGACCAAACTGAAGTGCTATCAACATCCACCCACTACTCAGCCCGAATGTACAGAGAAGCAATTGAAATCTATAAACACAATGATAATTTCAATAGAAAAGAAGAAGGCCTTGCTTTAAACAAAACGTGGTTCCCAATTCTAAAAAACAGCGCAAAAGCCACGTCACTCAAGAGACCCAGAAAACCCCCACCAGACAACTTAGTTCTCAGTCCGCCCATCGCCTATAAAACCACACGCCCATCCAGTTAACCGATCAGTTTCAGTCGACCCGCCAAGACGAGCACTTCGCTCTCGCCGGCAGCGCCACTGAAGATGGCTACCGCAGATGTAGCCGAAAGCTATGGCCCAAATCAACCCGGCCACGGCTCAACAGCCCGAAAAGCCTAAATTACATTAGAATTAGCCGTGAAAGCCTTCATTCTTCAATATCGAGAGAGTTCGTGTGGTGCAAAACTGTCTGGCTCCTCGAATCCAACAATTTAACCTGCAAACATGTGGTTCCAGCAGGACGGACACGTTGGTGTCACACAGCTAGGCAAACAATGTATCTTTTGCGAACAATATTTCCGAGATGTTTAGTTTCTCGATTTGGTGATGTCTACTGTCCACCAAGGTCACCGGATTTAACGGCTCCTGACTTTTTTATGGGGATTTTTGATAAAATAGGGTCTATGCTAACAAACCAAATACTGAAGAGCAATATTACGGAAGGGATTGAAAATATTCCTCCCGAAACCTACCAAAAAGTGATGGAAAATGTTATCAAAAGGGTCCGGTTTGCGCGGCTTCTAGAGGCGGATATTTGACTGATATTATTTTTCATACATAATTTCTAAGTTTCAATAAAAGTAAGATGAAAAAAAATGGACGTATTTTATTTAATTTCACAAATATTCAAGATACAAACCAGTCGGCCACCTTTATATTTTCAAGAGTTTCCGTTGACTGCATTGATTCCATTTTTTAAATACATGAATTCAGTTTAATTGATTTGATGTTATTTCTTTTGTAGCAAATCTGAGAGTCGGGTATTTCCGTCAAGCATTCCTATAAATGTCGATAATCTGCTGGGATTTATACTCACAAATTTGGATCGTGGATTGAAGCTGCAAGCAATGTGGTCGATATGCAAACAAACAAAGGTAAGGTTACATTCCTTGTGATTGTGCATTCAAACACATTACACATTATAAAATAACTTATAGGCGAATCGATCGCTATGCTATAAAATTTGATTGAAAATGATAATTTATTTTCTCCATGTTACCCATTAACTAATTTTAATTTATCACTGAATTGATTAAGAACATTAATCACTCAGGCCCACAAGATTTCTACCCAGAGACCAGAGTATACTATTTTTGATCCGCTGAGTCCGTATCCGTGGTCCAAATCTTTCAATTGGCTTTAGTTTCGGATATATCCTAACCTAAATGTGCAAAAATACCAATTTTTGCCCATTTGTTTTTAAACCGGAGCAGACGCGCAGGCAGAAGCCTAAGTGTATTGCGAGCCTAGCGCTGTTGCGACGATGGGCGCGAAATGAAACGCGCCTTTGTGTCCATAATGTAGTGACTGAGGCGGAAGCCTAGGGCGACGCGACTTAGCAAGACAGAGCGCAGTTTTCAAACGTTCTTGTTCCGCGCTTTCTGGCCACACTACAGGCCTAATTAGCAAGCGCGGAGGCGGCGGTTACAAGCCAGTTCGGTCTTGTCGCTCGGCGTATGCATAAGAATTGTTGTATTGTAATGGCGTATAAGTGCAATTCAATCTACACTACCTATATGGCAAAGTAAACATCCACACCACCGATATTTTACTTAGGATGTAGTCAATTATTGGCACGGGCTTTCGAGTATATTCAAAAAATTTGGTAGGGTATAATCTCAGTTCTTCATACAAACTTACATTCATAAAAAATTGCGTTGTGTCCATAATGTAGTGACTGAGGCGGAAGCCTAGGGCGACGCGACTTAGCAAGACAGAGCGCAGTTTTCAAACGTTCTTGTTCCGCGCTTTCTGGCCACACTACAGGCCTAATTAGCAAGCGCGGAGGCGGCGGTTACAAGCCAGTTCGGTCTTGTCGCTCGGCGTATGCATAAGAATTGTTGTATTGTAATGGCGTATAAGTGCAATTCAATCTACACTACCTATATGGCAAAGTAAACATCCACACCACCGATATTTTACTTAGGATGTAGTCAATTATTGGCACGGGCTTTCGAGTATATTCAAAAAATTTGGTAGGGTATAATCTCAGTTCTTCATACAAACTTACATTCATAAAAAATTCACCAGTTGTTTCTCTGTTTTTATTTATTTCGTGCACACCATCTTGAATGTTCAACACCTCCCATCTCAGGATCGGACTGTCTAGTAAAAATACCAATTCGCAGTCCATATTTTGGAACTTCTGATAAAACGTCAAACCAGTACAAGAGCTCGCGTGTGGCTGTGGACACCGCATGTCGCCGCTTGCCGCGCACACCTTAGGCCCCAGTCACCTCGCATTCAGTATGGACACACACTTAATGCCAGTGTACCGCGCCTGCTATGAGGATCTCAAAGAAATTTTGTTAATCCGATTTTTGAACTGCCTAAGGTTAATAGAACTGGGAGAAACCTCCCCTTGTAGATTGTTCCACAATCTTGACACCTTACGGATAAAGGAGCGGTCGTATCTGCCAGTTCGGGATGTACGAGTTCGACACGGTTAGGATGGGAGGCAGAAGTCAGGATGGTATGTGTAGAAGGCACATCGCGCGACGGCATCATGGAGCACAGCTCCGAGGAGCAAAGCCCATTGGTGTAGCGATAAAAGAGAGCTAGATCGCCGATGGCTGCCGGTGCGAAACGGTCCTGAGTCTGTCTGGTAGAAAAGAGTCATCGGTCAGTCGGAAACGTGTGAGCAATACTCGAGGTTAGGTCTTATCTGGGCCTTGTATAAAGCCGCTATTGACGAGATGTGACAGATCTAGTCCTCGGTGATCTAGACTCCAACCGGCTGTTTGGCATAACTGGGCCATCCATCGAAATCGAATGAGCGCTAGGACGCTTTTTGTTCGTCAAGGTACAGTAGTGTGTTTTGGAAGCATTAAACTGTAGAATATTGTTCCGTCCCCATGCAGTGATAACCTCCAGGTCTCTCGTCAGAGAGGAAGTCGCTGCTGGTCTTCTTTTTTTCCAGCTCACCTGCAGAGCGACTTGTCGCTCCGAATTCCTTTATATAGAGTGCAGTCATGAAAGGAGGCCGTTGATATGATATGTAAAAGATGATATCTTGCGGCCAGAGAAAAGGTCGGCCACCCATCTACAAAATTTCTCAGAGAGGCCATAGGATGGAAGTTTGCATAAGAAGGCAGCATGCCACAACTGATCAAATACTTTCGTGATATCAAGAGCAACGACTTGAGCCTCGCCATAAGAATGGATGAGTTTACTCCACACTTGCGTGACGTAAGCTAGAAGGTCCCCTGTGGATCGCTGGTGCCGGAAACCATACTGCCTGTCGCTAATCAAGCCATGACGTTTGAGATGGTCCAGAAGCTCGCCATGTATGGACCTTACTTATAAAATAAAGCAGAGCTATAGGCCTGTAGTTATAATGGTTTATCTTTCTTCCATTTTTATGGGATGGGTTAGGCATGAGCAAATTTCCAGTTTTCTGAGAAGGTGCAGGATTCGTAAGATATCTGGAAGAGACGCGAAAGAACTGGAGCAAGCTCCGCTGCACATCTCTTCAATACAACAGCGTATACTTGAGATTGTGGCGTAGCGATTTTTATCAAAAAACCATAGACATGTCTTAAGGTACAAGCCTTGCCCTTTTAAATGTCATAGGGTTTCCTCAAATGTATTTTTTTTTTCGCTGGGGCATGGCACTTTGACGTTTTCATGTTTCTGAATTTCACTATATTATTTGATACTCTGCACGTTGTGATTACTTGTGAATCAAAGTTGTGGTTGGGATTATAATACACCGAAAATTTGGTAACAAGTTTATGTACGTTTATGAAATATGCCCTGTCAGTTAGAAAACCAATAAAACCTCAACACTAAATTCATAAAATATCTAAAACTCACTCAACGACAAGCCCACAACCTACCCTACCCTATCAAGGCCGAGTTTGACGTTCTTTGAATTGCAAACTTTTATAAAATAAAAAATACTTTTTTCTGAAAAAGCTGAACCAATGTAGGTCAAGAAAATACAAATTTAAGCAAATATATGGCATTTGAAAGAGCAAGCCTTGTACTTTGAGATTATGTCATGATAAATATGTTGGTATGCTTGACTTGACTATATTTGATCGTGTAATTTTGCTCCATGTTAACTTGAAGAAATCCATCAATTTTTCTGACAATTGATTCGTCTATTTATTTCATTGTGTAATGCTTTAGTGATATCTCAGAAACTAGAACTAAGTGAGAGATTTGGACCATGGCGCATCAGAAAGAATACTCTGCTTTCTGGGTAAGAGGATCGCCTCGCTTTTGACGGCCTGTGTTATAATTCCGCCAATATAATTTAGGATTCCCTTAGTGATTTTGAATATTATATTTCAGTTTCCCGATGAAAAGTCCACCTGCTATTCCTCGCTGATTGCGGAAACAATTTCATACATAGACCAAACTCTACGTCAATGGCGTCGGTCTAATGAACGCATGAAGCAGATTTTGCTCTACAAACTGAAACAATTGCGACAGTTGCATTTGTTATTTGCTCATTCTCCGCATCGGTCCGACCTGATACAGTGGCATTTTAGGAAATTAAATCTTAATCTGGATAGTACCAAGGGTTATCGTGATGGGTCAAGATTTAGGGATGAATTGTGAAAAAACTATGGGCAAAATTCTAGTTGATTTTGAGTCAAAATGCTTTATGGCATTTTTCTCAAGAGTCAAGGTGCAGACCTAGCTCAGTATGTGACTCAATCTTGTTGAAATAATGCGAAACTTGAATATGGTATTTTTCACGAGTATCCATTACGTTTTGACGTCTACTGAGGTGAACAGCTATTCAGCAAGTGACATCTTGGTATTCAAATTTGTAGTGTTGGCAATAATGTATCGGGTAAAGCTCATGACCGTTTTCAGAACATAGTCAAAACTTATTTAATGTGTACCTGACTTGAAATATTGTGATAATCAGTAGCTGTTATTTTGCTTGTAGCGTTTGTTCTTGTGTGCTTTTTTCTAAATAAAGCGTGTTAAGGACGTGTGAATCCATAGCGTACTAAAGACCACAACAAAATACGGTGCTGTCTATAGATCCAACGTTGACAGATCCGTCAGAATTGTGTGTCACTTGTCGATATGGGGTATTTTGAAATGTTACTAGATAATCAGCTGTTATTTTATGTGACGTTTGACGTAATGAATACTCGTGTAAAAGACTTTATTATTCTTCAACATTGAACTAAATCGTTTTATGTCCCGCGTAGAGCCCTAAAACCAAACGTTCTAGGTACCAAAACTTACAATGTTATACAAATAACTTGTTTTCATACAAACCAAAAGAATCACTTGCAATATGAAAACCGGGGTTATTTACTTCGGTATTAAAAAAATGTGTTGTTTGAATTTTCTATCAGCACAGCCATATTGCCAAGAAGTAGCACAGACTCCATTTCTCTTTCAATAAAAATCATTTATTTAACTTGGATTCAACCTTTATTTATGACAATTTTTAAACGATGGAAAATTAATTCCAAGGTCCGAAAACAGTCGTTCCTTCAGCTCAAAATGAACTCTCACGTCATATTTGAGGTCATTGACAAATTGCTTTTCAGATATGCTAAAGCCCGTCTCAACCTGTTTCCAAAAAAATATGTGATTGCCAAGTCTGCGGAGTAGTCATGTACTTTTCAATTGCTACAGTAGGTCATACTCACTAAATAATACTTGACCTCATGTATGAAAACTCATTCTGATGTAGATCTCGAGCTCGATACAGATCTGCTGAGTGGTATTTGAATTTACAAACTTGACCTCCAAATGACCTGTGAGATCATTGACCTAGGTCATATTTAAGGTCATCAACAAGTCGCTTAGATATCCTTAAACTTTTCTTAGAGCCTTTGTTTAAAAAAATGCGCGGATCTGATTATAGTCACTGTTCTTGGCGGGTCAAAGTAATACTACCAGTATATATATATATATATATATATATATATATATATATATATCTCCATTTCCCTCATACATACAAATACAACCTACCCCTATGTGTGAACGTTTGTTCGGTAAGCTCAAAGACATACCTTTTTTAGTTGTGTGACTCCGTCTCGAAAACTTTGTCGTTACGTATGAGTGTCCTTCAATCATATTTGTCAGAGTCACAACTTACTTGACATTATTGGCGTGCAGTTTGGGTTGTCCTGTTATCAATCTTCAATATAAAATTGTGCAGTGTCCGGAAATACGATCAATGGAGAAGGCCGTCAGCTCGTGCTAAATTTATTAGAGTATTTTCAGGAAGAGAATGAATACAGCGGTCCTCTGTTACCCACTTCATGCGTACTGGAGAGAGTAGTAGATCTGCGCATGGCACGGAGAACGGCGACTACAATTATACCAGGTTTTCGGGGTGGACGTGTAATTTTCAGACGTTACAATAGGTCATACTCATTGTACCATTTATGACCACTTGACCTCATCTATGAAAACGCATTCTGATTCATAGTAACGAGCTCAAACGGACTGTTTGTACTTGAATTTGCAAACTTGACCACCTCCAAATGACCTCTATTGTCTAAGTCACATATTTAAGGTCATCAACAAATTACTTTTCAGATATTCTAAAACTTTTCTTAGAACCTTCGTTTCAAAAAAATGCGCGAATACCAGGTCTTCGAGATCGTCGTGTACTTTTCAGACGTTACAGTAGGTCATACTGATTATTGAACTTATGACCGCTTGACCTCAGTGTGAAAACGTATTCTGATGTAGATTTAATAGACTGTAGCTCTAACTTGAGAAAAATGCCATTGATGCTAAGTAAATATATTATGAAGCCCAAGCCAAATCAAAGTGCACTTAATATCCATGTACATTCCAGAGATTTTTAGTAGAAGTATATGAGAGCTATATTTGTGCTGAATAAAGTTTCAACATATTAAAAATGCTCTATATTGTAGTTTGAAGGCTGCATATCATTTTTGGTAGCATTTTCCACGCATATCCTACAGGACGTTGAATATTTGTAAAAACTTGAACTAAGGGGTTTTTTTCATTCCATGGAAATAATTTGAGTACATAAAATTATGGTATTAATTATATGGATTAATTCTCTCTTTGGAAAATGCTATTTAATGATAGGCAGTTTTTCAAACATGGTTTCTGATTAGTGATGGCAGAAATTTTACGAACTGTGATTTAATAACTGATTTCTAAATCACAAATCACTACTGTTACCAAATGTGAAATAGCGTAACGTGATCGCGACTTGGGGAACTAGGCGCTTTACGACAATGGCGCTAATGTTTGAATGTATATGGAATGCGCCCATATACAGTAGCTGACAAAAGTTTGGAAACATTCTTAGTAATTTTTAAAAAGTGCGTTAGTTTTTTATTCTTTATTATTAAGGACTATTTTTTTCTTAGTTTAATTACAGTCTTGAGGATACAAATGACAATTTGTGTTTGCTGTGGTGCTATAGACTAGCATTAAAATACCTTCATATTATTTTATGACCAGAAATGAGAAGACAAAAGTATGGAAACATATTTATTACAAAACTAAATACAATAACTCTACAAAAAGATTTAAAAAATGCTGTCTAGCTAATATTTGGTGGCATAGCCTTTAGCATCCAACACTGCCTGACATCTGCTGCTCATAGAAAACGTCAATTTTTTACGGACGTCTGTAGGGATATTTTGCCAAATATTTTTGACATAATCAAATAAATTGTTCGTATTTTTTAAAGTTTTTCTTGTCGGTTGTCTTTTAACATGCTCGCAGAGATGTTCTATATGGTCCGGGGATTGCGAAGGCCATGTCATTTTTTAGTCTAAACCAGTCCTTTACGAACTACGAGGTATGCTTGAGGTCATTATCTTGCTGGAATGTCCATCGTAAAGGCATTTCTTCTTCAGCAAAAGGGAGCATGTGTTCACTAAGAATATCTTTGTAAAGTTTTTGGTCCATTTTCCTAATAATTTTAACAATTGGACCCGTTCCAGAACTAGAAAAACAGCACCAAACCATGATGTTGCCTCCACCGTGCTTAACTGTTGACAACTGATACTTTTGGTCGAATCTTGTTGGTATTGGACGTCCCACATATGCCGTACCGTTATATCCAAACAAGTTACATTTGCTTTTATCGCTCCATAAAACTGTATTCCACTGTTGTTCTGTTCAAGTTAGATGAATTTTAGCAAATTCAAGCCGAGCAATACAATTTTTCTTTTTTTGAAATGAGAGGCTTTTGTACTGGACGTCTACCAAAATCCACCAAGCGTCTCTGCGCTGTTCTGGCAGAAAGATTCTCGGCACCCTCTTCTGCGATTCTTTTGAAAATCTGTGTGGCTGGCATTCGAGGATCTTCATGGGACAAACGTATGTAGCGATCTAAAACAATCTTTTTTTTTCGGTCTTCCACACCTAATTTTCGAAATCGTCCCTTTGTTCATTTTTAATCTTTGAGAAATATCAACATTTCTGACGCCACTTCCAAATAATTCAATTGTCTCTCGAATCTTTTGAAAATTCTTTTACTTTTGCCATTATCACTGGTGATATTTACCGCACGCAATATCAGAGTATCGCAGAACGAATAAATTCTGTAAAACGGAAATGTTTCCATACTTCTGTCGTTACAAAAACTGTGGTATTTAAAAAAAAAAACGCGTGTTTTTATTTTTTTCATAGAATTTGAATATTGATAAGATAAACTGGAGCCAAAGGTAGACTTTAATATTTATATTATCTGTTCCTTCACAATTTTAATTTAGGTATGTGGAATAGTTCTTGATAATGTTAATATGTTTCCAAACTTTTGTTCGCTACTGTAAAAAATTCAAGGAGCCACATTGTCGGTTCCAGAATTGATGTTTAGCTAGATTTCCGTCTCCGAGGGAGGGCAGGGTGGAGGTCGCCGGCGTTAAAAAATTGAATCCTCAATTTTTACCTGACTGCCATGTTTCCACGCGTGGTTATGTGATCAAAGAATTCTATTTCACGGGCTACAGTCCAAACGGCTTGATGAATTTTGACATATTTTGATCCGTCTTAGGCCCGTATCGTCAGTCGTCCCTACAATATTGTAGGGCGCCTTTATGGCCTCCTTGATTGTCATGGTTTTCTACTTCTCCGTGTCAGAACTCTATTTTGAGGTTATGCCACAAACATCTATTTGCATCAAATTGTGCTTGCTTTTGAGTTATATCATGTTTTATCAGCCTGAAATTTCCTACAATTTAAAAAGAAAAGATATCTTCACAGTAGGAGAGCGCGCTGACGCTGACACGGGACAAGTGTAATCTAGAAATTTTTGAAGGAAAGAAAGGAGTATGACAATCAAGGAGGCCATAAACGCGCCCTACAATTGTAGGGAACGCGCCCTACAATTGTAGGGACGACTGACGATATGGGCCTTAGCAATGGCTATATTAAAATTTCATAAAAAACAAAAGAATCTAATCTTACAATTCTTATTTCAAGGCTACAGCTTATACCCTATTTCAACACAGTAAAATGACAGCAGAATATCTAGTAATATCTCAAAATTCCTCATATCGGCACAGGACACATAATTCTAACGGATCCGACACCGTCAGGTAGTCAGAGCCGATTTTGTTTTCGTTTTTTGTACGCTACAGATTCATTTGAACTTGAACAGATCTTTTATTTAGTATTTGCATTTAAACAACAAAACGCTACAAACAAGTTTTACTAGATTTACACCCGATTCATTATTGCAATCGTTGCAGACTAACACAAAAATGTGTAGTAGACGTCGAAGCATGATGGATATCCGTGAAATAGGGTATAAACGGCTTGATGCATTTTGATATGTGAGATTTCTCTTGTCAGCTCAAGTGACACTGAATATACCAAAATTTACTAAAATCAAAATCACAGCTTAAGCAGCACACTTCAGATCTTCCAAACAGGGTAATTTTTGCGGATGTTTTGAAAACCATATAAACCCACACGCCATTCGAAAGTCGTGATCACGTCCGCTTTTAAATCACTGATATCAAAAAGTAACGGTATCAGATATCACAGGTATTCAAAAATAACAGTATCGGCCAACTCTGTTTCTGATTAGTATTCCATCTGAACGAAATTGGACTATCTAATGGTTGTTATAATTATTATAGGAATACTTTTTTCTTTAAGTGAACGTACTTTTTATAGTTAAGCAAAAATCAAGTTTAATTATTCTTTATTTTTAAATTGTTTTCATTACAGTACCATACAATTGCGGTAAAGGTATAATATTTAGTTAATTTATTTATATATAAAATTGTGTTATAATCATTTATCATAAAAAACTGTGATAAACTGTAAATCTGTACATATAATTTATGAACGTAATATATTGAATTTTATATGCAGCAGAATAAATGTTATTTTATTTCATATATAGCAAACATAGTAAATATCAGCAAACTACGGGAATCAAGATAAAACCCGGGAAACAACAATAAACAACAACAATTGCAGAAGAACAGGAGGATTATCAAATATGTTTTTATAGGACACATACATTTGTTATAACTTTTTGAAACGCATACGAAAATAAAAAATGTATAAAAATCATTGAAGTACAACTATATAAAATGTGATAACATTTGAACAAACACTAAAAATGAAAGTGAAGTGACGAATGATTATATGCCAAATATCATTTTACCCAAATGAGCTCTGAAAAATTACCTACACGATTTTTTTGTTTTTGCCTGACCTTCACGATGGGTCAATATGCGTCACTGTATACAGGGTGGCCCATTTTATTCTCCGCACCTGGATATTTCGAAAATTGCGCATTCTAAAATAAAAGTTGGAAACAAAAGTTTTAGGATTTCAAGGGACAAAAGAATGGTGACCTTGACTATGACCTTAACCACGGCATTTTTTTATTTCATGGTCAAGTGAACATTTTCAAATGGAACCTCACCTTTTTCACAACGGAATTGAAGAGGCGGAAATTTTACGTTTGACCGACCACGGTACTCAATGCCATGTCAGGGTCAATCTACCAAAATCTTCGATAGCACAGTTGTGAAATTTGTAGGGATCACCCATAGCTGACCTAGACCTTTGAGGTTAAATCAAAATTCCCAAAGGCAACATTTCTTTTTTATTCTAGAAATGAAAAAAGCAGGAAAATTTACGTTCTTTCAAATAACATTTAAGCTTGACACGACTTTGATTTTGACGTCAAGCTCGCATTCGGACGTAAAATTTCCTTTTTCCATTTCCTGTATAAAAATGAAAAGTTTACTTCGGAAAGTTTGAGTTGATCTTGAAGTTCAAGGTCAAGGTCGTCTCTGGGTTGACGTCGAAATTACCTTGAAGGTCATGGACAAGGTCATATTCGAACATTAACTGTCCTCTTTTCAATTCCGATGTGAAAATGAGGGATTCCATTTGACAAGATTCACTTGACCTTCAAATGACCTTGAAGGTGTTGGTCAAGGTAACAATTATTTTGCTTCCTCGAAACCCTACAACTTTTGTTTTAAACTCTTTTTTTCTAGAATACGCAATTTTCAAAATAGGTTAGTTACATTAAAATTGTTATTTCGAGTTGAAATGTACAAGTCAACTTACGGAACCTTTCAGTAAGTTTTAGCAGGTTGCTATTATATGCATATTTTCCATCCAGCCCGGTCAAATGTCAAGCTGTTCCGCATTTGATCCCCAAAGAGGCGTGACAATATTATTCACTACAGTGACCCAACTTGGACCATTTTGAAAAAGAGACTTCACACTATCCACCATAAATAATGACTCAACTTAATCTAATAACAAAACAATAACAATCGACATATATCCTTATAGCTTTGTACTAATCTGATCGATGAGAGCATCGATTCTCTCACTGGTTCCTTTGAACGTTTTGGGATCGGGTCCAATCATCTGGACAAGCTGCGGGATTTCTTGTGTGGATACTTGCACGAATTTGCCCAAAGCTTTCATGCACCTAAACAGCTGTTCTTCTGGTGGTTTTGAGTTGAAGTATTGCAGCAAAGCCATCGTCAGTTCAACAGCCACGTCATCGAACACCTACAAATTATTTTTTATAAAAAAAAGTACACATGTAAATGTATTTTTCCACTATACCAATCATACTACGACCTTAATATAACATATACGTTAAAGGAGCATCGTTATGCCTTGACGCTAGCTTAGCACTTGCAAATTATTTCGCGTGAAACGTGGCAATTCGTCTTTGTTCATACAAGAGTCTAATGTTTACAAAATATTAGCATTGATTGACTACCTCCAGCTGTTAATATTTTTTTTATTAGACCAAAAAAAATAATATATTTTTCATACCTTGAAGACCATGGAACTGTAATTTGAACATACATTTTTCTTAGACAGGTGGAAACGCTGTCCGCGACGTTTGGCCCATATTAATGTACTCTGACGTCATACCATTAATAAATTGCATCTAACAGCAGCATAACCTCTCAAACTTTTCAACATATAAACATAACTTCTACTAGTTTACATAAAGAACCCACGGAAGCTGTGGATTAGAGTACCCAGGCAAATAAATATACGCAACACGTTTTTCAGGAGTATCTATTACGGTAGAATAACAGCTGATTATTTAGTAATATTTCTCCATTCTGCATATCGACAAATAATATAATTCTGACGGATCCGTCAAGGCTAGCTAGACAGAGCAGTATATTGTTTTGGTTTTTCGTACGCGACAGATTCATTGTGTACTTGCTAACAACTCTTTTATTTACAAAAATTAATTTGCATACAAAGAAAAACAACTAGTTTTGCACCCGATTCATTATTGCCAACGTTATTAATACAAAGATGTCGCTTGTTCATCAGCTGTTCACCTCAGTAGACGTCAAAACGTAATGGGTACTCGGGTATGTTGCTTGGAGCATACCTTATGTTCGGGACATATTTTACAGTCTGCTGTGCAGATTGCACAGTAGAGCAGAAATCTGGGTTGAATGCAAAAAAATACCAACCATCAATGTGTCAATTTTCGGCTTTCTGGTGTAACGAATGCAGCATCCATGTGTTTTTTTTTTCGAGAAAACTACTTTTTACGATGATTATGAGTTTTCTAGAAATATTTCAAGAACACAACGTTAGTCTGCAAGTGGCACACGGAATTGTTCACAATTATGACGTCACACCATGGCTCATAGTGTTATGACCGTTTCGTATTCGTTTTTAAATTGGTCTTATATATCCAATTTGCGCTTTTGCGTCCAGTGGGAAAGTTCACTTTTTGATGTGAGAAAAAGATACAAACTTAATGACAACATTTATTGCTATCAGAATATTCGTAAATTCGGCGGATTTTGTCTTGCCATACCTTCGGACACACTCTTCTAATTGCGCGCGCAAGTTCAGAAACAATCTTCACAATTTAGAGTTCCGGAGTGATGTTGTTTATTTCTCGTCAAATGTTGACTTTATATAACCCCTCAAAAAATAATCGCATGGCGTGAGGTCGGGTGACCTAGGAAGCCAGTGAATGCGTCCAAACTTCGATATAACTTTTTTAGAAAAAAACGCATGGACTGACTGGATTTAATATGAATGAAAATCCATTTTTTTCTTCATTATGCCATGTGGTGTTGACCTAGGAGTTCCCAAAGCAGCGGAATGCTTCCATCAGAGCGCCGAGGATTTGTAATGACCGAATCACTTACTCGACGCACATTTTCTTCGGTTGATACAGTAGGTGTGGGGCCAGGAATGGGTTGACTAAGAGTAGGGCTTGTCTCACGGAACCTCTTAATCCACTTGTTCAATAGGTTCATACTTGGGGAATCTCTTGGTCGGCGAATGTTGTATGGTGTACAAAATTTCCGAAGGGCAGCTGCTCATGAATCACCAGTCTTAAAGTAAGCCTCGATAGCAAAAGCATGTTGCGCTCCGGTCCAACGTTCCATTGTGACTATTTAACCCGCACACCAAACGCGTGGATCAAAACCTCTCCCCACTTCCTCGCGTATACGGTTGCCGCGTAATTCAAATTTGAAATATGAACTTTCCTGAGCCAAATACCGTGGGGAATACTCATGTATTTTATAATATTAGATATGAGTCAAGTAAGAAAAATAAGCCATTTCGTTTTTCAATAGGCGATGGGGCCCGGTTTTAGGGTTCCGGCTTGATGGGGGCCCCCAGAATAAAAATAGTGCAGCTAAGTTATACTGAACTGAATGGCAAATCGTGTGTGGTGGTCCTCCAACCAATACGAGGATCCGTCAAAGTCACGAGTTTTAAATACGTTAACCAAAACTTCTAGTAATATGAACCGCCTAAAAGAGAATGATCTTCATGTACGTAGTGTCTCGCTTCTGACGATGCTTCTTTAGCGAATATACGTTCTTAAATTACACATATATTGGAGGACAATCCATAAAATCCAGAAATTTTATAACCCAACTAAAAGTAATCATCTGCTGGATCAAGACTGACAATGGGTTGTGCAGAAATTACTAGGTACAACAGTATTAGTAGTTACATAAATGAGTTAAATGAATGATGAATGAGTAGCTAAGTGAAATTTAGAGGAAAAGTTAACATTTGACAGTAGAACTCGATTACAAAGTTATAAAGCTTGAAAACCAATGAGCGAGATGATTTTGTTAGGCCAGACAGTGACAGCTACCTTTGATAGGCTGCCTTCTGGAAAATTCTTGCGAATCCGAAAATTTCTGAATTTCTGAAAATACAAAGCTCTACAGAGTATCTTGTTCGTAAAAATACTAATATATTACATGGTATAATCAAAAAGATTGGAAGGTATGTGGAAAATTCAGAAACATGTTAGATGTATCTAACCCACCTTAATCATTATATCATGCTTGCTTTAGTAGCTGTTTTAATATAAATGAGCTTTTAGTTGTTAGTATTTTTTGCTTATGGTTAGATGGATTCGTCATTGAAATGTAAAAAGCTCTAAAATCGATAGCAGTTATGAAAACGCGCATATTTCACATTAATTATTAATATAGATGATACAATAGATATTCTAAAATTTTAAAAGCTTTCAATGCATCTACCATTCTTTTGCGTCTTTTAGTCTAGTTTTAGGACGATTTTTAAGGAAAAAGGACAACAGAAAACTATCGATGTATATAATTACAAAAAAAAAAATTCACTTTTTATACTAGGAGTATTTGTGCCAAGGAAAAATGGTTACGGTTATATTATCAAGCTGGTTATTACGTTATGCTAATATGAGAATTTTAAGAATATCAAACTAAAATTTTACAAGGTATTAGTACAAGAATGATACAGACCACAGTTTTTACCTCCTTACAGGCGAGGTTATGAATGATAGCTGAACCTCGATCTTGGAGAACAGGCAAGTCTGACAGAAGACAATGTACAGCGACTTTTGTCGTCACTCTAATATTGCTGGTTTGTTGATTATTGTAGGTCCATTCAGAAATGTACAGGAGCCACTCGGAGGAACTCAGATTCTCAAACATATTCACCATCTGGAAATTTACTTATAAGTTATACCACTTTTTAACCTGTGTGGTTGGTGGGAACAGTCTGGAAGTCTCAGGACATTCGCGTCTGGGTTTTGTTTCACACCGAAACAGCCGCGCGGGAAGAAGCCTAAATGCCGGTGCACTGCGGCTGCTATGAGGATCGCAAAGAAACTTTGTTAATCCATTTTTTGAACTGCCTAAGGTTAGCAAAACTGGAAAAAGCATCTTACTGTATATTGTTCCACAATCTCGACAAACTAGGGAAAAAGAAGCGGTCGAATCGGCCAATTCTTGATGTACGAAGTTCGACACGGTTAGGATGGGAGGCGGAAGTCAGCCGTGTCTGTCTGGCAGGCATATCTCGCGGCGGCATCATGAGCAGCAAATCCCGTTAATGTAGCGGTAGAAAAGGGGTAGGTCGCCGACGGCCCGCCGGTACTAAAGGGTCCCGAGACTTCTGTTAGAGAAGAGTCAACAGCATCCCAAACGTGTGAACAATACCCGAGACTAGGTCTTATCTGGGCCTTGAATTTGTATATAGTGAGGAGGTCATGTGGAGAAAAGTACTTCTTAGCCCTAAACTAAGCTTCGCCAATCAGTGATAACCCCCAGGTCCCTCGTCAGAGAGGAAGTCGCTGCTAGCCTTCTTTTTTTTCGTGCGTGTAGAGTGCTGTCATGAAAAGGGGACCCCGTCAATTACGATGTATATCTTGCGGCCAGAGAGAAAAGTCAGCTACCTATCTGCAAAGCTTCTCTGGTTTGCCACAGCTGATGAAACATTTTAGCGATATCAACAGCAACAACCTGAGACTGGATGACTTTGCTCCACAATTACATGACGTAAGCTAAGAGATCCCATGTGGATCGCTGGTGCCGGAATCCTGCCTATCGCTAATCAAGCCATAACGTACGAGGTAGTCCAGAAGCTCGCGATTGTTGTGGTAACTCTGTAAAAATTGTATGCCCCCAATGTAAATTTCCTGAGTCTCCCAAACTTTAACTGCTAGACACAACAAAAACTGTTGTACTTTCGATGGGAGATGTTCTCATATGAATATTGTTAATCTACTTACAAATAGAGCAATAGCTTGTTGTTCTTCAGGTGTATGCCTGTCAATTTCAAAGGCGTAGTTCATCAGAACATGGTCCTTTCTATCTTGGTGTAATACTAATATTACATCATCTTTTAATGCGGCCATAGCTAGTAAATTCATAATTTTTACTCTTACATCTACTGGGAACTCTTTGTCATTTAGTAGCCTCCCTAAAAATGCAAAAAATTAACACTTTATTGATTCATATGTAATCAATATTTTCAGTAATTTTTTAACCTGGTTTGAAAAACGTGTCAAAATTCATAAAAAAATGGGGTGTAGGCACAAAAATCTGATAAAACGCGTGTAGACTGTACTGTAACACTTACCAACAAAATCTAAAAACCCGTCACTTAATGCCCAACTGCCCTCATCTCCAATCATATACTGTTGCAGTTCCTCCATAGACCGCTGCTCCTCGGGTGACAGCTTCCCATCTATCAGTGCCAAGAGCGAATCAAACTCTGATTTAACCTGAAAAAACACATCCATTACTACAGATTTTTACGGTCTTTCGCAGTTACATCACAATGCCATACGAAATAAGTAAACACAATGATGAATTCGATAACAGAGGGCCATTGCCATTTCAGTCACTTTGTAGTTGTATCTTCAGGCATTGCTGTTTTACGAGGTCTGTAAATTAAGTCATGAGACTGGCAACATAGTGTTTGATCTGGCAACAGTGGAGGCGCAGGGCTTGGAGGGGAGGCAGGGGAACATGTGATCCGCTTTCGGTGCAAGTTTGAACTTGATCGAGTCCTTTGGTTGTCCGTAGCGATTTCTTTTGTGAAAAGGTTCTTTATATTGTGTTCTAAAAATGAGTGACATCAATTTCAAGAAATGGTGTGCTATCAGGTTTTGCTTCAGACTGAGGCACAGTGCAATAAAAAAAATGTTCAAGAGCTTAGATTTTTCGGTGATTTAAGAAATTTTCAGAGGATTGAAGATTAACCACCACCTTCAAGAACCGATGAAAATATCGACAGAGTCCGGGATCTTGTCCCTTCAGATCGTCTATTGACTCAGAATGGTCGAGGAAGAGTTAAATTCGACTCACACCACCGTTCATCAAATCAAACTGGGTGTTGCGTCACGATAATGCTCAGAGTCACACAGCAATGTCAGTAAACGAGTTCTTGACCAGTAAAAATATTCATGTGGCTTCGCACCCTCCTTATTCGCCTAACTTGAGTCCTTGTGACTTTTTTCTCTGCCGGAAGTTGTAAAATCACCTCAAGGGAACTCATTTTGGGACGCTCTAAAACTTTCAAATGGCAGTATCCGAGTTCCAGTACTGCTTGAATAAAAAAATCTTATAACTTAATTCACAGAGCTTGTATATTGAAGATGAACAAAAGATGAACACATTTTCCTTGAATGCTGTAAGAAAAAAAGTGAACGGGCCCATTTTGGGACGCTCGAAAACTTTCAAACGGCAGTATTGGACTTCCAGTACTGCTTGAATAAAAAAACCTTATAACTTAATTTACAGAGCTTGTATATTGAAGATGAACAAAAGATGAACACATTTTCCTTGAATGCTGCAAGAAAAAAAAGTGAACGGGCCCATTTTATTTTGTTTCTTTCTTTTCATTTCAGTACTCACATCTACAAGGTCCTTAAAAACAACAGGTGGTTCTCGAGATTTCTTCCTCTCTTCTTCCTTCTTTCGCTCTTCTTCTTCCATAGCTTCAACTTCTTGCTCTGTAGATATATGAGCATCGCCATTTTGTACAGTCTCTGTATCTGCCATTGTGAAATCCTACCAAAATAATATATTTTTGGAAAAATCAAATTGTAACCATGAATTGCGATTAGCATCCTAACGTAACACATTTTATGGCATTTCTGACAGAACAGCATGGTTGCTTCAAAACAAGCCAATGAAGCCAACATCTAAGGCATATATTATTATTATTATATATTATTATGCTTATGCTTACCTCTTTTAATTCAGCGGGTACTTCACCACCTTCCTTAAGTATTTTCTTCCTTTTCTTCTCCTTTTTCCTTTCCTTCTTTGCCAACTTCTCCCTCAAAGTTTTTCTACGTTGCTCTAACAGGAAGGAATTATACCTGCAAGATGACAAGATCAGAATTGGGATAGACAAAGCATATATCAGTTGATGTTAAATACTTACTCATTCGAGAGGTTAGTCAAAACATGAGTGAGGACAAAAGCATTAATACAAGCAATGTATAATATAGCAAACACACTTTGCAGAATATTTTCCACCAGTTGTTACTTACTAAAAGTATTATAAAGGTGATATTTATTAGAGAGTCGTAGTTATGTGCGCCATCTATTTTCAATAATTAATAGGTAACAAGATAAAAAATTTAGGAGATTTATTTTCCTTAGACCACAGTAAATAAGTAGTTTATATTATATTATTACCATTCAAAGAAGTTCCAAAAATATTATACTTTTTTTAATCCCTGTGATTGATAGAGAAATTATGACAGTCTCAGCAATTTTGCGTGTGTATGTAGGGGCAGCACTGCAATTTTCCCCAGCTATTATGGAGGCTCCACAATTTTACAGTGTTGTCATCACACTCAAACCCAAATTTCAGATTTTCACAATGTATTGGACATTATTAGAGAAAAAAATACAATTTGTTTTTCCATAAAACCTATTTAAATGAATAAAAAAGCTGACATGTAGATGAGTGGGAGAAAATAACTTATCCAAGCCTTGATATAATATTTTATCATTTACTAAAAAAATGTATCATCCAATCAGAATAAAAAAGCCAATGATTTGTTTCCAATGGTTTATTGAATAAACTCTAGACGCATCTTAATTTGACATAATATTAAACCTGTCTCTCTAAAATAAAAACTATAAATACCACAAAAATTCACTCAAATTTAATGTGCATAAATATGAGTATCTTACACGGTAAGTTTATTCTGGAGAAAACCAACAACTGTGAAATGGCAGAACTATTTCATGTTAGCAATCCCAAAATATCACTACTCATTACACTGAATGTATTAAATTAATATAATGACTTTTGTAAACTGGCTTGAATGTTATCTAATGATAAACAAGTTGATACAAGCAGCTAGATAGACCAGTGTGAGAAATGTCATTTTATTTTACTTTGGATATCATATCTTCGATGTCATTGTCAAAGCATTGCTTGTTTCTGCCACAGTTCCATCGTATGTTTTCTCCAAAAACGGAACAAACAGGTAGTATTCATGACAACAAGAACAAACAAAGAAGTGGATACTCTGAGAATGGATTTGGATGATACGATTAGGGTCGGGGAAGATAAAACACAATCCATATGAAACCTTATTGGTCTCCACCATTAACCTTAAAGTCTGACCTCGCTTCCTCGATCTGGGAGTTGAGCTGGTCGAAGTCTGGGCTATGCTCCTTATGTGCCTTTTCCTCTTCTTCCCGTATAGGTCGCGCGCTGCTTTCTAGCTGTAAAAAATATTTTTTTCAGAAACACTGCTTGAAACCGCAGTCAGCTAGCAGCCGGCAACTTGCTCCAGGTGATAAAGAGTCATTTATACTGAAATCACATCAGGACTAGATATTTCCGTGATCATAGCAGAGTTCTCAATTTATAATGTTATGTGGCAACGTTGGGTAGTAGCAATGTTTAAGGCTTCCCAGTAACCAGCGCGACTTTGAGTATTGTAGTGCGATGTGCATTTCCGAGTCAAACAAGGGGAATACCGTCAGTTCTTTTGCATCAATCTATTCAACAATATACCAAAATATCACAAAGTAGAGAGCTGCTTTTATATAAAAGTTTTTATCTTATAAATTTGAAAGTCATTGTCATGTATAGGTCTTACTTTTCTTCAATTTTTGATATGCACTATGTATAGGGTGACCATATGTACTCTTTTTATTAGGACAGTACTTTCTTTTTGAACTCTGTACTAACATCCTTTAAAAGTTTATCAAGTACACCTAAATGTACTTTCTTATACAAACGAACGTTGCAGAGAACAAAATTGCTGACTGCAATTTAAGAAATATTTCTACTAAGGATGTGAAAACTTTATGTGAGTTTGTTTTTTGTCTGCCTGGAACCAGTGCGTCAATTGAGAGGTTATTCTCAAATATTAAAAACTATTGGATTTCTGAAAAATCGCAGTTGAATATATCTACTCTGGAAGCCACTAAGCAAGTCTACACAAACTTTAATGATACTTGCATTGAAATGTTTCATTTTCTAAAGGGTAAACCACGGATTTTAAAAAGTACGACTGGTACCAAAATGACGATCCGAATGGTCCAGCTAACACGTCAAATATATATATATATATATATATATATATATACATATATATCTTATAACATAAAACCGAGAAAAAAGCGTTCAAAACTGGAACCTCTGATTCATTTGTTCAGATAGGTCAAGCAAAAATGTATGATCTTAAGAAAGCTATTGTATGTTACAGCAAAAAATCTTTGCCAATGAGTAAAAAAATGACACTGATTTACTAGGTATGAATAACTAAATATGCCTGAAAACTGCAGATACCCTCATTGACCTTAGCATGGTAGAACAGAATAGTCTGAGAGGTGGCAATGCTTAGGTCTAAAGAAAGGGGCACAGGTATACACGGTATTTCAAATTCGACCCTCACCATTGTGATCTCGGAAACTCTAAGCTAAGAGATTCTAAGTCGCTTAAATGGGAGCAAAGTTGCGTATTTAAGTAATAAGGAAAATGTCGCTTATAAAGTTTTGAAACCCAAAGAGACGAAAAAACCGAATTTTCCCAAAATCGTTTTAATTTTTCCCTGAATTTATTTGTAGTGGGGTTTCAAAATAAATGGCACATTGTCACTTTTTCTTCTCTACAAGATGGCATAAATAGAGTTTCAATATGACGTTTCATCTTTTGTCCTCCAGCTTCAACTTTATTTTTTCTTACAGAAGCCATATTGGATTTTTGTACATATGAATAGAGTTTTCAATTCTGATTCCAAAAATATATATACAACCTTAGTTATTTCAAAAAAGCAGAATCTCCTAGGTAGGCCTTGAAATTATCACAGTAATTTTTTTCGCCTACCAGATTTATCCAAAAATGACTTTTATTCTTTCTCGACTTCATTTGAGATGGGATTTCAAAATAAATTGCATGTTAACATTGTCACTCTTTGTCCTCTGGATTCTTGCGCAAATGAATAGAGTTTTTGATTCTGATTTCAAAAACGTATAGTATGTCATACATTGATATTGCCATACCTTGGTCACTCCACAAAAACAGGTGTTCTTAGGTAAGCCTTGAAATTATGAGATTTTATTTGTTTCGTATACCAATCCAGACCTCCATTTGAACATAGCAACAGAGTTTGGAAGACTGAAAAGAAGATAAATAAATCCAGCAGTAAACAATGTAGAGACGATTTAGGCTTTGCCTACAAAATAACGGACAACATTTTGAACATCTGCTATGATTTATCTCTGCTTATTTATGATTATTATTGTTATTTCCATCAATCAAATTATCATTGCTTGTTCAGGTTTCACCATACCTTTTTATTTCCTTATAATTGTTATCGAACAATAAACTCATGCCGACTAAGGAAATACATAACTAAATATACGACTGAAAAGTCCATTTAAATGTTCAAAATTCCTATATAGCCATATGGAAAAAAAGTTGGTGGTGGAGGTCAATAGAATGTCGAATTGAAAACTTGATTACGCCATCTTGTAGAGGAGAATAAGTATCATTGACAAGATGCAATTTATTTTGAAATCCTATCTGTAATAACGTCAGGAAAATATAAAAGTGATTTCGGGATAAATCTGGTATGTCAAACAAATGACTAAGAGATAATATCAAGGCCTACCTAGCCAATTCTGCTTTTCTTGAAATAAATGAGGTTTGACAATGTCAATGTTTAAGTTAATATAAATTTTTTTAACCAGACTTAAAAACTTTATACATCTGTCCAAAAATCCAATATGACGTTCATAAGAAAAAAAAAGTTGATGCTGGAGGAGAAAAGGCGAAACGTTATATTGAAATTCTAGTAATATCTTCTTGTAGAGGAGAAAAAGTGGCAATGTTAAGGTGCAATTTATTTTGAAATCCTAGTACAAATAAAGTAAAAAAAATAAAAACGATTTTGGGAAAATTTGTTTTTTCCGTCACTCTCGGAAACTTTCTAGGCGGCATTTTGAGCGACATTGTATCTCTTACAGTAAGGGTCGAATTTGAAACATAATGTATTGTTGTAAGCATATGTGGTTGGCAGCACCATGGTAGGCATGCTTGTTTTCATCTAGGCACAGCTTTCAATTGGGTATCTTCTTGTGGGGTATGCGAATCAATGTTGTGATAAATTAATTGTCAACCTACACACATTGGTAAGATCTACATAAGACAGCTTAATAAAGTATAAATCTTAACTACTTACTTGCTGAACTAGATTCAACAGTGCTGTGCTGAGCTTGGAGTTTAAAACTTCGTTAGGCAGATCAAGGATATACTTTGGAATGCTTGCCCCACACAAAAACGTGGCAATGTCTTGTGAAAAGTTATTACAGTTGTGGTTTAGGAGATGGTAAGTGTTGCCACTGCAATAGAAATAATGCAGCACCGATTAATGTTACAGCATATATATATATATATATATATATACAGGGTGGCCAATATATTACTGACTGATTTAAGTAGGTGGTCCCGTAGTAGTTGTTTAAAGCACATGCGCCCATGGAGAGCTACAGGATCCCACAAAGCGTCCGTATTGTTAAAACGTTTTACTTAAATAATGAGTCGATTGTTGAAACGATTTCAGTCCAAATAATTTGCCCAGTGTCAACACCATTCGTCAGTTGGTAAGGAAATTTGAACAAACAGGTAAAGTTGCCAAGGTCGGGCCGTGATCGAACTGTTCGTGCTCCGGAAAATATCGAAACAGTTTGTGAAAGTGTAGTGCATTTGCGGCCATACAAAATTCAGTTAACCCAAAAACTACAGCCTAGTGACCATGCAAGTCGCCGACAATACAGTCATGCAATTTTGCAGCTTGATACCCAAAATAACGATTTTTACTGACAACTGATAAAGAGAGATGAAGCCCATTTCGATTTGAACGGATTTGTTAATAAGCAGAATTGTCGTATATGGGCATTAGAAAACCCTCGTTCCCTCGAACCCCATCCATCAACGATCACTACTTCCTCGGAGCAACTTGTCACACAGCTAGAGAAACAATGAATCTTTTGCGAACAATATTTCCGGGACGTTCAATTTCTCGATGTGGTGATGTCAACTCTCCACCAAGGTCACCTGATTTAACGGCTCCTGACTTTTTTATGAGGATTTTTGAAAAGTAGGGTTTATGCCAACAAACCAAATTCTATAGAGCAGCTGAAGAACAATATTACGGAAGCGGGTGAAAATATTCCTCCCGAAAGCTACCAAAAAGTGATGGAAAAGTAATCAAGAGGGCTCAGGTTTGCACGGCTTCTAGAGGCGGACATTTGTCTGATATTATTTTTCATAATTTATAAGTTTCAATAAAAGATTAAGATGATAAAATGGATGTATTTTATTTCATTTCACAAATATTCAAGCCAGTCAGTTACATATCAGCCACCCTGTGTATATTATTTTTCTAATCATTGGTTATTCAGTTTTGTTCATTCTTATTTCAAAAACTAATAAAAGTTGTTTTTTATTTCACCATCAATACATAGGAAGAGTATATAAGCAAACAGCTATGGCGCTTTGAACTGTTACTTTTCAGATTCCATATCTCACAAATTTTTAAAACAAAACTGAAACTCAAACTTTCATATACTTACGCATATGTTGATTCTGACAATCCATTCAAGTAGTCAATGAAAACTGTGTATGGCACCTGAGTCTCTCCTAAATCTTCTATTTTGAGTGGAGGACCTAAAGCTGTTGCACCCTATAATTTTGTTATAATAAATATCTACAATCCAGGAAATATAAGTTGTAACTTAACAGTTAATAAGCATCACCAAAATGAATCAGGCTTCTAGAAGCTACTATACATACATATAACACATTATGCATCATATAACTAATATTAATAGTTTGATTTTAAGCATAAATAAGAATAATGAGAATTTCTTAGGATAGCCATCAAATGTTACTTAACAGTTAATTTTTTGCAAATGCTTTGCATTATTGTTGATCAAACACTTGTTCCAGTTCAAGTTATTTCATCAATTAGCCTCATAGATGACATCTTTCAGACAAACATTTTTGGTTAAATATTAGAATGATAGTTTGCTCCATTTATTTACCAATGCCAAACTAATATCCGGAACTGTCAAGGAAAGCGTAAGTATCTTCTCTTAAATAGCTTCTCATATGCAAAAATGGATGAGAGGTTAGATAGAGCATATGCTTAGCATATTTTAAGATTCATTTGGCAAGCCATGAAATCCTTACTAATTATTCAATAATAGATTATAATGCAGAATGCTGTGCATATGCCAAGCATCATTAAATAGCAATAATAAATCAATCTATCACCCTTCAGAAAAAATGGTGATTAAAGGTGGTAAAATATCTATCTACTAAAATCTAATTATAGAATTGGAATAGTTACAATTTTTATATTACCTAACACCAAAGCAATTAAATACCAATTATCAGACAGCGATCACTCACAAACTGGTCCAACAAAACTAAACTTTCAACTCAGAAAACAAGAAACTGAATAAAATATTTTTATATATCAAGAGTCTATCAATTTTAGAATGAAAATGGTTACACACCCTACTCACTAAACACGCATGAGAGTTGAGTTTATTTTTAGAACCATTCCAAATTTAGAATTTTCAACCAAATAAAAAGTAGTAGTAAAGAGGCTCTCACTTATAGTTAGACACTGCCATCTAACTGGTGTGTAATACAATGCACAGTATGTTGAGCTAAAGATAGCTTGCACTTAAATGCATTTTTTGAATAAATGTTACACCGTATCAATTCAGAAATAGCTATGTATCTGTATTTTTGTAGCAGTTCTATATAAAATCAATTTGTATCGGATGATGGTAGGTATATCCAGAACCATTTCTATGGGGCTGTTCTACTCAGGGTAGGTTTGTGCAAAATGCACTATTCTATAAATTATAGACTTACCGGGTTGCAACTTTCTATCCCATGTGATCCAAAGAAGTACTCTCTGTTATATACAACAATAGATGTGTGCCAAACCCCGTCTATTTTCTTTCCTGGAGCAAAAATACAAAAACTTACCCCAAATTCCTAACCTTAAAATTGCAGTTTAAATTTTACCTATAACCATTGGTGATATTACAGCTGCCATTCCTCCAGATAAGTCGTAAATGTAAAGCTGTACTTTATGCGAGGCCATATCCGCCAGTTTTCTTGGTGAAAAATGTAAATAAAATGAAATTCTTGATGAGTCAATGCAGCTATCAAAATCAGCTGACCGAATATCAACTTTCAACTGTCTTGTCTGGTATTCGGAAAATTCTAGTTTTTCTCGCAGTACGTTCAAAAACTTCACTGAACTGTGACACTTTCCATAAATGGATTTGTAAATAATTGGATCACTTTTGGAAATAGAAGCTGACGCGCTCAACCGAATAGCTAGAATATTCTGGAATCAATGAGTTTGCAGTATGAGTCTCTGCACTTGGATTATAGCCACAAACGTATAAAATTCAAAATGTTCTTAGAATGTTTATTAATAAAATTCGTAAATATTCCTGCCGTCTCAAAAGCTGGCCTACATTAAGTTATTTTCGTCCCCAAATCACATTCTAAATTCCTACTACCTGTCCCTTCTACACAGCTGCGTCACCTTACTTTGATCTATTTTTAGATTTTTTGGATATGCGCGAATTTTTCGTAAATCAGGTTGAGTTATTATTTAAATGTTAAAAACCCTCCTCGAATACAAGATTACTTATAAAATTATCAGTTATAAATAATAATAACTCTGCTTGTCTAAATGTTTGGATGTAAGTCTTATCTTTTGATAGAAAACAGTGTCACAAATAATCTGATAACTCTTTTTCACACATCTATCTGCAAAATCAGCTAAAAATCTGGTTTATTCAATTTTTGAATTCCGTATTCAGAATTCCCGTTTTCGCATTAATAACCTAGGGACAGGTGAAATTCAAAAAAGTAACTAAACTGGCACAACTGTCAACTTTAAGTTGGTCATCCGTAATTTTGACAAATAACTTAAATTTGCACTGACGAAGCTATAAAAATATACATGGGGATTATTTCAAAATGTCTAAAGACAAAGCAATAGTAAGATATTTCACCTTTATTGATTTAAAATAGTTCATAATAATCTATATCTAACTCGGAGTATTATTTGCAAATTTCATTGAACCTAACCTCAAACTGCGATCTCACTGGAACTAATGACAAGGGAATAATTTCTGTTTTTTCTTCCAGTTATTGAGAGTACAATCTCCAGAAGGTACTAGAAGGATAGAAATAAGTCCAGCAGCTTCAGCGACACGTCTGTATGAGACAGTCCATGATGCGTTTGATTTGAACAGCTACACATTTTCCTTGTACAAGGAGAAGAACAAGAAAAATGAGATTGCAAGTAGTAAATCGAGCACCATTCGATCATTTGGGCTCCGTCATGGTGACATGATATATTTATGTCCAGTAGAAGGAACCTCTTTAATTGTATGTATCTTTTTCAAATCATATAGTTAGGACATTCTTGTATTACATCCATATTATAATATTCTCTTTGTTTGGATTCAGAAAGTACATTGAAAAATGTAGTGAAACCTGTATGGAGACAAGTACTTGGTCTAGATTATAATTAGATGCAAAGGATAAACAATAAGATCTATATGAAATAATATCTCTCCATATTCATACATGAAAGAGCAATGATCAAAGAAATATTGAAGTACATTACCCAATTTTACATATTAATAAGTTTTTTGCTCTAACATTATAAAAGTAATGATTGTTATATAACAAACACTCTGAAGCAGTATAAAATATTAGGTTAAATTAGAAGCAATTCCTCAATATTATTATTGCTATAATATAGCATCTAGAAGTAAAATCAGTTTGATATAAGTAATTATAAAAAAAAAACATTTAACATTGAGGATTGATATTCTGCAGGCAATTTTCCTTGTTAATTAAATAGTCATTGTCATAACCATGAAACTAGAGGCAGTACAGATTTTCATCTGCAAAATTGTGATAGTAGAATAACTAGTGAATCTATATTTCAAAAGGTAGTATTTGAATTTGGTAAATTGAATAATGGTATTAAACAGTGTTCGAATTCAAAAATGTTTAAGGTGAAATTAAAAAATCCCTTTATGAATAATCAAAATTGATTGTGATGTAATTTTAATAGACAAGAATGTAAAATTACAGAAAATGGATTGAAGAAAAATATGTAAACCAACTTTTTGTTTTTTTGGTTCAGGCTGCTCAAGACTTTTAAATTTGATTGAATGAATGAATGAATCTTGAAATTAGAGGCAATCCGGCCACCATAAGGAGCCAGTGCATAGGCCACTTAAGTGGGCCCTTTTGCACCTCTACATTCCTTAGATCACAAGCCTCGCCCTTTTAGCGAAGTTGAGAATCGTCTTGAGTCCAAGCTCCTTGACATCCTGAGTAATCCAAAGTAATGGACCCCAGTATAGTCTGCCTATAGTAGCTTAGAGCTTCACAGCGACACAAAACGTGCGCCGAGGTCTCCTTCTCTACCCCGCAGCGTTCACACAAGGAATCCTCAGCCACCACCATCACGTGCAGGTAGCGCCTTAACGTGTTATGGCCAGACAACAGTCCCACTAGCAACCTTAGGTTGGCACTATCCAGAGATAAGCAGAAACGTCCATCCTTAGCACTGGGCCCTTCAATGAGTTCCCGTGCCTGGCGGAGATGTCTGGAGATACTTCTCCATTTCTGAGAGTGTTGTCTTGCAACCCACGTCTCCATTTTCCTCCTAGCTCAATTGCGCGGTCACTCGTAGAGCTGGCTCAGGACCAACAAGCTTGCTGGCTGATCCTGTCTTCGCTAGAGTGTCCGCCGTCTCATTGCTCCTTATCCCAGTGTGCCCCGGTACCCACATTAACGATACCCGATGCCGGCAATCCAGAGCCTCCCTGCATTGCAGTACAAGACTCGAAGTAATCTTACAGGCACTTAGTGCTTTCATTGCAGCCTGGCTGTCGGATTAGATTGCTATTCTTCTCCTCCTCCAGAATGTGAGATACACAAGCCAGAATCGCAAAGAATCCGCCTGCAAAATAGTGGTGTATCCACCGAGAGGCAGAGATAGCCTAGTTCTAGGCCCAGAGACCCCAGCACTTGAGCCCTCTTCGGTGACCGAGCCGTCCGTCTATCAGACCTGCCCGCTCACTCCGGAGAGTCTCCGGCTACCGGCGTCCCACTCCTCCCTCGTTGGATACTCCACAATAAACTTGCGGTTGAAGCGATATTTAGGGGTAATACGATCACCCCTGCTTAGAAGGACAGGGTCCTCCCTTTGCAATTCGACTAAGATGGCAGTATGCCCCTTGACAGGATTCAAGAAAGTCCAGTTGCCCTGACTCCACGGTCGATGAGCGACTACTCTCGCTTCACCGCGGATCACCAGATCCAACAGTGGGAGATCCAACAGAGCTTCCATTGCACTCAATGGCGTTGTTCGCACTGCGCTTGTAATGCTAATACAGGCCAAACGCTAAATTTTATTGAGTTTGGCCTCAGTTGCCTCAGTTCTAATGCAAGGCCACCAGACCAGGAAGCCGTACAAGAGAGATGGACGTACTATCGTCGTGTAGAGCCAGTATACCACTTTGGGTTTAAGCCCCACCTTACGATCTCTAAGTGATGTTGCCTCAAATAACGATCCTGTCAGTCTGTAGTCTGTCTTTGACATCCAGTACCCCTAACTCGTCGATTTCAGCCTTCTTGGAACCACGCTCGACAACATTCCATTACAGTGCTTCGTTTCGATTCACCCGATTAGCGATTTCTCTAAAAGAAAATCCGGATTCACGTAACCCGATTATCCGACCCCCCTCAAACTCGGAAAGTTGAGTGAAATTAGCTCGTCTGCGAACTCTAGGCATGATAATGCAATGAAACAAGAATTAAACAAATGGAACCAACACAGAAAAATCACTGAATATCAAGTAAACATGTTCATGTTGTTCGGATCCTGATATGACAGAAAAAGCCTTTACAAAAAAGGTAAGGCTCAAAATGCCTTCAACATTTTATCAGCATATAGTTCCATGATAGCAAATATGTTTACAATTTTTTATCAAAATTCTATGAATAATTCTGGGTGTTGCATTTTCTATGTCACTTATATGTATAAAACACATTGTAATGGACCCATTACTTGCGCCCTGTGCAATCCCAACGTCAAGATTTTGTTAGTCATCAATATCATTGAAATTTTCATCACAACTGTATGAAAGTCTTTTAAAAAAGAGATCTTATCAATTTCATATCATATCTGAATGATAATGTAAGAAACTATTACCTGTACTTTTATTTTGATTAGAAAGAAAATTGATAATCCTCTAGACTGATAAGTCAATTTTTAAAGTTGAAAAATATTGTGTTGTCAAAGGTTTGTGTAAATCTTTGAGGTATGTTGGGATTTTTATAAAAACTATCATCAACAAAAAGGACATACTTAATATACTGAGTGACAAAAAAAGGTAAACACCTACGTATGTTTATCCGATTTTTTAATTTTTGGCATATATGTGCAGTGTCCCTTTTTAGTAAAATGATTAAATTTTCAGCTTGATTCTTAATTGACTGCAGAATCTGGTTCAATAATGTGTTGAGAATCCACGATATCTTATACACTCAGTGACACGCCTTGGCATTGTGCTGATAAGGTGGTCAATATCCTGTTGGGGTATTTTAGCCTGACTACTGGAACTTTGCGAGTAAGAGCTGCTAAAGTCTGTATAGGATGTTGCTAATTCAAGAGCCTGCAACCTATCATGTTCCAGACATGTTCACTTGGAGATAGGTCAGGCGATCGTGATGGTCAAGGTAAACGGTTGATGCGATGATGATCCATGAAGGCCAACGATGCTCTGGCAACATGCGGTCTGGCATTGTCTTGCTGAAAAATCGGGGTTTGGATGGTGTTTTTAAGTGTGGAATAAGATGAGGCTCCACTACTTCCTGAATATAGCGTCGGGTTATCATATTCCCTCTGATGAAAATTAGTGGTTATCTGCTACCATAAGCTATAGCATCCCATACCATAACTCCCACGGTGTGGTGAACGTGACGCTCTCTGTCAAATTGTGGGTCACGTCTTTCACCACGTTGTCTTCTCATTCTTGCTCAACCATCGTGCATCCCCAGACTGAAGCGGAATTCGTCACTAAAGACCACCTGATTCTATTCCCGGTCCCATATAATTCTTTCTCTACTCCAGAGCAAACGGTTACGCCGATATTCAAATTGTCGTATTTGGCGATACAACCTATGCATACCAACCATCCTCTTTAAACCACTAATTAGCGATGTCTCGAGTACTACTGAATCTGGGCTGGGACACCCGGAGAATTCTGGGCACTCTAGGCATTTTGAGCAATCGTCAATAGGCTACACGAAATTTAACATTTAACTGACACCGTAAATGTACGGAAACTAAATGCTTCTTTATCACTAAACAATTCACGCAGCCACCACAAAAACTTAACAGAAAAACCTGACCATTTTATCACTTGTTGTTCATGGCAAGATAAATCGATATTGTACAAAATTCTTGAATTCTAGTAAAGTGTTTACCTTTTTTGTCACTCAGTATATCATATTATGTCTGCACCTCAGAGTCAGTCCAAATTTTTTGGAAACAGCGTTTTCTTATATTGCTTTTCGTAGACTTTTATTTGTTGCCAAAGGGAGCAAAGTACGAGTAATTTGATAAACATGATACCTACCTTCCTTTGGCAGTACAGTTCAATATTTGATTGCATTATAGAATGATTTTATGTTTGTGCTGGAATAGGCAGCGTTCAAAATCATACTTATACATAATTACATTTCTCTTTGCATCAACATTAAAGTTCCTATGTCAGTTCACGGTGGTTAAATTCTAGTTGGAATAATCAAGCACCTGCTACAATCTCTTTCTCTTGCCTTAAATTTGAATTATATCTGACCAACCAAACCTCACTATCCTCTGAGAGCTAATATGCATAGAATGGACAATGGCGATTCGATAACTTATCTTATTTTTTTTCCAGAGCAACAATACTCCTTCTGGGGAGCCAGTGGAAGAGCCTGTTGCATCTACCAGTGCATCATCTGGTAGAACATTCATAGCAAGTAGAGCCAGTTCTGATGTCAAAGAGGATGATGTAGATCAGTTATTGTACAAGACTGATGGGAAAGTTCAAAGGAAACGTGATGACAAGCTGTATGTGTATTAAGTTATATGTCTATTGAACAGTGTGCCACATAGTGCTTGCCAGATACTTTTTTGTTTTTTTGGATGGCTTTGATCTTTGATGCCCTTTAGGCGCATATTTAGAATCGACCCTTGAGGCTCAAGCGCCAATTGAGGGTTGATCAACCCTTTTATGTATAATGGATAATATGTATATCACACCCTTGAGTAATCCTCAAATGGAGTTTTAACATTTGCGTTTCACAGTAGGCTGTAACATTTCTCATCAAAGGCTTTCAGATTTTTCAGAATTATCAACATAATTTTGAAAACTGAGTACTTTGAAAATTTTTGAAATTCCTGAAAATTTTGAAAACATCAGATTTTGAGAATTTTGAATATCTTGAAACTTATAAAAATAGTGAAAATTTTGAGAATTTTGAAAACTGAAAATTCTGAATATTCTCTAAAAATTGAAAATTTTGATAAACCTGGAAGTTTTGGGAGTTTTGAAAACTATAAAAGTTATAAACACTAAGTATATTTATAACCTGTTATAAGTGTCAAATGTTAAAACTACACTCTGGTGAGTTACGATTCGTTCAAAATCTGGGGATTAATCAACACTGAATCAAAACTCAGACGTTAATGGTCGACTATACATTTGGGTCTTAATTTTTTGTATACTGAAGCGGTCGTGTAGACAGAATCCTAAAACCGGGGCACAACTGCCATAAGGAACTTGAATACGCCTTGTTAATACAATGTTTGAACTGCCTAAGGTTAGCAGAGCTGGTAAAAACCTACTCAGACATAGCTACTACCCCACAATCTCAACACCCTAGCAGTGGTCGTACCGAGCAGTTCTCGATGTGTTGTTTGACAGTGTTGAGATGGGCTGTCTGTCTGCCAGGCTCAATGAGCGGTGGCATCATGAAAGGCAGCTCTGAGGAGCAAAACCTGTTGACATAGCGGTAGAAGAGAACAAGATCGCCGACCGTCCGTCGGTGCGAGAGAGTTCCGAGACTGTCCGTTAGAGAAGTGTCATTGAACAGTCGAACAGACTTTCTCTAAACAGCGTCAAGTATGGACAATGTAGTCGTGGCGGCATAACCCCAAACATTTGAGCAGTATTCTAGGCTAGGCCTTATCTGGGCCTTTTACAGATTGAAGAGAAATGTGCTTCTTATCCCTAAATGAACATTTTGTTTTGGAAGCATCGAAATGTACCACATTGTTGCATCCTCGAGCGGGAATAACTTCTAGGTCTCGTCAGAAAAGAATACGCTGCTGGTCTTCTTCTGTCCGGCTCATCAGCAGAGAGCAGACTTGTCACACTGAATGCCTGCATATAGAGTGCTATCATCGGCAAAGCTGGGACGGGTTTCATCTGCCGCTCGCTTCTGTCTCTCGATTCGTTTTCTTCGATAGCTATATCTTTCTTTTTTTGCCTTACATTTTCTTCCCAGGCAACTGAAGGCCTTCTTCTTCTTCTTTGTTGTGGTATGTAATTTAATGCTTTATTTGGCCATCTATCTTCACTCATTCGTTTCACGTGACCGTACCACACTAGTTGTCTCGTTTTAATTCTGTTCCCAGTAGTATATACAGTATTTGTCCTTCTAATATCTTCATTTCTAATGTGATCTTTTTTGGATATACCAAACGCTCTCCATAGATAATCAATTTCTACTACTTATATTCTGTTTTTTTTTGTGTTCTGTCAAATTTCTGCCCAAACCTCATGATAGGTTCTACCAAAGTTCGGTATATTGTCATTTTTGTTTTTTGTCAAAGATCTTTAGACCATAGTAAAGAGTTTAGAATGCTTATCGCTTTTCCCTGTTGCGTTCTGCTTTCAATCTCTCTTCTTGTAATTCACTACGTGTTTCTCATCCTCCCGATATAAAATTTCCTTCTTTTAAAACATTAATAGCACTTTTATATATTTGCGATAGCTTGCACGTACTACTTTCGTTTATCTTTGAAACATCTTTTTCAATGGCACTGTATCGTATGCTTTCTCCATCTACAATCAATAGGTGGGTAGATAGATTCCTTGCCTTCGTTTTTCACTTGATGCAGAACGAATATATTATCTGTACAAGAGCTGCTCGAAATCCACTTTGTTCTTCTATTTCTTCGTATTATACTTCTATTCTTTCTTTTAGTATCGGCCGTACAACCTCCCTATTGAGCTTGCCTCGTTTATTTCCCTATAATCAGAGCCCATGCGTTTATCCCCTATGTTATACAGGGTCCGTCAGAAAGAACGCATGCTTTTTAAATTAGTAGTACAGTCAAAATAAGTATGGGACAAATATTTTATTATATCGAAATACTTAGAAATGCATGCCATTTTTTAGAGTAAAACAAAATTTACGTTCTAAAAACTATGTCGGCCGTATGGCGCCCTTGAGCCGAATCAAGCCTCTCCCGAAATGAGCCCATTGCGTCAGCCAGCATCCGTGCAGGAATTTGGGTTACTTCTCTTCTTATTTCCTCCTTCAAATCGACGAGGGTCCGAGGCTTGCTTTGGTAAACTTTTGATTTCATCACTTCATCACATTACCTGTTGTGTTGAATGCTTCCACCCATCTCAAAATGGTGTTACGGTCTGTTACTGTCCCACGACGTGGAACACGGAAGTGAACGCGAAACTCACGTTGCGTTCGAACGACAGACATTTTGAAAGTACCGACGTACAGTGAACACACGATGCCCAACGCTCCAAACCATTTTGCCAACTGAAACGGCATTTCTCCCACTATCACTATCCAACACGCCTTTCCCCACCGACACGGGACCAGCCCACTAGATGTAGTACTCATTCGAAAAACATGCGTTCTTCTTACCGACCCTGTATATTGAGCTGATGTAGCCAACATTCCAGTCATCAGGGATATTTGACCTTGTACGCATTTATTAAATAGTTGCGCCAACATCTCATGTAATATATTTGGTCCATACTTTACCAATTCAATTGGGATATCTCCAGGTCCTGCTGATTTACCATTTACCGATCTTTTGAGGCCATCACTTATCTCTCTGGTCGTTACTTTATTCATTTGTGGGTATTCAGACACTTCTTCCCTTTCGATCTCTTAGAATTCACATCTATCTTATGTCAGTATTATCTCATAATGGTGTTTCCACTGTTCCAAATTTATATTAACCTTATGTTAGCTTTTTCCTTTCCTTCTGAGAGACTTTATTACCTTCCACGCTTGCCCAACTCTTGTTCCACCCATATATGCCTATCTACCTCTGCACATTCTTACTTTTCACTACTGCTCTTTTGACGCCTCTATTTAATTATTGATATATCTTGCAATCTTCGTCATTTCTTGTTGACATCCATTTCTGATAAGCAGTTTTATTCTTGTTTACCATTGTTTGCATATTCTCCGACCACCATTCTTGATTTTTTGTTTCATATTTGCCTTTAAACCCAAAGCTTCACTTGTAGCTTTATGAAAGTATTTTTTAAGTTGTTGGTATAACTCTTTCGCTGGTGTATTTTCTCCTTCCCCATTTTGTAATTTTGTGGCCAGTCGTAATTTATAAGGAACTTTCGTTGAATCTTCTTTTAAACTTTCTAGATGATATTCACATGATTTTACTTCTTTTCCTTTTCCTACATTCTGTACCTGGGTGTTATTGTTCTTTCGGTAGTTAACTGTTAACTATCACATTGGCCATAACTAAATGTTGGTCGCATCCACATTATGATCCTCGGTATACCCTTACGTCAGTAGTTTTTAGCTGGGAAGTTTGACGTTGTATTACATGGTCGATTATCGAGCGCCGATTTCTAGTACGTTGCATTCATGTAAATTTGTGTTCACTGTTAATTTGACACCAATTTTGATTCGATATCAAATGAATACTGACATTCGGCAGTGCAGTTGCCTGTGTGCCCTTATTATATCAAAACTATTTTTTTTAGTTGTCGTCACAATGCGAACTCAGCTTGCGTACACTGCTCTCCATTGGAGCCTTATGACGAAGCCTATTTGAAAGAGCACAACATCAAGCATCTATCGTTTCACGCGTATCTGCGCAAGTTGACCTCGGGCGTTGACAGGGGCAAGTTCCTTGCTCTGGAGGACATCAGATGTCGCATTAAGGAGGGCTGCAAGGACCATCCGCCATGGCCTAAAGGGATTTGCTCCAAGTGCCAGCCAAATGCGATCACGCTGAATCAACAGGTAGAGATAATCTTACATGGAAGCTGTGAAAAGATCCCTCAATTTAAAATTGACTTCAAAGCTTTATTCTCACCAAAAGCAACCTAACGGAAACTCGACGTCAACCTGATTTTGACTTAGGTTTTGTTCTCACAAAAAGCAACTGGCAACTTCATTTTGAGGTTGTGGAAAAAGACACTGGGTGTGTACTTACTAGGGCCTTTGTCACGATTCTCTATTACGTTTTGATGTCTACTGAGGTGAACAGCTGATCAGTAAGTCATTTCTTTGTATTGAAGTCTGTGGTCTTGACATTGATGAATTATGTGTAAATTAGGTAAAACTCAGGATTCTATTCAAAACTGTTTATATCGAACATAGTCAAAAACTGTTTATCTTGTTTTATTCTTCTGACTTGAAATGTAGCAATGAGCATTAGCGTTTTTTGGGTGCAAATGAACTTTTCTAAATAAAAGCGTTCTTAAGCAGTATAAATCCTAGCGAACAAAAGAACGCAACAAAATACTACCATGTCTACAGATCTAGCATTGGCAGATCCGTTAGAATTGTATATGACTTGTCGATATAGGGTATTTGAAATGTTACTAGATGATCAGCTGCTATTTTCTGTGACGTCTGACGTAATAGAGACTCGTAAAAATATGGAATATATTTTTATTGTTGGAAACCCCGACTGAAGGAAAATCGTATGGGTAATGTATTTCACGAATAAAATAACATTTGATATTGCTTTAATTTACTAAAAACCCCAATACAGAAGAAATATGTACGCAATTATACTTCTTGAGCCTGATTGTCACTAATACACAATTAACTTTGTAGTGTGGTACGGACACACTGAATAAATATTCTTATTGGAAACTTGTTAGAAAATGTTATGTTATTGCAAGTAATATACAGGGTGTTTCAGTTTATTGTTGCATAACTTTAAGATTCGATAGAACTTTCAAAATTAATGCATAAAGTCTATATAAACATGGGTCAAAAAAAATGCGTGGCTTCCGAAATACAGGGTGTTTAAATTTATTTTCTAAAATGGTTTTTTTTTTAAATATTTCGAACAATATTTGATGTATAACAGTGAAAATTGGTATGCAAGGGTTTTTTGGTACGACAAAACGAACCATGGACATAGTTTTACTGTAGCCGCTAGAGGGCGCTCTCTACTGTACCTGTAGTGTATTAGAATGACCAAAAATTTTGTCTTAGTGCAATTTTTTGCTTTTTGAATAAAAAACTGATTCTTCGCACTTTTCACCATAAAAAAGGTCTCTTGTGAATTTTCGTTATAGTTAGCCGTTTTTGAGATATTTCGATTTTTAAGGTTCGATGCATTTTTAATTATTTATGATAAAATAACGTTAAAAAGTCAGTATCTCGGTAATTTTTAGAAGTAGGCTGTGCCTGCAAATATTTTTGAAATTGAAAGCAGAATATAAGGTTAAACGTCAATTAGTTGACAGTTAGTTTTGTTGTCTGTTGAAACCTGAAACGTTTTTTTGCAATTGTGAATGCACGAAATTTAGTTTCTTTTACCTGTTTTTTTTATGTAAGTTTTATAAAAATGCCATTTTTATTCTCCAATCAAGAGTTAGCGGATATTCATTTTGTGTATGGCTTTGTAAATGGAAACGCAGCAGAAGCAGCCAGAGAATACGCACGAAGATTTCCAAACAGACGACATCCAACTCGCTCAGTATTTGTAAGAGTGCATCGCCAAATAATTGAAAATGGCTTTGGAAATCTCCAAAGGGATCAAAACATAAATGTTCGTCAGCGCAGATTTACCCGTATGATTCTGCGTGAGTTTGATAGAGATCCGACCACAACTGTTAGGAGAGTTTCTGGTGCCTTGGGAATTTCACCAAGCCATGTTCACCGTGTTCTTATAAATGACCATAGACGTCCTTACCATTTGCAACCTGTGCAAAGACTATAGCCAGGGGACGGAGAACGAAGAATCACATTTTGTCAGTGGATTCTTGATACAACTGATAATAATAGGGAGTTTTTAAGTAACGTTTTATGGACCGATGAGTCATGCTTCACTAGACGTGGAGTGGTAAATTTTCATAATCAACATATTTGGTCGCATGAAAATCCGCATGCAGTTCGGGAAAGAAATTTTCAGCATGAATTTAGTGTGAACGTGTGGATTGGTATCTACCGTAATCGACTATTTGGACACTACCTTTTGCCTGCAAGGTTAAATGCTGCGACCTTCTTGGAATTTTTAAAGGCTGAACATGCAAATATGTGGGATGATGTTATGTTAGATTTAAGAAGATTGGCCTGGTTCCAGCTTGATGGTTGTCCAGCTCATTATTCGAGAATAGTTAGAAACTGGCTGGACGAAAATTATCCAGAAAGATGGATCGGCCGTGGAGGACCAGTCGCCTGGCCTCTACGATCCCCTGACCCAAATCCATTAGATTTCTTTGTGTGGGGATTTCTAAAAGAAAAAGTGTACCAGACTCCCGTAACCACCAAGAGATATGCTAATAGACAGAATCAGGAATGCATGTGATGAAATAAGGCCTTATTTGAATAATGCTATACCACGTTCGATCATTCGTAGATGTGAATTGTGTATTGAACAATTGGGTTTACATTTCGAGCAACTACTTTAGATTTTGTATGTTTGTCCTAACTATCCAATAATATTGGAAAATTAAACAAATTAATATTCTGTTTTTTTGTGTTTATTTGGAGTTAGGAATTATTGCTGTGTTTAAAAACACAATCTAAACGATCATCTTAATTACTTGTAATGCCCAAATCGAAAATGTAAAAAAAATATTATTTTCCCATAAATAATTGAAAATGCATCGAACCCTAAAAATCGAAATATCTCAAAAACGGCTAACTATAACGAAAACTCACAGGAGAGCTTTTTTATGTTGAAAAGTGCGAAGAATCAGTTTTTTTTATTCAAAAAGCAAAAAATTGCGCTAAGAAATTTTTTTCGGTCATTTTAATACACTACAGGTACAGTAGAGAGCGCCCTCTAGATGCTACAGTAAAACTATGTCCATGGATCGTTTTGTCGTACCAAAAAACCCTTGTATACCAATTTACACTATTATACATCAAATATTGTTCGAAATATTTAACAAAAAACTATTTTAGAAAGTAAATTTAAACACCCTGTATTTCGGAAGCCAGGCATTTTTCGACCCATGTTTATACAGGGTGACTTTGAAGTTGAGTCATTAATTTTCAGATAATGATTGTAGAAGGAAGATAAACCAAAATATGTGTGTAAAAATAAAAAAAAATTATAAAACAAATTTTACCTTGTTTTATAAAGTATCCTCCCGACAAGTATTTCAGTGCGGACCTGTATTTGATCGTAAGGTCTTGGAGCACCGGCAGGCCGTCACCTGATTCACGAGCCCGTTGTACTACATTAACAAAGACACGAGGGGTTGGTTGCACTCGATTGGGAAACCGATCCGCATAAACATGTGCCATTTTTTATTTCGTTTGAGCCACGCAACAGACACCACTATTCACTGACACTGACTGTATACAAATGAATAAAATAATTGTAAAAACATCGTTCCAAATTCTTTCGCTTTTTTGTTTCCGATGCGATGAACCGATACGGCGGATTATATCCGTTGTCGCCAAACACGAGCACATAATATTATTATTGAGACAGGGCGGTACTCAAACTTCCAAAGGGCTATAACTTTGTTACTTTAATTTTACCAGAAAAATGGTAAAGGAAAAAAATATTTATTTTGATCAGATCTACTCACTGTTAAAATAAATGACTCTACTTCGAAGTCACCCTGTATAGACTTTATGCATTAATTTTAAAAGTTCTATCGAATATTAAAGTTATGCAACAATAAACTGAAACACCCTGTATAACCGGAAATGCTGCATCAAGCAGATGAATGAATTGTTTTGGGGTATGATCGGAACATTAGCTGTAGTGTCACAATGACCATCCACAAGTTGGAATCGGTCTTTCATCAACTGGTGGACAACTCCAACACAACTAACGACGGCTGTGCAAGTAATTGGTCGGGTTGCGTCGCAGTTGCTTTAACGTTAGCACTGAAACATTTTATGATTATTTTTCATTTGCTTTCAGCCCTACAGACACATAGACAATGTGACCTTTGAAAACAAGGAATTAGTAGAAAGATTCTTAAATTACTGGCGTGTCACAGGACATCAAAGAATCGGTTTTCTGTATGGAAATTATGAGGTGCATACTGATGTCCCGCTGGGTAAGTTTATTCTTAAGTTTCCAAAAATAACCAAAAAACTGTGTGGATGCTTTTCGAAATAATAGAAATAAGTTCATATCCCACTGTCTAATACTTACTTTATATTTCTTCGGATTCTGTGTATATATGGGTGTTGAACAGTGTCCTTTTTCAAGTTGCCAACGTAAACTCCGAAACGTCGCCAACTTGCAAATGACACTTTTTAACACCTACTCAGGGTGTCCTCAAAGTGGGGACTTTCCTTTACACTGCATATCGGTTTTGAAAAAATGATCAGTTCTTTTCCAGTAACATATACACCTAAGTCTTAAGATTACCGAGATGTTCGGTCCCGCAAAGTAAATCAAACCAAAACAAAACCTAACCTGGTCCTGCACCCCAATCACAAAACAAAAATGGCACACTCATACAGCAATATCGGTATTGTCCGTATTATTTTAATTTACGTCTTCGAATTGTTACCGAGGTTTCGCGAGTGCATGCAGATCTTTTTTCAAGATCCTTCCTGATTTCTTTTTTTGTTTGGGGTGTAATGAAATGTTTAGTTTACAAAACTAACGTGAACACTGTTTACGAACTGCGTGTGCGAACTTAGCAATTTGCTGCATTCATTCTTGATGCTTGGATACGTCGAGCACACGCATGTGTCTTTGAATCTATTGCTGACAACTTTGAATAATACTTATTTTCACTGTTGATACAAACGTAGTTGTACATCTTCGAATGATAGATAAAATTATTTTCATCGCATTCGCCGCGTATCGGTCGCACGTCAATGCAACGAACGTATATCTGTGTGCACAAAACCTTGAGGGGAAATTTCACCACTTGCTCGTGACTGGCGGTGTTATTTAGCAACGTTGCCAGATGACGGGTATGGCAGAAGAGAAATGTTTTTTTTGTATAATACTTAATTTTTATAATGATAAATAATATTAGAACAGATTACAGCAGGGTTACCTGGCAAATGCAACTTTACTGTAATCTATTCTACTATTATTCGTCATTCATAAAAATAATGTTTTATGATAAATACAGATATCTGCATAGTCAAGCAGCCGGATCTTAGACTATTAGGAAAGTGTTATGGCGGATGTCACAGCACAGCGTTGCCAGATGGATTGGACAGAATTTCCCCAGGACAAGCACAAAAATTACTCACAATTCTACCTTTTCTAAAAAATCCCTCAAATTACAGTTAATTAATGCAAAGGAGTAGGTTTGGTTCAAAAAGCGGGAGGATGCTTTCTATCCGCGAAGCGTGTGATTTTCTCCAGAACATTATATCGCCAAAAAATTCCCCAAGTAAAAATCCTCAGAAATTGGGGTAATATCCCCCAACATGACAACCCTGTCAAAGCACCACTCGGCGTCGTTTGTACAGCACGAACAACATTACCGTAGTTTTTCCTGGTATATAATCTCCATATACCCAAGTAAAATTTGAAAATCACTTTCTAGTGGTGGTGTCAGATATTTCACGAACTGTGATCTAGAAACTGATATTTCTAAATCACGAATATTACCAAATACCCTGAAAAAGTGATCACTACTTCGGGAACTAGCAGCTTTACGACAATGGCAAATGGTAATTTAGTGTCAGGCTTTAACATTTGAATGTGCGTGAGGTACACATGCGCGCTAGTCGCTAAAGTCAAATCGTATACTACCGCAAGGGTCGATTACACTAACATTAAAATCTAATGGGGTATTCGACCAATTAGGGAACGATTTATTGAAATGCAATTTGACGGAAGCCGTCAAAGCTCTCCTAATATTAGTAATTTCTATTGAAATATTGAATAAAATCGTGAAAAAGCGGATTTTTTATAAATAAGGGTACATTCTAGATGTAATACCATGTCGTTGAGGTTTAGAATTAGGATAACTTTCATAGAATTTCCAATTTCTTAGTTGAATGGACCAATGAAAATGCAAGAAATAACATGTCGATTTTCTACCTATTATATTTACATCCTACTGGATGGTTTCACCGTTCTTGTCTACTGTCCACACATGGCAATCTAGTTTTGTCTCTATATCACATACAGGGTGTTGTACCTGTAGAAGTTTACTGATTTTTTTTATTTCGCAAAACAAAGATATAAAACGTATTCCAACTGGTTCATCATCTTTTATCACATAAAAAACAATTTATTTCCAATTTATGATCTAGAAATCCACACCGGTTTAGGAAAAAATGCCGCCCCAGGATCAGTGGTGGATCACCGTCTATAGAAAACGTTTATTATTGTATTGAGGGCGCATACATGTTTTATTCTACATTACAACTTGTACAATGTGCATACTGGTCGCTCTTTCAAAGTCCTGCTTATAGTATTATGAATATGTTTTTGTTTTACCCTTGAACTCATGAACTCACCTCACATTTTAAACATTTATTTTGAAAACAGACAGGTTTCTGTTTCTTTATTGCTTGTCCGGTGATGCGGCGGTAATGACGGTAATCTACCAGTATGTACCTTTTGTACGCAAAAAAATCAATTCAGTGCAAGCGGAGTAAGGGATGAGGATATGCGTTGGTAATCATAGCCAACCCATCTACGCCTCTCGTGTGTCCGCCTGCCTGAGTGTGTATGCATATGTGTGATTGATATGGGGCATAAAACTTCGAAGACTACATAAAATTAACTTTTAGCTTTATTTTTGGTTCCAGCTATTTTTCGGCAAGTATGGAATTTGAATTACATATTTTGAAAAATCGTGGAAAATGCCGTTTTCGGTAAATATTCTGAATTCTGTTAAAATACCGAAAAATCCGGTTCAAGTCCTTGCATAGACGATCTGAAACTTGCAATATGAATTTATATTCTGAATTCTATGTATATTCATTCATATTCGTCAATATTTCATTTGAAGCTTCTATTTTTGATAAGATTTTAGCAAAATGTAAAATAGTAAAGGCGCACCGCACACCGCAGCCCAGTTGATAAGAGCGACAAGCTGTCGAGTTGTGCAACGATTTTGTGAAAAATTCTACTACCCATAGTCTTATAAAGCATATTAGAGTATATTTCAACAGTTGGCCGAGTTTACTCCACTGGGACCAAGCGTTGACGGATCCCACAGAATTATGTTTCACTTGTCGATATGGGGAATTTTTTAAGTATTAGGAGATAATCAGCTGTTATTTTACCGTAATGGATACTACTCAAAAATACCGCAGTTTATTGTTTGAATTCAAGTAATATTAATATAGAATGTGTACTCCGTGAAAAAAGAATAATATTGCAAATTCTAGTTTTTTGCAGTTTTTAGGTTTGGACGTATCTTTACGACATCCAGTAATGGACAAAAGTATATAGACAAATATGTATATTTACCTAAATACCTTTAGAAAACGAATTTTTTCTTCATTGCTCCATAAACAAATACGTTATTAGTCGAAAAACTAAATTCCTTGTTTTTACATTATCAGCAATGAACACAATACAAGTCTGAATATAAATACTTTTTTATGAGGTACAAAAATATGTAGACAAATTCTTTTCAACATAGTTTAGTACAGTTTCGTGTCAGAAGAGGATTAGTTTGTGTTCATCAAGTATTGTGGAATAAGTTGAGTGATTTTAAGACCATGCCGCGTGGTCCAGAAATTTCTTTCGATGTGAAAACTAATATCTACTAACTAATAGTTATACAAAGATGGTCAACGTCAAGTCAACATTGCCAAACATTTGAAGCTGAAGCGTAAAGGAGTTTGGGCAATATTGAACAAATATAAACAAAAAGGTATCTTGGAAGCCTCTAAGAGAAGTGGTCGGCCTAGAAAACTAAAAGCTAGATCAATTAGATTAATAAAAGTAATTTCGTCCAAAGATCCGTTTAAAACCCCAAGACAAATAAAAGCCGAAATCGAGACAAGAGGAATTGCCAGTGTTTCTACGAAAACTATAAGTAGAAGATTAAATGATTTGAAGTTATTTGCACGTCGCCCAAGTAAGAAGCCGCTAATCTCGAGGAAAAACCGTAAGGACCGATTACAATTTGCACGGTTGCATCTTGATTGGAGCTTGGAGCATCTGTGACTGGAAGAGGGTATGTTTCAGTGACGAATCCAAGTTCAATATGTTTGGATCAGATGGTGTTCATTACGTTAGACGTCCTAGTGGACAAAGATTGAACCCCAAGTACACTTTGCCCACTGTCAAACATGGAGGCGGATCTGTTATGGTTTGGGGGTGCTTTTCGGGGTTTGGGATGGGACCTTTACATAGAATAGATGGCATTATGGATAAGTTTGTATACACAGACATACTAAAGCATGTCATGTTACAATATATGGACGACAATATGCATTAAGAACAATCTTCCAGCAAGATAATGACCCGAAGCACACTTCAAATCTCGCAAAGAAATTCTTTCTGGATGAAAAAATACCAGTTCTCAAATTAATCAAAAACTTTTTGTCGCTTTAGAGCAAAAGTGGAGACAGATTGATGAATCTTATGTCACGAAACTTCTGCAATCTATGCCGAGACGATGCTAGGCGGTGATTGATAATAATGGTTATGCTACAAAATATTAACACAAACATGGTTGGTTCTCTATAATTCAATGAACTTTGCTTCTTTTTTCTATAATCGTTTGGCTTTGTCTATATATTTTTGTCCTTCATAGTTTCATTTTTTCAATTAATTTTTTTATTAAAGGGAGTCTAATGAATTTATTTTTGTATAAGTGAGTATTATGCTATAACGAATTATGTATTCAGGTTGGTGTATTAATAAAACAAGTTAAAAAAGAAATACAGCACAATATTAATTTGTCTATATACTTTTGTCCATTACTGTATATTTGGGTATTTCTCAATCGCTGTAAATATAGTGTGGATGTTTGTTCACTTCCTGAACAACTAAAAATATCCAACTTTATGGGTGTATGGATATCAAAAATCCCGAATGGTTTTGTGCCAAAATCAATCTAAGGTGACATAACGGTACTGATGAACGACAAGTAAATGACTGAATGTTTGGAAACGAGCAAAATCTATGAAATTTTTGGTAGAGTCTTTGTCATCAAGTAGGTGTTTAATAGCTGACAAAGAGGTTTATAGGAAAAAACCCACTGTAGGTGATGTTAAATCAGTAAAATCGCATAACAATTGAAGAAAATAATATAAACATGAATAGACAAACAACAATAGTAAAAAAAAACATGAATTTTATTCAAAAATCAAACACTTTTTTAAATCTTGTATGAATTATATGTAATTTCACAATGTTCAATAAGCTGGTGATGTATTAATGACAAGCTGTCATCTCGCACTTTGACAATATTTTGTTTTCAATATTTAACAGCCTATAATAATGAAGGCCAGTATGCTCATTGAACAAGTTGTAATAAAGAAGTTAATATTTTTTCAGAAAAAGATGCCCTCAGAAAACCTGTGTTGTGTGTGCGCGCATAATACAAGCATATACGTTTTTTTTTCATGATTACCTTTTGATCCATCGCTGATCTTGCGACCACTGTTATTGAATCTAGCAAATTTCAACGACACTACCAATTTTGTCTTTTCCGGTTCGGCAACACTGTGCTTACCGCTCTATACAGGGTGCTACAATATAAAATTCTTGTCCCCAGGTATCAAGGCTAACGTAGTAGCTATCTACGAACCCCCTCAAGAAAGCAGTCGCGACCACATTCGCGTCCTTCCTGACGACCGCGAGGAACTCGTTGAGGAAATCGCGCAACGCCTGGGACTGCGTCGCGTAGGATGGATTTTCACTGACCTCCTCGCAGATGATGTCCAAAAGGGCACCGTTAAACACACCAGACACGGTGACAGTCATTTTCTGTCAGCGCAGGAATGCATCATGGCGGGGTATTTCCAGAACAAGCATCCCAACCCGTGCCGGTACTCGCAGAAGGGGGTGTTTGGATCGAAGTTTGCAACTGTTTGTGTGACTGGTGAGTATAGTTGATATTGCAGCCTGAAAGGCCCATCATAGAGCTTGGACTAATAAACGTAGACGGACGGAGCAGCCGACGCAAAATATACCGTAAACATGAAAGCGAAACCCTTCTTTTCTAAAGGCAGAGACAGATATACATCTTGTGTCAACTAATGGGCAGCGACACTGGTATAGACAGAGGAGAGGGTTGTATTGTGATAAAAAATTAAGCAAGACAACATAACGCGCTAAATAGTATCTAATGGGGGGTAATTTGGAAAGCTGAAAACAGACGGAACTAGTTAGACTGTGGGTCATATCCGTCATAGGTTATCAACAGACAAACATGTCAAATACTGATCAGCTGTCTACGTCAATAGACATCAAACGATAAAAAATAGTTAACTTTCCTATCAAATTTGTCTTTTTTCCATCACCTTTCTTTTAAATGTCTTTTCCTGTCTACGTTTGAAGGCTTGGACCGCCAACTATACAAGCGCTCCCTCACCGAAGCAAAATTAGACAATGTTCCCATTGGAATAAACTGTGCAGCGACTTCGTTCCGAATGTTCCAGGTGAAGAACATTTTCGATTCGACAAGGCTGTATTTATATCATTAAATCTGACGGAGGTTTATAGAATGCGATATCGCCGCAGCGCACCCTTCCATACTAGGGCGGTCATAAATACACAACTTAGATTTAACCTTTTTCATTATATTTTAAACCTTAAAATACAGTTGTACAAACATGAAAATACAATTTATAAAATTATTTTTTAGAAAAAAATATAGATACTAAAAATATTTCTCAGTATTTTTGTTTTAGATATTGTTTTAGATCAACCTTATAAAAATAAAATAAAACAGTTCATAATAAGGGCAAACAAGATAAATTGAAAATAATTATAAACTCTAATACCTATAATACATTATAATGGAAACAAGTAACTTAACAAATCCAACACAGATTTTGGCAATATGTCTTTTTTTAACAGGTAACTTTCTTAAACCTTCTTAAACTACCCTCCTTAGAGTGCCGAATTTCAAAAATAGTCCTCCTCGAAACAGAATACTCAAAAAATTTACCTAAAACAACAACAAAATTGGATTTGGAAAACACCTCTTTTTTCTATACTATATTATTACTATATGGTTCGGCACCTTACAAACCTAAGAAAGGGCAACAAGATGCAGATGAAACCTATATGCCCCTAATCTAGTAATTCTCTACTTTAAGATAATATTTATCTCAGCTGCAGCAAGGCACAGCAAAAAGTTTATAACTCGAAATGAATTAATTTGGTAGGAAAACAATCTTGCAAAAACTACGTTCAATAAAAAATTCATATGAAACTCCAAAACGCATGTTTTTACATAAAACAGGTAAATAATAAGAGTTCAAACCGTATTCTTGCACCTCCATATTATCACTACGTGAAAACACTCGGCTTGAAATTATAATCCACAAAAAAAAGTAAGTTGCAATGACTTACACGGTAATTATTAAAATAAATGAACGTTTGAACTAATTACATACATTGCATTGTTATTCATATTTTTTAAACGCCTCGCGTCTACTCGATAACCTAGCGACTCATTTAGACCGTTTAGACCCGAGTTTTTGGGTTTGGCCTATGGAAGAATCACTGTGCAGCGGTTCAAAGGAGAAGAGCCAAATATGCTCCGGCCCATGAATGTGTGTCAGTCAGGTTAAACCAAAATAATTCCATCCATTTGTTTTTCACTCCAAGTCATACAGTTGAAACTATTGTGACGCCATCTGTAAGAACCTACATTGTCGCGCTATCTGTTGGCGGCCGCAATAACATTCGCTATCTAGAATGTCGAGAACGTACGCCGGTACTCCAGAACTTCGAAAGCAGGAGATATCTGGATAGTATTGCAGCGAAGCATTTGATCTCCCTTAAGTTTCGCGCCAACTGAGGGTGAATAAAACTGAGGCAAATTTTGCAGTGCACGCGTCAAACATGATACATCGCTTTCATTTGATTACGTATAAGACATTGTTGTCAACGGCACAAACCCGACAGAGAAATCCATATAACACTGACGCCGTAATATGTGAGAGAGAGAAGCGTGCAATTCATGTCAGAAGGAGATAGAAGATCCACGTTGCCTAGCAACGTGAGTGACGATACCACGGACGCAGCTGCGGATTGCCGCGTTGCCATCGGCGCACTCTTTCTAACATCCGTATTGTACGCTTCTCTCTCGTACACATTACCTCGTCAGTGATATTTGGATTTCTCTATTCATAAAAACAACCTAATATTTTGCAACCATAGCTCTTGAATAATGAAAATCTTGTTTCAGGTGATAAGGACAACCAGATTCACATGGAAGGATATCAAGTGTCAAATCAGTGTATGGCCTTAGTACGAGACAATTGCCTTTTGCCGACGAAGGACTGTTCTGAATTGGGATACGTTCGAGAATCTTCCGATAAACAGTACGTTCCTGATGTTTACTACAAAGTGAGTACTTTTTTGTTATCAGTAGAAAAAAGTTTAGCAATTTTCAACAGTACCATCTTTCAGCTAAGTGCGTTTTCACCGATTTTGGAGGTTACAGGTCATGAATCAATGGCATACGGAATAAGTAAATAGATTGACACTGTGCAGTGCTTTGCTTTCCTAAGGGAAACTGTACACTGACGAAGCCGATATTTATTGAATAGAATGAGTAATCGGAGGATTACATGGAGATGTTTTGCCACTAAATGACACCACACATGTTTGAAATACTGTTTAGTTATGTCGACGTTTCGTCCAAAATAATGGCATTTTTCAAGTACAATTTTGCAATTCTGACAATTGTCTTTCGGAATCGCTTTAATTTAGCCCCGTTGGCTACTACCACGGACCGGAAATCAATTTTTACATGAGTCACTACGTTTAGACAAACTGCAAGTGGGATAAGACGAAGAACTAGAGTCGCTCGACCAATTAGATCACCTGAAAACATTGAGGCAGTGAGACCTTCAGTGTTGTGATCACCACAGCGTTTTACGCGCAAACTTGCGTGTGCCATTGGGCTTTTCGATCGTGTTGTGAGGAGAATTATTCATAATCTCCATTTCCATCCTTACAAGATGGTAATTGTACAGGAACTTTCTGAACGTGACTTCAATTCTCAGATGAACGCGTGTGACAATCTTCTCGAAGTCGTTCCTGAGGGCGCTATTGTTTTTTTTTTAGTAATGTAGCCTATCCATTTGTGTGGATCCGTCAACAAACAAAACATGCGCTACTGGGCTGACACCAAACCTCGGAAATTGCATCAAAGGCCTTTGCGTTAACCAAAAGTCACTATGTGCTGTGCAAATTCCTCAACTGGAATTATTAATCCCTAGTTCTTTGAAGAAGATGAAGTCGCAGTGACAGTGAATTCGGACCTCTATGTAAACATGTTACAGACATTTTTTCACTTAGAAATTGTCAAATGAACCCCTGCTATGCTGGCAAATAATGACAAATGCCTACTCAATGTATGGAGAATGCCACCTATCTGATTTGATCTTCAAAACTATGTAAAACCATTCTTCAAGTTATGCTGCTGCTCCCTGTGCTCGAAAACGGCCACTATTGTGGCCCAAATGTCATCAGTATATATCAATAGCATTTCAAACAAATGTGATTTCATTTAGCGGCTAGACTAATATGATGTTTGGAATGTGAATATACACTCAGTGGCATTAGAAGTGTTACACCCAGAAAAAAGAATTTCAACTTGATTGTTTGGCAACGAGGTAGTCTTACATTAAGAATTAGACGATAACATTCTCACGAAATTTTATTGACAAGTAAGAAGAAAAAAAATAATGTGTAATAAAAAATTAACGCCTGCTTCTTGAAGAAAATCTGTGGTAGGACGAGCAATTGGGGACGTGCGTTGTCCTGTTGAAAAAGGACGTGTGGACAGCCCTCTAGATACAGCAGTAAAGTAGTTTGCAACATCATCAGCATAACGCGCAGCAGTCATATTGCCATATTGCTCGAATGCGGCGATAGAGTGTACGCCTATTAACAGGTCACATTCTTCTCCAAACCATTGGTCAGCGATCTGACGCGTAGTAGCAAAGCGATCTCGTAGGGCTAGTTGTCTGAAGCGCCTATCTTGACGCTCTGTGGTACGCCTCGGTAGACCAGTTGGCTTTCTTCGTGTTCTTCTACCTTCTTCTATCCACACATGCATTACCGTCATTGCAGTACAATTAACACGGCGGTCAAAGTCGCTAACATGATGACAATTTGGACGTCTTCGAACTCGAGGCATTTTGTTATTATGCTTAACACTAGCATATGAAAGGGCAATAACAAAAAATATCTGTACTACTCAGCTCTCAGAAACAGCTTTCTTTACAAAAACTAAGAGATAACATTTTAACAAAAGTAAACAATAACAAAGATAAAACGTTGACATTGTTGTCACACCATGCTTTAAATATAGTCATTATTTTGCCAAAAAAACAAGTTGAATAAATTATTTTTTCTGGGTGTAACACTTTAATGCCACTGAGTATATCATTGTTTCAGTAATTACTTTTTTTACACCATGGAGACGATTTTGCTGTTTTTTTTACACATAGTCCACATGCTCACTGATATGTAAATTTTGGTCTATAACAACTCCTACATATTTTAACGCAGCTGCGAGACGCTAAAGCTCACTGTCCATTTCAATAGCACCATTGCTTACTTTCAAATAACGCCGCGGATAATGAATACAGTTTATAGGTTATGGGCCTAGCCAATCTTGCACTTAATTACGTAATAGACCTGAGGTTTGAGCATTTTAGCTCTCAAGGCTAACCTAGGTTATGGGCCTAGCCACTTTTATCACGTTGTAGTCCTGGGGTGTGAGTGTTTAAGCGATTAAGGCTATTATAGGTTATGGGCCTAGCCACTCTTGCATTTAATTATGTAATAGACCTGGTGTTTGGTCATTGTAGCTTTCACGGCTAAGGCTATGTGATAATTTTTTGTTGAAAGATGATTGATTGAAGTGCCTCATAGATTTTTCCGGAACATGATAGGGTTTTTCAAAAATGAAACAAATGGTTACAGATGCGGAAAGTCGTTTATTTGAAATCTAACGTGAGGTGGTAGGTACTCAGTTATCACAAATATTAGTCGGGTAACAAGGCACAAACACTGGCTGCTACATTGAGTTTCGCAATTGGAGGAAGGGAATACAATTTACAGTCATGACCAATTTTTTTCATACATTCTTCAATCGACACTAGAAAAAACTACCATCAATCATAATGAAATTGCATTTTTAATATCTGAAATGGATTACATCCATTTTTTTACCTTGACCATTCCACGTCAAACTGTCAACGTCAGGACACAGTGGTTTTTTTTACGTCTGACGGAAAGCTAAAATTCAAATGATGGGACGCGGAATAACTTATTAGGTCACAGATTTGGCGCGAAAAATTACGATTAGACAGCAAGTCTTCCAATTTCTCATCGTAGAGAAACACTCAGAATATAATGTTTGGAGTCAAATTATTATGGAATTCTGCAACATTTTTGGTATGTACTCGGTTATATAGTTACAATTACATTATGGAAATGTTCCGCTTTTTAATCTTTTAAGCTTCGTTTCTGATTGATTCAAAGTAACATTTACAAGTTAAGCCATCGCGATTTTTAGTTCGTTTTCATTACATATTGTACGAATAGATGAGAGATCATTACACATGTCTTTGGTCATGACCGTTTACACATAAAATCGAGATCAAAGATACTATGGAGGAGAAAGTTTGAAATTACTATACAATATTACATACTAGCCCAGATCTCCATTATATTTGTGATCTCTAAAGTATTCAACATTTATCGCTTACATAGCTAAAGCTACATATATTTTTTTGTTTGTTTTTACAACGATACAATTCTATTCTAATACGACTTTATTTTGCACACATATAAATATATCGATAGAGCAAGAGGTTATTTATCCATGGACGATACTTTAAACTGACTACACAAAGTTCCCAAAATATGTATATAAGCCTAATCTCTTTCAATGTTACATTACCACGAAGCTTCTTGAGATATATAGAGGTCTATAAATTCGTCAAATTCTCCAGCAGCTTAAGGAGTCTAAAAAATATTTGCCATTCCAGTCTGTTTAATTTCGAGCATAAACATTAGATGTACAGAAAAAGATATGTGCTTCAACTAACATCCAGATTTCAATAATATTTATTTTCTACAATTAGTGTACAACGGGTTGAACATGTCAGAGAGAGAATTTTCTGTTCTATTCACAATGAAATAAATTATTAGTATTATGTCACATTTGAGATCTAGTGTACTATTTGAAGCGTACTAAATAAAGACATTTTACTGCTGGAGAAAGTGGCATGTATGACCCCTATTCACAGATATATTACCTAATCCTTCCCTGAATATTTTTTGATTAGAAAAAAACGAAAAAATCATTTGGACCCAAGTTGTCAAAGATAAAAAAAATTAACAACCTACACGACAGAAAAAATCTCTGATGATACAATAGCTTGTTTTTATTGTCGCACGCAATAAAAAAATATGTTTTTATGGATATATGGAAAATGTGATCCTTTTATACAGTATATAATTTCTTCCTCGCCGTTTCTAAGATTTAATAAAATATACGCGTTATAGGACTTTGCATTTTAGGCTGCACGGACTTTGAACTAGACTATAAGTTGAACTTCGATGTCTACACTACTTTTGTACTTTGGAAATTTGAAAAAAATAGAAAAGCAGACCAATCGACTATTAGCACTAAAAATATCCAGTCTTATGTTTTGCCAGGTTAATATTCAACTGCGAATGAGTCTTATTTGATTTTACGTAAGAGCATTGCGATTCTTCGATTAACTATTAGGTAGCCGAAAGGTCTTTTATATTTTGATTTAGATGAAACTACATTTAACAAAAGTATATTAAGCTTTAGGAAATTAACGTCTATAAAAGTCCGTAAGGCACAAATAAACTTTAAATTGTAATTAAATGATATGCTTAGTAAGTATTCTTCCCAACTTCTGAATTCATTGTCAGCATACCAAAAATAAAGTATATTTTTCATTTCCGTTTCATTCTCAAAAATATAATTTGATTGGCACTCAGATCTGAGCATGTTGAAAAGTTAGTAATGTGGACTGTTAGTAAAACTGAATAAAAAATTGTAAAATAAAAAATAATTTTTATTTTTTCTAAAATAACATTTCAGTTGCCATTTTATTCGTTATGTTTCTCAATATTCCCGACAATACGAAACGTACTTATCTAATATAAACTTTATCATATATTGAACAAAAAAGTAACCATTTGACAAAACTTACAAATATAATTTCCGAAAATTCTTTACATGTTTGTAATATGATAAACAATTATACTTTGGTTGTTTCATTTCTACTCGTAAATATCGCTTAGGTGTAGAAATTCGTATGTAAAGTACATGCACTTTTAGCACATAGATGTTTGTGCATTTTGCACAGGTATAAAGTTGAGGTACTTGGAACTAAACGCAAAAGGAAGCATTGTAGCCGATTAGTAAGAAAATAATATAAAATGTTCGATTCAATTCTTTTCATCGCGATTACTGACTTTTCTAAATAGAATCCGATTTTAAACTCTTCTAACCTTTAACACCATTTTCACTCGAGATCCCTCCCAAACATAACAGATACACTTACAAGCTACATAGATATTTCACGACAAGCTAAAAATCGATAACAATAAAAAATATCTATAATTATTTTTTGCTCTCTTCACGATACTTGATAGGATACGAAAATATAGTATTATTTCGGAATTCGATAGTTTTATTTAAGCTAGTACGTGTGTTTTTCTTACAGCTTTTTTCTCGTTTTTTCAATGCTCGAATACACATTTATAACTACACATACAAAACATCGATTTGTAAAGTTACGTTTGATTTAAACACCGATGCGAGAAACTAGTGATGCTAACTAACCACCAATTTTTTGTCAGAAAATTCAATTTTCTATTCATTTTTTGTGGAAAAATAACATAACTTTTCTCTAAGGTCAATTCAAGCATCACATCAAAAGTGTTCGAGAAAAAAAATTATTAGGAACAATCAACACCTATTTTGGTACTTAATATAAGTACAACAATGGACAGAAGCACTATTGACGACACTATTAAGCGTGATGAGATATTTAAATTGACCATCAGACCTAGTGTTTTGTATAATCCTCAATAAAATCCTATCACCAATCTAAGGTTGTAAAGAATAACAATAACGCCAAGTTCGAATATTAATTAAAAAAAATTGTCTACGTCCTAAACATGCTAAAAATGTAGGCGAAGCTCTTTATTATTTCACTTTTTTTTAATTACCTAACTCGTCGTCCGTACCCGTTCATTTGAAATACTACCTTAATCCAACATGCATCCAATAGAAAACGGAATGTGAAAGTTATACTGTCTGGGTTGAACTAGATGCGATATAATCTGGATTCACTAAATAGTTGGCAAGAACTACTTTTGGAAAAACTCAAAGTTTCCTAAGCATAAATTCTCTAATAAATTTAAATTAAGTTCAAAATTCAAATTCTCGTCCGCGCCTATTTCGCGGGGCCTCTACTTACTAGTTTGCTGATGCATAGCTAAGATCATTTCCTATTATAAACATTATATATAATAAATGAAATGCCGTTTTTACATAAACTGAATAGGTCAAAAATTAATATGGAATTATATCAACTCCATAGCAGTCTATTTCAATAACAAAACTAAATTTGATCTTAAGTCCTGAAAATCCCGGAATTCTCCATTCTTTTGGCAGCTAGTCTCGAAATTCTCTATTATCCTATAATACCGAATTTTGTCTCCGTGTCGATATTTTGCTGTGTTTGCTCACCATAACAACAAAGAGCTTCAACTACAAGTGATAAAAAAGTCGACCCATTAAAACTACATAAAAACAAAAACCCGTACCTGAAGCCTTAAAGTTTCCCGCATTTGGATATCAATATATTCTTCGTGGGTTTCCCCGCTGTGTCCCCATACGTGCTGATCTTCTCAACCAGCTCGAGACCCTCGACGACATGTCCGAATATCCCCGTGAATCCCCGCATTTCTTGCAGGATGATGCGGAACTGGGAACCCACCATACCGAGGTTATCGTGACGTTTTTGGGTACGGCGCATGCCCACTGTGCCTCGTACAGCCATCAATTTCGTATCGTCTGGCAGAAAGTAGGAGTCTTCGAAAATGGAGCGCCCACCGCGGCCGTTGTTCAATTCAAAATCGCCGGTTATCACGCTTTCTCCTTCCCAACATTGGAATATCTGGCAACCTTTGTAACCCATTCCTAAGAAAAAATATCGTGATTATCGAAAATTCCTTAAATTCATCGATTAAAGTATTCTCCAAGATGGTTAAAGCTATTATGTATTTGAACGTTTACGTGCTTTCTCCATCGTAACAGCTATGTTGTATAGTAAGATTAATTGCCTTAAAACTTAAAAAATCGCGCCAAGTGCTCGCGTCGCACGCCACGCAGTTATTATTAGTTCATAAAGATTTGTGTTCAGCACAAGTTGGCGCAATGTATAACACAAGAATTAATTAGATAAAGTCAGTCAAACAGGCCCATACAATTAGTCCTTAGTCCCCACCCAGTTGTGACTAAGCTTGGCACTCACTAACCCAGTACTGTGTTGCTTATAGCGATCCATTGCATTGGTGAGATACCAATCATCCCTCGAAGTAGATATATATATACGTTCTTGGAACGTGGGGCGTATTGAAAATATTTCTCTTCGGTGTTGAAACAGGCAAATGTATGGGGAAATGCATGATGTATGCAAGTACGAAAAATTGCAGTTGGAAGCGTAAAAATATAATGCCAAAAAACTTGATGTATACCCTCCCCCACCCCCTAAACCGTCATCCTTAGAGACGCTTATTTTATCTTCATTTATCTTCTGGTGGAATATCTTAATATTAAAACGAAACCGTGTGGTTTCCGACATATTAGAAAATTAGTTCACAGCGTATCACTAATTTGGATGAGTGATGTATTTGATAGTATCTGATGTGTTTTGCCTAGGTATTTTGGACATTGCAGATAGCCATTAATGCATGCTTCCACTACGAATATATTACCTGCTTCGCCGGTGGTCAAAACACCGAAATTCTTCGCCATCTTCGGTGCCACGTCCGCCCTGACTTCAATAACGATCCTTCCCAGTGCTATACCGTTTACGTCGATGTTGAAATAATACAGCGGGCACATGCTTGTCGGGTTGCGGATTTGAGGTGACGGAATGACAGTTGGCATAATCAGATTGTTGTCCTGGTAGATATTCTTTGGCGTCGCGATCACTAGATGCGGTGGACTATGAGGCATATATCTGGAATGTAAACAGCTTTGTTAGCAATGATAACGGAAAGTGTGCGCCAGATTCTTATTGATAAACTTCCAGTCCTCTGGAGAAGTACCATTATAAATCATATGAAAGAGTTGCAAATGGTTGGCAATACATGCTCTTTTAACATTGTTACGGTTATATATCATATTTGAGTGTTAGATATGTAATAGTATTACCGGTACCACACCTCCAACTCAACTGGACTGACGAAAAAATTTGCAATAAATGACGAGATGTACCGTTAGCACTAGTGTTGACAGATATTTCACGAACTTGATATTTCCAAATCATGAATCTCAACTGTTACCAAATACCGTGAAAAATCGTGGCGTGATATCACGACCTGAGGAACTACGCGCTTCATGACAATGGATTACCAAGTGGCCTGCAAGCGACATCGTATCGTGCCATATACGTTTTGGTAGTTTACGCCATCTGATTTTATCGCATTATTTTGCTCAGGATACCAGTATTGATTTACTGGTTCACATAACCTTTTCTTCTTCTCATTGATTACTAGGAACTTGTTACAATTCAGTCAGCTGTCCACATTACAAAATTACTATACTGTAAGCACGTGTAAGATCAATTATGCACCTTAGTAAAGTTTCACCAAAAATGTCATTTTCTGTACGTTACCCCACAAGATACGATACTATGACACTATAAGATTTTTAAGATATATCGAACAATGCTAGAAATAATTATGGATTTACATTGCACTGGGATTGAGAGTCCTGCACCGGTCACGGCCCAATTTCCCTCGACGCACCGGATCAGTGAAAATTCACTTATTGTTATTCGAAAGTCGCTATCACGTCACTCTTTTAATGGTATCAGATATTAGGGATATTCAAAAATAACGATATCGGCCACGTCTATTTACCAGACCGCTCATACCAAGAGTGTTGACGATCCTCACATGTAGAGTCTAATCATAGCAAATTACTGCAGCTGATCCACTGTAGCGTTTTTATGGTATCAATTATTTATAGAAATCCACGATTTTGTGACAGCGCTGGTTTTGTTCTGATTGCAATTAGTATTAATAAAACCAAACTTCGGTTTTGCCTTTGGAGGTAGTAACTTACCCGATAGGTGGCGCTACAGAATTGTGGTTATGGTAGTCAAGACTGCCGTTCATATTCTGCTTGGCGAGCATATGCCTGGAGTAGAGCTGCGACATGCAGTAGTTGGCCAGGAAGAGGATGGGGTTCTGATGCGCTTGCGCGGGTAGCACGCGCGAATTGGTCGGGAAGACCATCTCGCCATTTTGGATGTTGCTCAGCGCCTGCTTCAATAGCTGGAAGTCGAAGACGACCGACGAGTTGCGGATCAGGTCGTCCAGCTGGCATTGCAGGTACATTTCTTGGTAGCGGAGTTGCAGGCGCTAGAAAAACAATTTTAAACTCTCACAGATCCTTAGACATTCTAGCTAGCTCTAGGGTAATCCTATTTGTGAGCTGCTAAGTCTCTGAAATGTTTACGTTCAGGGCCGGTATTGTCGTATCTTCAAAACGCAAAGCGTTTCAAGTCGCTCAGCGAATATGGCGTCATTATCACTTGCTTGTAAAAATATGGTATTCCTGTTAGTTTGACGCTTAGAGTTTTTAAAAATCGCTAGTCGACTTCAAAACGACTACTAAGTGGTTCGTGTTTTGCTTAACGCTGTCTCTCTTTTGCTGCAATCACTTTTACTAATGCTTTGTAGATCGTACGTGATAAGCAATCGAGCAAAAGTAAGTAACAATAATGAACACCTTGTACTTACAAAACTGACAAATAATACTTATAATAGTGAGGAAACGCTGATTTTTTATAAAGTAATTGATTCTATAACTACCTATTTTAATGTTAATAAATAAAGATAACTGTTATCCAGGTAATGCTATATACAGATGTATGAATGTGATATTTTTCTAGATATTGCATTGCGTTTCTTTGCTACTGGAAGCTACCGACTTCTAGATAGAAATCATATTGTAAATTCTCAGCCGGTCATCTCTCAACCGAGAGTATGTTGGTTGGTTGCCAAGATGTGCCAGGCGGGTTGATAATAGCCTGAATTTCTGCAACCCGTATTTTCTCTACCATGGTTTGTGGGTTGCAAACTACGAATTTTTTTAAGAAAACGTCGAAAGGACTAGATAGAGGGCGCATATAGAAAATTCAGAAAATACCAAATTACCTGTTTCTCCATATTAACGCCGGAGTACAGCTGATGGACATCAGGTAGATTCTCTGCCATCGACAGGTTGAGCCTGAGCTTGGCCAAGATGTCTCGCGTATCGGTCAGTTCGAAATGCGCCGCGTTGTTCGTCAAATCGGCTTCGACGTGCGTCTTCAACGTGACGCACGCCTCTAAGATCTTTAGCAGGAATTCGCGCTGCTGCATCGCCAGTCTTTGGATTTCGCCTAGCATTTTGTTCATCGATGCTAAATCGATCTGAAATCAAGAAAATTACAATGCAAAAGAATATCTTAGACAGTAAAGGAATGAAACTGTCTCTGTCTAGAGCTAAATAAGTATGGATCAAGAAATACACCTAATGACGGCATGTACATTGGCAACCGCACATCACGTTAAGCGCTAGGGTCGATATCCAATCAGAGTTGGCCATAAAAAAGAGTCATACATATCCTTCATTCGTTGTTTACTTTCCACGCCTACTAGCGATGAGGGTGCATCGCAATTTTTGATGATATATTAATACATTTCAACCCCGGTAATTCCATACACCTATTAGGCATATTTCACACCAAAAATTCCCCCGTATATTTGACCTTAGAACGAGAGAGAAATGTTTTTGACACGCGTCCCTGCGTCTGCTGTCTGGCGTCACCGGGTGACGTGCCGGTCTTGTTGCAAGATGGACGGTACTACGGGAATGGTAGGAAAATAATGTCTATGGACTAAATGTATGGGCCTGTTCTTTGTTATACATGTGCGAAACTAACGTTTTTCTCCGATGGTCTGGCTTAAACGTGCTGGTTTCGTCCATCCGACGAAAGACGGCCAACCAAGGAGAGCTGTTTCGTGCATTTTTGACAACTCATCAGAATGGTCCAAGCTTGGTCTCTGGAACAACGAACGGAAGCATAGCAACTATACTCCGTCCAGGATTTCAAGTCTATGGTCTTATTTCATAGGGTCTAACTTGTGCTGAACATAATCCTTTATGAACTGATAACGGCATTGAGTAAGAAGTACAGAGTCAACCTACTTGACGACATTTTCTTGTATCAACATTCCACCATTTTTTTTATAAAACACCCCATTATACAATAATGATGTTGGCTTCAAAATGAATCATCTAAAAGGAATTTGTCGGTAAGGTAATCTTCGCATAAAGCCAAATCGTTTAGAATGGTATTAATATTTTTAGTAAACAATGTAATCGTTTCTCCCGCAAAATATGGCGATATAAACACGTCACTAACAATATTATAGCAGACTTTATTATATCTAAATGTTATTCCATGTCTGAAATATGATTCTAAGATAACATCTGATGGATAAACGGACGGGGGATAGTAGTGAAATGAGTTCAAAAAGAAATATGGCATCGTCATTAAAAATACCAATAAAAAGACGAGATGAAAGGCTGATTTTATGACAGAGAGACAGATATATTTTGTTTGATAAAGTCATAGCAGTGAAGAAGAGGCCTTTTCTGGAAAGGATCAGGGTGTATAAGAGGAGGGGTTTCCGGCCCGAAAAATAACTAAAACAAGTTGATTGCACCTGTGCACTATTTGCATTTGAATATTTTAGAGCACATGTGTTTTAAACTTTCATCAACATGTTTGTTTTAGTACTTGATTGTTTTTTGAAAGCTTAAAGTTCGCAATTCTGGAATTTTTGTTGAAAATTCACCCATTTTCGAATGTTTAACTTAGTATTTTTATACGGGCGCATGATAGCAACGCTTTTTAGTTCAATCTCTAATAAAACAGACTAAGATTGCAAAACATATATAAAAAAGTTTGCTTACATTGAAAACAAAACTATTATAAGACTTCAAGTTTTGTTTTCAATGTGAGCACAGTGGCGCGACACCTTTATTTTTATATATATTTTGAGAGTTAGTGCGTTTTGTTACTTTAAATTAGAGTGTTGCAAAATCGGCGAGTTTTGGAAAAAATTCCAAAATTGCGATCTTCGGGCTTTTAAAAAATGATAACGTAGAAAAATGAAATGAAAAATTTAAAAGACATATTTCCTGAGATATTTAAATGCTAAAATTACACAGATGCGAACCTTTTTATTGATTTTTTTGGCATAAGGAGCCCCCATCGCACTGGGCCCTTAAGGTGGAATTGGGCATGACAATTTGGCGGTTTGAGTAGGGTACACGTATGAGGTGTCCCGTACCCGACATGTAATTCATTAACCAGCTGTTATTCAGTATCGTTCTGACTCACTCTTATACCTATACATCAACAATTTCTCCACGAATTTATTCAGATGGATTTTTTTTAGCATTTCAAAAATTAGGTTCTATTAACGCCAGCTATGCGTTTTATAAAATTTCCTTTGCTACCTACTGTTACGGTCACATTTAGTGATATTCGATGTACTTTCATCTACTGTAGTTGGTAATTATACCATTATAAAAAGCTCTCCAAAAAGTATCTTGCCTAAATGGATGTGGACAAATAATAAATGTCTCCATTCTGTAGTTTGGCGTATGGCATTCGTGAAGTCAAACTGGTGAAGCGTAACCACCTCTGGGAAAATTTCTCTGGACGCCCATGGAATCGGGTAGGGTGCTCGCCAAAGATTTGGGGGCACGGAAATCAAAGGAACCGACAGTAGATGGCACATCTGTGGTTTTGCAGTATTTACATCAAGGAACAAATCTACGTGCGTGTAACCCACATCTCATGAATGACATAACGTTCTCTCTACATCCTCAACCCATACATACTCTGCGTGGGATATATTAGGGAGCTATTGCAAACACCTGCCTTATTAGTGCAGACCTCAATTTGACATCTACGCATGCGCAGATACAATGCTGCTATGATAAGGCTTTCTTATGTCACGACGACTTACAATGCAGGCGAATCGGGTCTAGTCGCAAGCCTGACCTAACCTAATAAACCAATTAAATTTAGCGATTGCGGAAATTTTGCAGTGGATTGTATGGATATTGTTTTGGGGCTCATTCATTGGTGAATATGGTTAAAAACTGCAGGATTAGATTTAAGCTATTTGAAACCAAACTGAAAGTGAGGTTAAGATAACATTATAAACACGACCAAAGCGAACAGTCAAAATACGATACACGTGCAATATCACTGATTACATTGTACTTATTTAGGTCTTAAATAAGGTAATCCATATTTAGGTCAATAAGCAATATCTCTCTATTGTTTACCTACCTGTAGTTCGTTAACCAGCTGTTCCTTAGCGTCGTTCTGACTCTTCACCTGATGGTGCGCGTGGTCCGCAGTCGTTGCGCATGCGCGACACACCGGCGCGCAACACGAGTGGCACCACAGCGCCAATGGCATCGCGTGCGTGTGGCAGTTCTCGTTGGGCACTTTGCCCCCGCCGGGGGGCGGCTGGTTAGAGGAGGGGGCGGTTGGTGCATTACCGCCCCCTCCCGGTTGCCCCCCGGGCGGTTTGTCAGGGGGTTTGCCTCCCCCGTTAGTGCCTATGGTTAGTTGCGAGAAGTTCTTCGTTAGGCAGAGTACCGGGGTGTAGGTCGGCAGCGATTCGGGACCCATATCGCCTGAAAATATTTGAAACTAGGATGAAACAATTTTTGTGGCTCGATTATTAAGGGTTTTATTCACATACTGACATACCCCTTGAATGTTATGCTTTGCTGTTGGGAATTGCTATTTTGTTAATGTAATTTGGGGATCAGTTTGAATATATCATTACCCTGAAATAACACGCCAGAGTGACACGGGAGGTAAATTGGCTTTAGATCGATCAGATAAAATCAACATGACCTTGGTAAAAGTTTTCTAGTTTTCGAGATATTGCCACTTTTAAGTTTTTTCAAAAAATCCTCAATTTTTGCTCCTTTTTGGCCAGTTATGGCTATAAAGAACTTCTAACCTATGATTTTTTCCCTGGGCTAACCGCGTATTCATTTCATAGGTTTCAGGGCAAAGAACTTTACTAAAGTTTTACTAATTACCATGAATAGAAATATTCATTATTTCATTCAATATTACTTAATGCTCTTGCAAAAATAGTATAATATTTTTAGGTTTTTTCCACTAAACACTTAATCCTTTTATAAAGTTTTGTCTAAAACAGCTATCCAGTATCCTTTTTTATTCATTGCAGGCATCAAAATAATGAACAGAACATTTTTTTTATTTATATTGAACTACAAAATTGTAATTTGGACACAAAAGACAGCTGCATTTATTATTTTTTATTTGTAGTATTTCGCAAGCATTACGACTTCAAGGACAAAACTTGGAATTACTTATTCAGTTTTTAGTAAAAAGAACCTACAAATGTTACACTATTTGTGAATGAACATTAAATAGCTAGTTTTTGAAGTCATTTGCTAAATCAGTCTGGTACATTTTTTTCACAGTGATTAGTCAAATTTTAGTAAAGGTTTTCGCACTGAAACCAAATGTAATAATTTAGTTTTTTTTTAGCATACCGTTCTAGTTTTCAATGAAATGAATATTTTATCAACCACCTATTAAAATCATAATAGGCAAAAAAGGAGCAAAAAGTAGAGATTTATTGAAAAAACTTATAAGTGGCAGTATCTCTAAAACTTTTATTGAGGTCATGTTGATTTTATCTAATTGATCTGAAGCCAATCTGCCCCGTGTCACTCTGGCGTGTTATTTCTGGGACACCCTGTATAATGTCTTGACCAAAATAAGTATCTTTTACTTCGTTTTGATTATTTAAATTGTTACTTAATGCGTACGTAAAGTTAGTGTTTTAAACATTTTTTTCCGAAGCGTTGGCAACTGTATCTTTAGACCCCAAATTCCAATTAATTAAAAGAAATGTATATGAGTCATATAAGGGTCATAAAATAATAATTTTCTATACTAATTCTTACCTATTTCGGTGCGCTTCCAGCAATGTATGCAAAAAAGGTCCTGTCCTTTGATCATGGTAGTGCGCATGCATTGCAAGCAGAAGTAGTGCTTGCACGTCAGCAGCTTCGGGCTTTGGTCGGTATCGTTGAATTTCTGTTTGCAATAGCCGCACAACATTAGCTCTTCGAACTCGGGTACAACAGAATCCATTTTTTCTATTTAGGCAAACGTAAAATGATTATGGGGAATGTGGGATAGGATTTGGGAATAATTTAGCCCTTTATTTTTCTACAAAACTGCGCACTTTATTATTTGGACAAAAACTCGGTAGCTTGTAAGGATCTCAGAGTGACTTGACAAGTCCGCATTAGAAGGTTGTACCGGAAGTGTAGGTTTTTAGCGGGGCACAGCAGAACTAGAGGTATCATTTTCGTATGTCCAGGGAGTCTCGTCAGCCCTATGTGGTTAGCGCGTCGAGCTACCAACACTGAGCTCGCGAGTTCGAATCATCTGCACCTCGGATATTCGCTTTGGAGCCATGGATTTGTGTTGTGTATTTCTATCACTCACGTGGGTGCAATATTAACGATAGGAACATGTCATCGCTGGAGTTGGTTTATTATATCAGTTACCAGTAGATGGCTCATGGAGTAGTGCAGTGTTTGTAGGCACTACGGGGTCGGAAAAACGGTTTAAATGTGGTTTAGTTGCTAGGCTTTGCCTCCCCTCCACTAGTTGTACATATATTAATCTGTCTTACATACACACATATGCAATCGGCCTCTATGTGCGGACGTTTGTTTGTGTAAAAGACATAAGTTTATTAGTTTTTTTTACAGCCATAAACATTTTCTGGTCAAGGTATTAGTCTTCGACATTTATGCTGGTCGGTGTCGGTATGACAAATTGCTCGTCATGGGCATGTGACTTTGATATAAAATATACTAGTGCTTTTTTAAAGATTCAACTAGAATGTCGACAGTTTTTATTACAATTATTTTCGAAAAGCGATTGAATACAACAGTCCTCTATTACCCAATCTCATGTGTATATGCCAGAGCGAGTAACAGCTTGCTCAATGTGCAGTTTCCCTTGACGACTTCAAGCTACACATATGGTACCATCAGTCAATCTGTTCACTTATTTCGAATGGCATTGTGATTAAATCACCAAAAACCTTAAAAAGAACTAGATACTTTGCTTATTTTAGACCGCCCTATATATTATTCAATTATTGGATTCTACGCGGGATTCTAAATACATTCAATTTATGTAACAATGACAAATGCAGGGCAATAGATTATAACATTTTTTGCTGGTACCTTTGCCAGATCATTTGTAACGGCTTCTTATAGTATGACACCTGCTTTAGTAGAGTTTATTCCTAATTTGGATAACAAAATAGTACAGGGTGATCAAAAAAAGAGAAGGACAATTAGATTGTAGAAAACCCAAGTTCAAATGAAAACCATATATTTTATATTCCATCGTATTAAGCATTGAAAATTAATTCTGTATAATGTTGCCTCCTTCGCAAAATAGCAGTTTCTGAGATAATTGTAAATCTTGTTTTTTAACTTGCGAAAATGCTCCATACGTCTTTTACCATAAGATAATCTCAGTTGACCATGACGTGGCGATAACTTTATATCTTTAGTAGTTCACCAGATTTCCGCCATGGCCAATTGAGATTATGTTATGGTAAAAGCATTTAAGCAATATACAGAGAGAGAGGAGCGCGAGTAGGGTGCAATACGTATGTTAGAAAAAGTGCACCGATGGCCTCGAGACAAGTCGCAGCTGCGTCCGTGGCCTCGTTACTCGGTTGCTAGGGAACATGGTACTTCTGTCTCTTTCTAACATATGTATTGCACGCTTCTCTCTCGTACACATTACCATGTCAGCGATATATGTATTACTCTATATAAACCAAACCATATATCTCGAAAACTGTCAATTTGCCTAGTAGATAACCTTATACAAAATTAACCTTATTTTCAATGCTTAATACGAAGTCATGGAAAAGGGAGTATCCAGTTGGAAAATTGACTCTTTAGAGTTTTCTAAAATCTCTTTTTTTGTCCACCCTGTACTATTTGTTCTGCACAAATCATATGGCAAAGGCAAAAATACGGGGAAAATTGTTATAATTCATTGGCCAGCATTTTTCATTTTTTCCCAAAATTCGAGATATGTCAAAAATGGAATGTGTTTAGAATTTCACGTAGAATGCAACTGAAACTTTATCATACACAGGGTGTTCTATTTAAAATAAGCATGATATCTACTTTTGATTCAACTGGCAGAGCCACCACTTTGAATATATTTTAGCCGAGTTGCACCCATGGTACTATGAACCCAAAATGTTTCATGACTGTCTTACGTCAACTTTTTGAGTAATAACTCGCTGCAGATGTATGTGGGACACCCGATATACGCCAGTATATTGTTTATGCTTGCCATAGTAGAAAATATTGAATAAATAGAGATATCTCAGTTGTCAGACTATGTTTATAAGTCGTTGTTGAGGTAGCACAGACATTTTTTAATGTTAACACATATCTGTTACCCAACCTTATCAGTCCCCTGATATGTAATATCGTATAATGTGTGTATTCATCATCCTTATTGATTTGCGCTTGAAACAATACGACTACGTCGCCAGGTACACCTTTTTTATCCATAACCCATATATTTTTTTCACGTCACACGTCGCCAGTTCAATGTCTTTTAATCCATTTAAAAAGTAGTGCATTCTAGTTATATGACTGGTGGTTTTCTCATTGATTAATAGAATGTAAACAAATTATCGGAATTACGAAAAAATGGCGTAACCGTAAAATGCGCGCTTTTTTCTTTCTGTAATGATACATAATTTTTATTGGATATCAGTTACTATTATGCTCATATTATGGCCTTTAGCATTGAAACTATTTAGCATTTTTCAAATATTGAAATAGGCTAATGAGACTGGTCGTAAAATATATTAACAGTTGGTAATCCTTGCTGGATTATGTTACCATTTTATAGTTCACTTAATAAAATACCTCTTATTATTATTTTGACGCGTCTTCAAGTCCAAGGATAAATATTTAGAACACGCATTCTTGAAGATCTATGCTTCAATGAAACCTAATGACTGCATTCAGAAAATGACAGCACTGTAGTTCTTTATGTCTGCACACTTTTTGTTGATAGTTGAACTTAAGAAATAATTTTTGGCGTATAAGCATTCTTGATAAATTTTGAAATTCCAGATAAATACGTTTTTTAATTATAATTAATTTTAATAAATCCGTGCAGTTCTTCGTGGATTTCTTCACGAAAGTAGAACTTGTTCTAATTTTTGCCAGGTGCCAACCTTGTTTTACTTTCCATTATATTGAACAACTCTTCAATTCAAGTATAGAATTTTGATAGAACTACATTCAGGCAGCAGCGGTGGCCGCAGTAGTAGACTCTTCGGTCTCCTGATCAGTCGCCGTGCGCTGTGCGGGTTTGAGTCCCGTCCCAGGAGAAATTTTTCTCTTGGCTATGGATGTTGTGATTGTCCGTAGGTGGTAGACGGTCTCTGACTGTCGAACGTGGAGGTACCACCCGGCGGATCTCGTAGGGGGAGCCAGAATGTGTGCATGTTGCATGCACACGTGTTCCCTCGCCAGAGTCCGTGTGGCGTCCCCCCTTTCCCCTGTATATCCCCCTATAGCCCCACGGTACCCAATCGGTGTTTAGGCCTTAGGACTTCGTGGTAGTTGGAGTATAAAAAAAATTCAATAATATGTTTTCTGTTTATGAGATTCGCCTCAAAATCAAGACCACAATAGACATAAAATCTCAAAATCTAGCAAGAATTCGTCGATTAATGTAAACACCGCAAAACATAATCAGGATGACCTTGAAATCCATCTGAATAAATTCTCAAAGAAATTATTGATGCAATACAAGTACCTATATTTGATTCTTCTTCGGTCATCACTTAATATCTGTGATCATTCAACGGTTTTGACAAATTTTAGATATCAGTCATATGAGATCATACTGCAATTTCCGATTTTTGGGCAACGGTTTTTAATTATTTTAAAAGATTACTGAGTCTAAATAAAAAATAGAGTTCTTTTCTAAATTTCTTTCACGAGTGTAACGTTTTGAGGGTGGTGCATTTTGCCGTTCAAGAAATATAAACATATTGAGTGTGGTGCAAATAATTCAGCCTAGAATTGCTGAAAAAGTTACTTTTAATATTTTTATCTTGGTAAACTTTTTTTGATCAGCATGTGATTATTTCAGTCACAATCTAAATGTTGCCAAGTAGGTTGACTGTGCAGTCCCCATGCAATGCTGTATTCAGTTCATAAAGGATTATGTTCAGCACAAGTTAGACCCTATAAGAAAAAAATAGTTATGAATATGTATTACAAAAAGATTAAGTGGATCAAGTTAGTCAAATAGACACGTCCAGTCTCCACCCTACTCCGAATTCTTAACCACTACAAACATTTTTTTGATATGGATCAGGAGCCTCCAAAAGGTCAAAAAAACAGAGGTTGAGCTTTTTTACTGCCTTCGCCTTTTATCCCGAGCTTCCCTGTCACTGAACTGATTTTCAAAAACTATAAACCTTTTTCGTCCATGGCATAGTAGTGAACTTGTGTGGAAGATTCACCAAAATCCTAGCAGTACCTTCAAAGTTAAAGATGGGCCAAGGATTAGCAGACAGACAGATAGACATATGTAAATGAGTGTCATGGATTTCTGTCATTTATATGTCAATATTTTTATGATGGGGTCTTTTTCAAAACTTTTAGTGATTACAAAGTACTCACCAGTGCCAGTAGCATTGAAAGTAAAAATGGCTATACCTTGTAGAAACATTTTTTACCTACTACCTTTGAAGCAATTTATTTGACCTCATATTTTTTCTTGAACCTCCAGACATTTTGGTAAGTACGAACATCAAATATTTAAAACTGGCTAATACTCAATTATTATTTTCATATTAAGTACAGTTTATTAAAAAAAGTTTAAACTTGAATAAGTGCACGTATAGGTACAGATGTTTTCATTAATGACATGAGCAGCTAGAAAATTAGATGAAAAAACGTTCTATAAAATCATACACTTTGTATAATAATTAGCATATTAATCTGTTATTCTATAACAAGCAGTAGTTAAAATCGAATTTGCAAAATATGTATGGGTCAGGTCAGGTTAGAAATAAATGAAATTCAGAATACAAAACGTAAAAATTCTCGTAAAAATCAGTGTTGAAAGAAATATGGAAAAAGGTATATTGTTCAATATAGAATCATATCCAAAACATGTTTGAAATATTTTATTTAATTGTTTTGTAGCAAAACTTGCTAGTCATACAAAATGACAAGTTTCATAATTTAAGTTAATAACTATATAGAACTTATTACATACTTTTCCATATTTACACATGATACATTAACATTTTTATCAAAAATTTAATAAAAACCTTGTTAACATTTTTATCAAATATTTAATAAAAACCTTGTTTGAAATTATGCAATACACCTGTGTAGGAATTAAATGCCAATAATTTTAGATACCTAGCCCATTTTTCGTGAATCAGTAAATCTCTATCGAAATTCGTATGTCATCCAGTAATTGTTTTTACCAAAACTATCATTAGTTTATTAGATAGTATATTTTATGTTAAACAATACTATCCTTATAACCGGGAATAATTTTGTTAAGCAGTGTAAATATACAAACAAATATTCAGTTAGTTTTAAATGAATGGGTGAGCAGTTTCGAAGATCTTTGGCGCCAACCTGATTCGATTATAGAAAATCAACGAATCGACAAGTGGTATTTGCGTCGTCCGTTGATTCATCAAGTCACTCTGAGAAACGTCAAACAAGCACCGAAGATTTCATGTTTTCCATACCATCGGGGAAATATCCTTATCGATATGGCCACCAAATAAAAGCTATACCTTACCGTTTTATATATTACGATGTGTAACACAGCCTTTAATCCGATTTTAGCGATACTACGGTTTTTTGGTCGGTAATATTAACTCGGAATTCGACGAGACGTAAACGACGGGTTTCTTTGATTTCGCGTATTTTGTACTGTTTGCGTGTTATACGGACGACGAATTAATTATTACATAATTATTTAGTGCCGAGAAATTCGGCCGATTTACGAAAAAAACTTAAATTATTGTGGCCGATCCACGATATGCCACATCATGTTGACGACTGGCAATCCAGTTAAGTTTGCGACGATGCGTTCGTGTTTGACCTTGGACCGCGACAGCGAGTCGCGGCTCACTTCGTGACGGTTGGGACGCGGCGCGCCAAATTCAAGCGCGTCGATCAATACAACTGTATACGAGGGCGATGCGAGAAGTATATGTAGAAGTTTGAGAGATATGACCTTGAGCAACCCAAAGTGCAGAAAAGTATTCGAATACCGCTGTTTTGAATACCTGTATTCATTTATAAATGAATACTTTTTGAATATTCCAACTAAAAAAGATGGGGGTACCTTAAACTTGATTTTATTTTTCTTCTTAAGTTATAAAAATATATAAAAAATTAAAATACATGTCTATATTAGATAAAACTAAATAACATTTTGATAAACAGTGTGAAAGTGAGGATAGACAAATTAATTGTATAAAAAAAACATTCCTTGATTTTTATTAGATGTTTATAGAATATTGATAGAATAAAACATAATAAGAAAATGTATGAATCTTACACAATATACTTACATAATTAAAAAATAAACTAATCTTTTTATATATCTACTTTGTCACACACAAATTATAACAGAAGCACAAGTGCATACTTAATCTGATCTCGTCCTTTAAGCGACCTGTTGGCATCGTGAATCGAAAAGCTCCACCGTCGACACGAACAAAATAACTTTGCGTAGCTATTTTGTTTGTGCCATCCACAATCACATCGAACGTGTTTGAACTCTCTTAAGTTGCTTAAAGCGTAACGCAATATTCAGAATAATAACCAAACAGCATTCGAAAACAGGGTTCCAAGACAGGATTCCGGGATTTGAATACAATGTGGGTATTCAAATACTGGGATTCAGAAACGGTATTCATAATACCTGTTCTTCTAACCTTAGGCAGTTCAAAAATCGTATTAACAAAGTTACTAAGCTAATCATAGCAGCCGCGGTGTCCTTTCATTTAGGCTTCTGCCTTCGCGGCAGCTTCGGTGTAAACAAAAGAATACTGAGAGTAAAGAGTACATATTCGAAAACTACCCAAGTCTGGTTACATAGACCATGCAAGAGCCGGGGGAGGGGGGGTTACTTACATTTTTTCGTTTGATTTACGTTCATTTGGAGGTCTCCATCAAGACGGGGCCACGTGCCTAGAGCACAGTATAGGGCTAGTATAATTACACTGACTAATATTTGTTAGGGTGAGTGGATTTTACGCCCACGCAGAACAACTCAAATTTTAGCTGGAAAACACGAATCCGAGCTGTCGACGTTCACGCTTCAGCCAGAATGTCGTTACAAACTGGTCATGAAATGACGAGTTGAACGACGTAAAACCAACGTGAAAATGACCTCCTAATGTCACAAACGGATGACATTATATGGCAGACGTCTCTTGCTGGACGTGAAGATGACATCTATCAGTTATAATGGATGACCAGTTTTAGCTTCTTCAAAAAATGGTATACCGTGTTATCGGTAGTATTACACAGACACAGCCTAGCGTACTGACGAAAGACGAGCTATTACTAGGCCCCCATCCTTTACTTTACTAGTTTACACGGAGCTTGGAGCTATACACATGCTAGTGAATTAAAGCCACGTTAGTCTGAAACTGTTTTCAAAACGTACTATTTTTCTATGGCTTTGGGGAAATATTCAGTACGTGGAAGTTGGAGCAACGAGACGCGGGCACCGGGCATAAATGGCGGGAGCAGTCGTTCACTGTCAATTGTCACTCGATACAGCGTTGCCAGATTAAACGCCAAAACATTAACAAGAATACATAACACATTGAATACTGAATGTAATATGTATTTTGTTTTGTTAATTGCATCTAAATGTAGTATTCAGTAAGGTCATATTTTATTCATTTTGCACTCCCACTTATTGACAAAAGTCATTAAACATTATATATCAGAGCGCTATCAATATAAAAGAGAAATCGAACATTATACGCTAACGTTCGGCAACACCTCAATAATTTGTCATTTCAGATAACTTTGAGTGAACGTCGATCAAGAAGGAATGAAATGATCATTTCTCTGCCCGCTGACTTGATCGAAAAGATTGATTCTAAATTAACGAAAACATCATACATATGAAAATATTTGAAATACAAAAAAGAAGAAGAACCTCAAAAACACGTCATAACAACGTATTAGAGTACACTTACACAATTGCATATTCAGTAGACGTCACTACTACGTCGATATTTGGAACAATCACGTCAGTTGACGAGTTATCACCAAATTTCGACGTCATTATGACGTGGTTGTGCTAGCTGGGCAGCTGCATTGTACATCGTTCTGAGCTGCTTTCCAGTGACTCGGTTGAGTTACTCTGAGTAACTCGGAGAAACTCAGTAGTGCTCAGCACCAATACCGTTCCACTGCACGTTGTATTCTCACGCATTGTGTCTAGAGCAGATTTTGTATGTGGATTATGTGGATGGCTGTTTGGAATCTTTGAAAAATAACGTTACCAAATAAGCTACGAAGTCCTCTATTCCTACAGTTCGGAAGTCACTGCTCGGATTGTAATACAGAATACCCTAAATGCTTCCATCAATAAGACGCAGGAACAAGTAAAAAGGGAAATCTGAGAAAGTCAACAAACTTAATATTTTGAACGTTTTCGGAGTTGCTGAAAAATGAAAAAATCAAAATATTGTAATTTTGGGCTCTGAGTTTGAATATAATCACAAAATTGTGAAGTATCCTGAGTCCGAATTTTAGCTTGAAAATGGATCAGGTCGAAGTCCATTCAAAGTCTAGCTTCCAATTAATGATTCGTGACGAGGCAGCCCATTTATCCAGGGAACAGATTGCCAAGATGTGAGGAAGAATAGGAACCTCCGAAGAATTGTAACATTCCAAATATTTGGCAGTATACTGAACGCTATTTTTCTTTTCCAGGAAAAGGATTCCTACGGAAATGAAGTGTCCCGGTTAGCAAGACCGTTACCTGTAGAATATCTATTATTGGATGTACCGGCGTCTACACCTGTTACACCGCATTATACCTTCAATTCAGATGCCTCGAAGCAGCCTTTCCCTGTTGAAAATCGTTTTGTTGACGGACATATACAGGTAAATACTCATAGAAAATACCTTCTATTTTCGTTGCTTTCTTAAGTGCCCGGAACTGCTTATTACGTAAAAATACAACCTAGGTGACAGTAACTGTTTCTGTCAAACGCAAAATTCAGGGTATGTAATGTATGTTCCACCAGTGATTAGCGTATTCCTCCTGAAAATAACCAACCTAATACCATATAAAATATAAAAATTTGTGACATAGCTATCCGCATTTTTATATACTCGTATGTTTATTGTCACAAAGTACAGTTGAATCCTAAATATCGTTCGCAACAAACATAAAGTACCCAAAAACGTTTGATTGGGTTTGTTAAAACTAAAAGTACAATCAGTGACTGTAAAATGTAAATACTATATAATTTGGTGAATTAAATTATTAAGGAGGTGTCAGGAAAAATATCCAGACAAATATAACTAAAGTAAAAGTATGAATCTTAGTGTAAGTGTAAGTAAAATACCTGTAGACTCAGCAACATTAGAAGTGTTACACCCAGAAGTCTTACATCAAGAGTGAAACGATAACATTCCCACGAAATTTTATTGACAAGTAATAACAAAAAAAAATAATAATAAAGTGTTGGGCAACCCCGCAGCTGAATACACTCCTGTATACATCTAGGCATCCACAAAATGAGATGTCTGGTTGTGGCACCTCATTCCAAGCAACTTGGTGGATTAGCTGTGACATAGTCTGAGGCGGATGATGCAAAGTGGATAATCTCCTCCCCATCATATCCCACTCATGTTCGATGGGATTTAAATCTGGTGAGGGCCACGGCAACACATTAACGATTGCTTCTTTACGAAAGTGCGTAGTACGATGAGCAATATGGAGACGTGCTGGTCTTGCTGAAAAGGGACGTGTGGACGGCCCTCTAGATATGGCAGTAAAGTGGTTTGTAGGACATCATCAACATAACGCGCAGCAGTCATATTGGCTTGAACAAAGAGAAGGGGTGATCCGCTACCATAGGCAATAGCCCCCCAAACAATTACAGTCCTGTGTAGATGCCTCTCAACAGCAAATCCCCGTTCTCCATGGCGTCGTCTTACCCTTCTACGACCATCATGCATACCTAGACAGAATCGCCATTCGTCGCTGAAGATGACATTATGACATTCAACCTTCCAATGTTGCCATTCCCTGCTCCTGTTCAAACGTTGATGACAGTAGTCCGCAGACAGAGGAAGCACACTGAGTTTATTATTGATTTTTCATATCTACAGTTTCGTGGAGGAGCATCTTGGTTGTTGTAAAATCCATTTCTTGAGTTCTTTTGTAAATGATCTAATTGCTTTTAATGATTCTGGTATGAAGTTATAGAATTTTAGTAACAACAATAGAATAGAATAAAAATTTATTGGATTCCCAGTTATAAAAATTAACAAGGAATGTATAACAGAGATAACACCTCATTTTGAAATCATTTCCGATTTTAGTGTATTCTACTGGTTTCTTTCATAGAGAACAAACGACATTTAGAAAGCTACTTTGAGAAAGTTAATGTCTTTTATATACAGCTGTAGGCAAATATATGCTATATGCTAATATAGTTCGCTCATAGATGGCTCGACATTCTGCGAAAGATCCTTGTTTGTCGCTCTGCATTCACCGAGACAGTGTTGCCAAACTGAAGAAATGTTTCGAAAATGCTATGTTTATACTGAGCATTTCTTTTCACAGTCTTTGCTGATTCTATCAAAAAGTCATACAAGATAAGTAAACATATAGTCTTAAGCCAGACTGTCTAGATAACTGGCAACAATGTCAAATACACCAACGATTGATCAAGTAAGCAATCTGAGGTCAGAAAAAATTTGAAATTCGAGCTGACATTCCTTTTTTATTACCGGACTAAGTTGTTTAATATTCCGCATAGGGTCCTAAAGCCTTTGAGAATAACTTCTGTTTATACGCCGACAGCACTCGCGAAAAGTGTGATCTCTAACTTTAATGAATGAAAAATATATTTCCTAGACTGCAAACAAAAGTAAATTTGAACAAAAAATGCTTTCACAAAGAGAGCTGGACATGGAATCCATCCAAAAAGGATTATCTATCTGGCAAGACCGAATTGATCTCTGACCAAATAAGAACAGTATAAGTTTAGAGCCATCAGCTGTCTCGTGGACGCCATCTTTTTGGATACACATCTTGTCTCTCTAATTTATTCGGTATAACTACTCCCTGATATTAGGTTGGTTATCTTTAGGTAGGATAACTAAATCAGCTCTAGTAGTCCTCACTCTGCCAGTGGCGGCTCGTGCCAATTCAGTGAGGTAGTGCCAGAATGGAAGCCATAATTTTGAATCGATTCAAAATTGTAAAGAATAACTTATAACTTACCCCTGATAGTTAGTGGTCAAAGTTCTTGAGGTTCAATAAATCTATATGTCCAAAAAAAAATCAAAAATAAAACTATTTACACACGCGCACCAAATTATAAAACAAGTGTGGAGAAGTACCTATAACTTCAAAGTTTTCTATACATGAAGTCCATTCTTCTTTCTTTTTTGGTAGCAAAGTTTTCGATTACCTTATTATTAAAATTTTCAATGCCACTAACAAAATGTTTTTCTGCAGACAGCATTCCTAAAGCACTAAGCCTTTCTTCCTTCATTGTGTTTCTGAGGAAAGTTTTAATCCGTTTCAGCATTGAAAAAGAGCGTTCTGCTTCAGATGTTGACATCGGTATAGTGATTAAAATACTTAAGAGCTTAAGAGTTTCTTGAAACGTACAATTTAATCCTTCCTCGTTCAATAAAATGGATAGTGGAACAGCTCCAGAAGTAGTACTCAATTCTTCTCTCTGATATAATACTTGTAACTAAGTTTTAAGCCTGTTTTTGTCTAAAAATGAAAATTGTGTGCATGTGTCATTTAAATGTGCTTCAGGAAACTGATGTTTATAAACAGAAAACTTTTCAGACACAAATAAATTAGAAGCAACTAAATGCCCAGAAAAGTTAAATCTTGTTCTTATTTGCGATAATACTGCATCGCATATTTCTAACGCTTCCCGTTTTTTGCTGCCTTCTTCAACTTGCCTTTTTTTTCTTGCCGGTTCATCAGTTTCTCTCTGCACTCGTTCAATCTCGTCAATAATGCTATCCATTTGTTCTCGTATAGTTTGAATTGCTGCTTCAAAATTCTCTAAATCATTTTTGACCTTAACAGAATCGGTGCATACTTTTTGTAATTGGTTAAAGACAATTTCAACATGTGGCATTATTTTATGGAATATACTTAGCCAAAATACAAAATTTGTATCTTGCAGCTTTAATTTGTACCCACTGGCTTGATTAATCGACGAAGAATCGCGTGAAGTACTTTCTATATTGTCCATAACTTCAATCAGGTCTTTCCTATTTTCATAAACTGTATGAACACCTCGTGACTGAAAATTCCAACGTGTTTGGGAAGATCTTGGCAATCTGCGATTAACTATATCATCCAAAATTTTTGTTCTTTGAGGAGACGTCGAAAAAAAAGAGCACAATCCAGATAAATTATGGAAAAATATTCTAGCCTGCTTATTGACAGAGCATGCGCTTGTCATAATTAGATTTAACTGGTGTGCATAGCAATGAACATAATTTGCAAGTGGATAAGTTTCCTTAATAATCTTTTGAACGCCATTCAATTCACCACTCATAACAGACGCACCATCATAGCTTTGAGCTATTAATTTGTTTGGATTTTGATCTATTAATGGATTTACAACATTTAAAACGCATGCAGCGATTGATTTGGCATCGTGTCCGTCGGGGACGTAAAATCTCCAAAATCTCTCAACTGGTTGTCCTTTACACAAATATCTGAAAATAATAACTAACTGAAATTCACAGGCTACGTCAGTCGTTTCATCGGCAATTACTGCAACAAAAGGAGAATTTGCAATCTCCTTCTTAACTTCTTCATGATAAACATCTAGCATGCACTCAAGAAGCTCGTTTTGAGTTGTTTTTGAGGTACCCTTGAAAAGTTTGGCACTTTGAATATGGACTTTCAATTCGTTGTCTAATTCGGCGCTAAAATTCACCAGCTCCTTAAATATGCCTCTGTTTTCCGAATTTTCCTTTTCATCGTGACCCCTTAAGGCTAACTCAAATGCTCCACAAAACCTTATACAATTAATAATTTTATTCAATACATATCGATTCTTATCCACTTGATTATTATGTTTAATTAGATCATTGCGATAAGCCGAATTGAGTTGAGTCCTTATATTTAATTTACCAAGAATAGAAAAGCTAAAAACATTATTCATATGGACTTTAGATTTTTCGTGGGTCTTCATTTTATCCCATATATGTATAAGATCATCTGTACCTTTTTTTGACCAAGTCTCGTCACCTCCAAATAGAACACATACAAAACAAAATAGTTTATTCGTTTCTTCACAACCACATATCCAGCTGTTTTTATCGTACACATTTTTATTAAATTTGCGACAGCGCGATTTTTGTCCGCTACCACTTTGTTTCTCAATTTTTAAATCGGGTATTGGCCGTCCTAATTCTTTAATTTGCAGTTTTTGATCCAGCGAAAAACCACTAAATGAGTTTTTTAATATCCCGATTTTATTCATTTTCACTAGTTTTAATAAAACAGTAAAAAATATGATCACAAAACAGAGCAGTTCATTAACACTAGACGTACTAAAACAAAAACGTTATTTCTCACTTTTCAGGTAAAAAAAGACCGAAATCAGCACTAGACGTAATCATAACGAAACGACCGACCGAACAAAAACACCGCCGATATCATTTGATAACGAATTATGACTGATGATGTGCCTGGCACAAATTATACTTGTCTTTCGCTATTCACCTCATATAAAAATGTGTATTGTAGCGTTATCTCTGTCGCTCGTATGCGATGCTGGTAAAATTTCTCTCTTTTTATTTGGGCCGGCCCGACATTGGCACAAGTTGATGACGTCAAGGTCAAGGCATGCTTTATATCTCGTCGCGTGGTTCGGGTGCTTGCGGTGTTGTCACGTTGTCAGTGTTGTCACTTCATATAATTTATACCAAAAAAAAAATGAAAAAGCAAAAAATAAAGTAAAACATTGAAGATTGAAAAAAATATTCTTTTTGAAGAAGACAAGGTAGTGCCATGGCACCGTGGCACTACCTCACGAGCCGCCACTGCACTCTGCTAGTGCTACCTATGAATGAATAGCACAGGTGCCGTGTTGCTGTTATTTTGACTAAACCTCTGGTCAACAACATGCCACTGATGTTGCATGAAGATTTTATTGACGTTTCCGTAACCCCGTTGGCTATTTTGTGTAACTGGTCACATTTAGACTACAACGGATTCGTTTATTTTTTTCAGGATTTCAACGCCTTATCTCAATACCTCTCCCAATTCTCATCGATAGACTTCTACAACGCGATTCGTGATTTCCATCTACTCATCTACATAGCGAACATGGACATGCTGCCGATGCGCGAGTACCTCGCGCCTCTACTGGATGCCATCCGTGACCAAGATCGCGACAAGGTGGTAGAATGGTCCACCTCCGAACAGTGGGCGACCATAGAACAATTGATAGCTGCCAGTTCACCGCCGCCTTCAAGGTATGTATCTTTTATCTGCAGTCAAGTGCGTATTTATAGTTGCCACTTAAGTGTTAAATGTTATTTGAGGTTTGAGTGTCACAATACACATAATAAACAAACGCAAAAAGCTTTGAGAACATGGGGTATTTTTTATGCTATTACGGATTGACGGACATTCGCATTGTAACAAGAAATCTGCTTAGATCATGCTGATAATTTGCAATAAGCGTAAAACAGCTATAATACACGCTTGGCCCTCTATTGGTCTGACGGACAAAATAATTATTATTAGTAGTCACCTCCTCACATACTACATACTAAGTTTTTCAGTAAATCATTTCCATCTGTTTTGATATATAGATAGATAAATATGCTTTATTGTCTTAAGAATACAATCATCCTTAATGATAAGGCTAACTTAAAACTAAACAAAATTACATATGTGGATCTCAAGTAAATGAATTGTAAACTCACACATGGTATAATGTGATTTACAAATAAGGTATTTTTAATTTCACGGTAAAATATCTGAAAATTGTTGCTTCTTTTGATATCCTCAGGAAGATTTAAAATCATGTTTTCGTCTAATAACGTAATCTATATTTGATATTTCAAATTTAGACTTATTTTTAAAAATAACAGTTGCTGTTTCTAAAACCAACAATGATACAACAGTCATTATCTTAAAATTTAAAAATAAAAGCCTTCATGTAGTTCTAGGTTTGCTTTTAGTTATATATCTAGTAGTTCGTTTTTGTAGAATAAGCACGTTTTTAAACGATCTTGGGAACAGACACTACAAAAGGAAATGCTATATCTTAATCTACTTTCAAATTGAACATTGAAGGTTAAGTAATTGTTATCATACCATTTAATTTTATCTATATCTGTCTCTTGTCAAAGTATTGTGGTATCGTCAGCAAAAACAATGAATTTATGTTTAAAATTATTAAATCGTTAATTTAAACTAAAAATATGACCAGTCCTAGTACTGGTTCTTGAGGCACCCCTGCTTTTATATTTAATTTATTTGGATTTGATACTCTTACAATTTGGGATCGATTATTTAAATATGTTTTAATCTAAGTGAAGATCCAATACTACCATATTTGTTTAACTTATCACAAAAAAGAGCAATGGAAATATGTTTATCTTTTAAATTTGAGTATAACTATTAGAGTAATGTGAAAATAGCATCCATGGCATTTTTTTGTTTTTGAAAGCCAAGTTGGTCGTCACTAATGATTTTGTTGACTTACAGAAAGTCTCTTAATTTAATTTGAATTCACACATGGTATAATGTGACTTACAAATAAGGTATTTTTAATTTCCCGGTGAAATATCTGAAAATTGTTGCTTGTTTTGATATCCTCAGGGAGATTTAAAATCTTGTTTTCGTCTAATAACGTAAGCTATATTTGATATTTCAAATTTAGACTTATTTTTAAAAATAACAGTTGCTGTTTCTAAAACCAACAATGATACAACAGTCATTATCTTAATATTTAAAAATAAAAGCCTTCATGTAGTTCTAGATTTGCTTTTAGTTATATATCTAGTAGTTCGTTTTTCTAGAATAAGCACGTTTTTAAAAGATTTTGGGAACAGACACTCCTAAAGGAAATGCTATATCTTAATCTACTTTCAAATTGAACATTGAAGGTTAAGTAATTGTTACCATACCATTTTTAATTTTATCTATATCTGTCTCTTGTCAAAGTATTGTGGTATCGTCAGCAAAAACAATGAATTTACCATTTATGTTTAAATTTATTAAATCGTTAATTTAAACTAAAAATATGACCAGTCCTAGTACTGATTCTTGAGGTACCCCTGGTTTTATATTTAATTTATTTGGATTTGATACTCTTACAGTTTGGGATCGATTATTTAAATATGTTTTAATCTAAGTGAAGTTCCAGTACTACCATATTTGTTTAACTTATCACAAAAAAGAGCAATGGAAATCTGTTTATCTTTTAAATTTGAGTATAACTATTAGTGTAATGTGAAAATAGCATCCATGGCATTTTTTTGTTTTTGAAAGCCAAATTGGTCGTCACTAATAATTTTGTTGACTTACAGAAAGTCTCTTAATTTAATTTGAACAATTTATAATTTTTGCTCTAATAGTGATTAAACTTGGGCCTCCTTTATGAATGGGATAACTATTGATGTATTAAGAGAAATATTTATGAGTTTTCTGAGCGTAATCAGGACATCAAATGAAATATTAACTATAACATTTAAAGAAATTTCATCAATAGCTAATTTATTTTTGATAGATCTTAATACTAATTGCTGTTCATAAATGTCCGTAATATAAAGTAAGAATTGCCGATCAATATTTTCTATCTATATTAAACATGATTTACACATAGATTCCACACCCGCACCTGTATTACGTAACTTAAAAAATTACATCGATTTTAACGGCATTGTGTAGGTTTTCCGAAAAATGTCATTTCAGAACTAGCTGTCATTTAGTTCACTTCTAGAAGCTGGGCTGCTTTCGTAAAGTGTTATAGAGTATAATTTGTACTCCCCTGTAACAATTTTAGCGTTTGTAATTGTTTGACGTACATGTTAAATGCGTTCGGAGTTAGAACAAAGTAATGGAATATCAGAAGTGCGTTTTTCTTCCCGTGCTTATTACGTTAAAAATAAGAGTTTTGTCACTTGTCATTTTCAGGGTTCATTGTTTGTTTACTTTATTTGCTTATCAAAAAGCGCTCAAAATTAGCAGAATTTATTTTTCACGATGAATGAGCTACCCCGTATCCATGGCGTTTCTTATGATAAATACAATGGTCCCAGAAAACGTGGTTAGAAATTATTCGGCTGTCATCAAGCTTCATACATGACTCTAATAATTTTTCCGTTCTAAAAATAAAGTAACCACAGTATTTCAAAGTGAAATTAAATTTCATCTGTAAATGTACATTCCACTACTGTGTGTGATGTTACATTGCCAAGTGATTTACAAACGTACCCTTAACATCAATCGGACCCTTTCCGACTCACAGATGGGCAGCATAGTCGGTAATAATTTTCTCTCATAGCTAGGTATCAATGATCAAATATCAACGAAGCTATAGGTATGCAGACAAATACACACAAACATCCAGATGCGATCTTAATACTCGACCAAAGAGTAGTTATAGTTTTTTATAGTTTTCAAAGTTGAGTAATTTATTTTAACTGCTTGTAGGACTCGTCAAAAGAGGATGAGATACCAAAAATCACCTATGTTACATAATAAAAGATTTAAAAATTCTAAATATAAGGATGTTATTACACAGATATTGTTTATCTAAATTTGGCAAACTTATTGTTATCGTATGGTTTTCAGCGCGAATATTTGGTTCGATCAGTTGTATCAGTATTTTAATAGTGCGTATACTTTCATTTGTCTGATTATTTTGTGCGAAAAAATGGCCCATGTTTACGAAAACAATGTACTAGTGGACATAACACTAACATACGGAGAGTCCGAACAAAATCCAGCCGCAGCATCCAGCTTGTTTGCGGAAATGTTTCCTTTAAGAAATCATCCGGCCAAACGGATGTTTGTAAATCTAGTTATTAGACTTCGTGACACAGGATATTTAAAAGAACAACGAGGAGGTCACGCTGGAAGACCTGCTCAACCTAAACTGTTACAAATTGAGGAAGACATTTTAGGAATGGTCGAAGACGACCCAATAATGAGTACTAGAGCCATAGCAGCTCAAGTTGAAGTTTCTCATAACTTGTTGTGGAATACATCACGACAAGAACAGTATTATCCTTGTCATTATCAACGGGTACAAGCGTTACAACCTGAAGATCACCCTATAAGAGTTGCATTTTGGCAGTCGGCAGAAATGAAGATTTTACGAAATAAAATTTACACGAAATGGAGTACACAATTTCCATAACATTCGTGTTTGGGCATTAGAAAATCCGCATGCTGTAAAAACTCATTTTCAACATAGATTTTCGTTCAATGTTTGAGATGGCGCGATAAATGGCATGCTTATTGGACCCTACTTTTTCCCACGTCGACTGACTAGTGAAATTTATTTAGATTTTCTTCAACACAATCTGCCACAACTATTAGATGTTCATCTAAATGTGATACAATATGATGTTCCTACGTGATGGGGCTCCACCACATTTTAGAGGAGAAGTTCATGAACATCTAAATAATGAGTTTCCGAATAGATGGATCTGGCGCAATGGACCCATTTGTTAGCCTGCTGGCACCCCGGATTTAACGCCTTGCGATTTTCTTCTGTGAGACTATTTGAAAGAGCTGGTCTATCATGAGGAGCAATAAATACTCTGGAAGAACTTCATCAGCGCACCAAAAATGCTAGCGGTTTGATTCGTGCACACTAGGATTTTATTTTCGAAGCTTGTAAAGAGTCGTGGATTCGTAGAGCAAGATTTTGCGTTAATCGAACAAATGGGGACAATTTTGAACAGTTTTTGTAAAAACGGTATCCGTTTAACATCATAATGATTTTTTTAAAATATTTTTTAACAATGTAAACTAACTCTCTTATTATGCAACTTTTACATAGGTGTTTTTTTGGTATATCAACTTCTGAAGAGTTCTACAAGCTGTTAAAATAAATGACTCAACTTTGAAAACATATAAAGAGAAGACAATTTGACAAGGCGAATAAAATTAGAGGGAGATAAGAGATGACTCCAAAAATATAAGGCGTTTAAACACGGCTGTTCTCATTTAGTCGGAAATAAATGCGTTGTTGCTAGATAGATCATCCTTTATGGATTAATTCACTGGCCGTCACATGTAGTGAACGCATCTTTTGTTCAAATTTGCTTCTGTTTGGGCATTTATTCATGTTGTTTATGTGGGACTGAGTAGAATCATTATCAAATGGGTGTGAACTGGATCGACACCTGGATACTGCATGTTGTATAGGCCTATTTAACCTACTTGATTCCATTGTTAATACATGTTCGTAGTAGTACTTCTCACGCCTACTGGCGGGGAAGTATCGTAATCGCGAAAAAATTCTAAAATGAGATATGTCCGCTAATCCTAAAATCGCCTATAACTCCATGAGTATCGCTCGGATTTTGACGAAATTTTTATACAATGTTACTACTATATCAAAGACGGCGGAGAAAAGGACCAAAAACAATAAAATTAAAATCGTTCTAACTTCGTTTTTTGACGTTTCAGACGATCCTGATCATTTTCGGGAATATTTTTATGAGTTAAAAATTGTTACGCTATTTTATTTATATTCCTCCAACCCCAGTAATTCTACGCTCATATTAGGCATATCTCACTCATCATCAAAATGCGTACGCTCAAAATAAAACCATTATTCACTCTCTAGGGTAAGTTGCTAGGCAACGTGGTGATGAGCTTCGCTATCCAGGCGGATTCTACCTCTTTCTAACATATGTCACACTTTTCTCGCGTACACATTGAACTCAAGCCGTCAGACAAATTTGGTTCTCAGTGTATATATATGAAAGTTGAATTACAATGTAAAGTAGCACATTTAAAATATTGAAGACCATTTTTTTTTTCTTCCAGACCTGGCAGTGTAGCATCGGGCAGCATGCCGACGTCGCCAGGTGGCGCTTCGAGTGGTCCAAAATGGACATGTCCGTTCTGCACGTTCCTGAATGACCAGAACGTGCAGAATTGCGAGATGTGCAATCTACCTAGATCCAGCAGGGCCCACTAGATGGCGCAAACGCCACAATAAACACACACTGCTCTACAAGAGAGGCTGGTACTCGCGTGTATTGTACGCCAGTCAGCAGGGAGATATTTGAAGTTAGGAGGTGATAAGATAATCTTCGAAAATTTGGTAGGTTGGGTGGAAAAAAAATGGTATGCTTAGTACTACAACTAAAATGAAACAAAGCTGTTTTATACACACTGTTTACAAAAAATGATTTTAGGATTACTTCTTTGGGCTATTCTGGCTAAAATTTATTGTCGGGTGAGTGAAAATTGTAAAAAATATGAAGAATTTGGAAATTTGAAAATCTTGAAAAATGAACATTTCGAAACTGTTCAACATACATGGGTTGATCAACCCTTGATTGGAACTCAATTCTGAAGGGTCGACTTTGAATGTGGACATGAGACTGTCTTTGCCGATTTTCGAAAGACCGCTTATATAGGATTAAAAAAATTACAGAAACAACCTTTTGTAGCAAAAAATGCTTATGAAGCCTCTTAATCTACAAGAAATGTTAAAAAACAGAATATCTTCCTTGCATTTGCTTCAGGTAAAGGAGAGGTTGCCTAGATAACTGGCGACCATGTCAAATACAGCGATGGTTGGTCAAGTGCACACTGTGAGGTTAGTAAAAAATTGAATTGCAAGCACACATATCTCTTTTGTTACTGAACTAAAACGTCTAATATTCCGCATAGCGACCTAAAAGTAAAATAGCTATGTGATGGCATACATGTTTTGAGAATATTATGTTTTCATAAAGTGGAAAGCACCTGCAAGAAATGTAATTTATAACTTTATGAAAACCTGCACGTCATTCCATAGCTATTTTTTATGGAATATTACACACTGTAGTATCTAAAGAGAAATGGATGCTCACAATTCCAATTTTTTCTAACTTCAAATCACATATTTGACCAATCATCAGTGTATTGGACGTGGTTTCACAAGTATCTACCACGGTAGAATCACAGCTGATTATTTAGTAATATCTCAAGATTCCCCAAACCGTCAAAAAATTATGAGAATAGCCCTAAGAATGACTCCCTGAAATCACTTGAATAAGATGTTTTTATGCAATAAATTTTTTGAGGTTATGCGAGTGTACGTGCTTCTATATACAATGAATTTGGAGTAGTTCACTAAGTGAAAGCATTCAAGTCTAGTGATTAAAAAATTGGTAATCCAGATTGATTTTATCCCTCCTTCAATTTTTTTTATGCTTAAAGCATTAGTGCTCCCTCTGACCGGTCTAACTCTCGAGACTTTTCGCTGATACATACTATCTTACTAATGTCACAAGCCAGCTATAGTGAAACTATACAAGGATCGTGGAAAATATTCGGTAGGTTAGTTTGTATATAGCGGATTTTTTTGCCGTCGCTGTATTTACAAGGAGAGCTTTGTATTTGTATTTTGTTCAACCTTTTTTTGGTTAACGTTCACATTGCTAAACAAAAAAAATGACGTCCTATGAATGGCAACATCGCAATGTCAAGAGGGTAAACTAAGACGACTTTAAACAGGAGGGTAAACTTATATTGGTGAAGCCAAATGGGTCGAGAGTAAAAGCGGGCTATCTACTAAAGCCATCGCATCAAAAATGTAATGTAGAGGATGAGTTGCAAGCAGAATACGTGCGCAGAAGCTCTACGCGCACTTTATTTCCGAGAGCCATGCCTTCCTTACAGCCTCCTGTTTCCAGTCTTCTTGACGTAAACAAAGAGATATCCACGATGTCAGTTTTAAGCGCAACGTTGCCAATTCACTTATTTCTGGAATATTGAAATGAAATTCTATAGATTTGTTTCAGCGAAGTTAAATGGATAGCCATCTGCCCGATAGTGTGAGATTCATGTTGGTATCGGCACTTGTGAATTAAAATTCATCCTGAAAGTTGCTTACTTCAGAAGTTACGCACGTGACATGTTCTCTGATTGGTTAGTTATTTTTTCTTGGTCGTTTTGTTGACAAAGCTTCCTTGTAGTATTATCTATAGACATTTTTAGAAATCTATTCGAAGTTTTTAATTAATTTATTTGTATTTTTGCGGATTCGTACTGAGTATAAAGGTTAAAAATATGAACATATTATAAAAAAGCAAACTTTTCTACCAGTTGGTAATCAAGTTCGATACATTTGTTATACAACAAACTAAATTTAGGATTTTTACAATAAATTCCCAGTAAGTGACACAGGAATTTGATAAAAGGTTTGAAATATTTGGTTGTTTTGTTGATTTCAAGTTTAATATAGCAGTTACTTGGACATATTTTTCTAAATTTTTGATGCATGACGGGGTTATCAAAAACAAATTTTTGTATGTTTTCAAAAAGGATTGTTTCCAAAATGAGTTTTAAATTAAACTAACGTGTAGGATTGGTTTTAAATATTGGTTCATATTGTTTAATTAAGATTAGTTTAGGTATCAGAATCGCTTAGAAGCTCGTATTAAGATTTTCTTTTTTTTAATGTAGCTGTTTTCTATCAAAAGTTTGTTTTTGGTAACATTTGTTGTATCATTGGTTTTCAAATCTTATTGTATATAATCTATATTACACTACTTCCTCTTTTTGTGTAGATATAAGTGGTGTCTTATTTAATGTATGGTGATGAATAAATTTATTGTAAAGACAGTTATAATTTTTTATTTGACCTCTGCAAAGATTATATGAATAGGGAACAGTAGAACTTCATAATAAGAATGTTTTACGTTTAAAACTCCAATTTTCATTCGCGTTCTATCGCCTATTTTGTAAAAGGTCACTACGTATAGTCCAGGAATTATCTTCTCAGCTGCTCGGAAAAATAGTCGGAATCAGTTTTTTGCATGTTTCCAGGCCAAAAATTGACTAAAAAAGTATTTACTTACAAAAAAACAAACATAATTCTTGGAAATTGTTCGAACTGCGGATTCGTCAAAAGGGTTCATTTTTGAATAAAATTATGCAAAAAACCAAATACAAATATTATTCTTAGGAAATGTGAAGACACTTCCTGGACTATTACCAGTTTGTTGAAGACCAATTCCTGGCCAAGAATATTGTTTCACATAATAACCCCACAACAGTCTTCTTTAAGGTCATATATACCATTTTTTCAACTGTCTGTTATGTTATCAATTTTTGGTCAAAACTGCATTTTTTCTTCAATCGTAACTTCTTAACAAAGTACTGCAAATTGAGTTTCAAGAAAAGCAAAGATTTTTTTGCAGAAAAAAAATAAAAAGTCACCCGCTCAAATCTATTATAAAAATGGGATAATCACATAGAATTTGCAAATGCATTTTTTGCCAAAAACAAAATTAATAAAATTGTTTTTCAGCCACCTCAATACATACCATGAAACAATCAGACAGAAATTATTAAAAATACTCCTCCAGTCAAGCTGTTGGAAAAAAAGGATGTCCGACGTTAACACAAAAACTGAATTGACCCTAAAATCTCAGAATTAGAACGATGAGAGTTTCTAACTAGATCAAGTGTATTAATAATAAAAGTGTCATTAAAATATGCATGTTTATTTTTGCCCTATATTAATCACAGATCATAATTATGTTCCATTTATTAATTCCAACAAAACCAAAGTACAAATATCAAATTTGTAGCATTTTGTGATTATGTAAACCATGAAGTATAGAGATTGCGCATTTAAAATAAAAAATAACGTGTTGATTAGAATAAAGCCAAGAGTTATTCCAATATCATATACAGTAGAGAAGGTGTGAATAATAAATATTTTAATAACATTTTTTTTTTAACCACAACCACCTCCACTGCAAGCACTTCTCCTTGGTGGTCTGTAAGATGAGACACTGCCACTCCCCATCAATGGATTATATTCTGGAAAATAATTCACAATTTAAAAGTTGTTGACAATCTCAACCTTTTGTATGGCCATTTAAAAAAGAAATGCTCTATACAAAAGATTGTCTAATATAAAGTTTTACATGCAATATCTTATTTATATACAGGGTATATCAGAACAGTACTATCGAATGAAGCTGTATTTTTCCAAATGGAACACATTGTATATTTTTAGTGAAAATAATAGTCACCTTTTTCTGATTGCAAATATTATGGTTAACTATATTTATTTTCATCAGTTTGGTCAAAAACTTGAATTTGTGTCATTAATTGATGTATATACAAGTTTAAACCAGCTTGCAATCTGGTATAGGAATGGGTACATAAATATAATTGATTGACATATATAATTTAAGTTTTTGACTAAAGTAATGCAAATAAGCATAATAAACCATACATATTTAGAATCAGAAAAAAGTGACTTTTATTTTCACTAAAAATATACAGGGTGTTCCATTTAAAAAAACCAAACTTTATTCCATAGCACTTTTCTGAGATATATAAAAAATTCATTGCTTGAAATGCTTCACATTATACCCCACACCCTTTGTATATTACTTTTCTTTCACTAAAAATATTCAGGGCATTCTATTTTGAAAAAATTCGGTTTCCTGAAATGTCCTGTATATAAAAAAGATATTGTTCATAAAACCTTATATTAGATCCTACAACTTTTGTATAAAACTTTTTTTAAATGGCTATGCAAAAAAAAGTAAGAAGAGGGTATATTTATAGTAGGACAACCTGTGCCTACATATCTAAAAAATAGAGAAATAGACTTCTTACTAATGTAACATAAGCCTCTTTCCAAAAGATGCAAACAAAAATTCTCAAAATATACTCAAAAATAATAGTGCACTCAAGAAACAAGCAAAAACTTGAACTTCAACTATATCTTAGACCATAAATACTCAAACCTATTTCATCTAGTGGCCCTCAATGTCTTAGTGTAGGTACATATATAAGTTTCAATTTTAATTCTAAGTATTCATAATTAGCCATTGGATTACCCCCCTAATCATTCCACCACCCCTAAATCTCCACAAAGCTCTCTATGTGTATGTCCCCAGTGCCCACAAGGGGGCATTACCATCAACTTTCAGACTGCATTAGACACATACTCAAAGTGTTGTTATTTCTTAAGAATCTTCAAATGATACAGTAGATGCTGATGATAAAATTGCTAATACATAAGATGTCTATAGTAAAAGATACTGAGAAAAAGTCACAAGTCGATGCTTGTTAATCTTGAAGTTCGTCATCTTTTTTAATGAATTTACCTGGCCTGAAAGACTTCTTATCAGATCCTAGCTTCTTGCCTCCCTCATTCCCAAGTTTTTCTAGTTGGGCCTCTTTTTTCTTTGCTTCTCTCTATAACATTTCATAGAAAAATACTCAAGTAATAGAACATTAATAATAGAATAGAATAGAACAGCAGATTATATCAATGAATTGTGTAAGTCTTTCACAACCTTCACTTGAAGTACCAAATGTTTTTGAGCTACTAGGCCCTTGTCTTCTATTTTGAATGCTTGGTGTTTTGCCAACTGGTTGTTTTGGTGAAAGGTCAAGGGTCCAAAATAGAAGACTACAGCCTAAATAGCCCAAAAACATTTGATACTTCAGATTCTATTATATGATTCATCACATTATGACAAATGACAAAGAATTTGTAATTGAACAGTTAAAAACAGTTAATGAGAGGCAAATTATATGAAAATATTACCTCTTCCATCTTCTTTTTGTACTCTTCTGCTTCTCTCTTATATTTCTCTTGCAATTCATTGGTTCTTCTTTCTTGTGCTGTTAATCTTGATACAAGTACATCAGGATCTGAAGATAATATTCATAACATCACAAAAGTAAAGTAAAATAAATTTACACTACACATGTATGATATACGATAATAATAAGGATAAGGTACAGTGAAAAAAGTAGTATATGTATCCACTTCACTAGGAAATAGAGGTGATAGTGTAACATACCTTTATGATACTTTGCTGAATATGCTTCCTCCTCCTTTTTCTGCATAAATTTATCTATATGAGGCTTCAAGTAGTTTTGGTAAACATATGCGCATCCAATAGTTGTGAAAAGAATGTACCATCCATAATTTTCGAAGATTTGAATAACTACAAATTGAAGAATTTTTTATATGAAATAAATACCAGTCATCCAAAATGAAACAAGGTATTTGGAAAGCTACCACTTTACAACCATTAACAATTTATGACATCATACTCTTCAGTTCAAAATTATAATTCTTTTTGTACAATTTTAACAGGTCTACTAGGATCTAGATTGTAAAATCCAGTTGATTTTAATAATCGATTGTTTTATTATTTTATGATACATTTAAAGTGAATATTGTTATAAGCATATTACCTGGGGATACAATATTGGAGCTGTGGTGTATCTCCTGTTCTTCAAGCTCCATCGCACCAATTTTCAAATTCTTTTGAAGGTCCAATTATAATATCTTCTTTTAATAAATTTAATGGCTCTAATCTCTAATCAAATTAAAAATTTTATAATCATTCAACCTCTGCATTCAACTGATGACTTCTGTCATTTGCTTATTTGTCAACACGTCACAGTCATAAGCTCAAAAAGTGTCAAGTTACAATGGTTGGTTCCAATATGCAAACGCGCCAATATTGTGTAAAATTTGTATAGGGTGATTCCATCAACATAAATGAGCGATGCAAGGTGCCTAACTTTGACCATGCGACGAAAGTGTCATTTTTTATTATTTTGGCAAACAGGCTATTACACAGGGTGAGTCTGACAGTCTGCTGTCAAAGTTAAAGTCTTATTTTCGAGAGAATAAATCAAAAAATATAAAAAAAACCGAGGATAACTTTCATGTATGAGAACGAGAGTGGACGTAGCTCAAGTTGCGGAATTAAATAAGAAAACTGAAGAAGCAATGACGCAAATCGTAAAATTAACCAATACAGTGGAGACACTGCGGGAACATCTATCTTCACTCATCAATGATCAGAGGAAAGACTACAAAAGAAAGATAGAGTCGGTCATGGAATTTTTTTCTTATGATATTTCTGACGATGGACGGACTTCTAATACCAAAACGCTTCAGAATAGTAGCGGGGGTGAAGATGTTTCTGAGGTTCGTCCTGATAAAAGATCGAGAAAAAATAAAAGTAGAAGAATGGCAGCGCAACCTTCTACCCTTTCTATAGTCAACGCCAAACAAAGTGGCGTGCACGTCATCACGATAAAAATTCCCCGACCTAATGCCTAGGTTTCTATCACAAACAAATGCTCTATTGCAGTTTCATATTAATGTGATATATAAATTGTAAAATGGTCATTACTCTCTTATTATGGTTAATAGTCATATAAACATTGTTATTAAAATATCACATAAGTTGCTTTCTGATAAATTTAGACGCATTATGCGAAATAAAATGTTTTGCAAACGCTCCAATCACTTATCGACATGTAAACGCACTAAACCGATTTCGCAGCGTTGACACATTGTCACCTTGAAACTTATTTAAACTGGGAACTGACATTTGTATTAATTTTGACACTGAATCAATTTGTGGCATTTCAAATCTTTATAAATGCTTTGGCCCCGCATACTGTAAATCAACAACTGTTTGTTTTAAAACAAAATTATTCATTTTACGAGTAGATAAAGGCAATTTTGGTATATAAAGATGCCCAAACAGTTAAATAGTCGGTGTAAGGAACTCGTGGCCTCGTTAATGCACTACTTTGAGCAAGAAAGGGACAACAACGGGCCTTTGTTGCCTTTAAATGCTGTTCAAGAGGTAGGTTACTAATAATTATATGTAATGTATATTAATAATAGTGAAATTTTATTTCATTTTTTGTAGCGTGTTGCTGCTGCTTTAAAAATTAGTTTAAGGACAGTTAGTCGTATTTCCGAGGGTGTGAAAAGTGATGCAAATTTAGAATCGCCCAAGAAAAAGCGGAGTTATATTAAACGTGTAACCAACACAGCGACATTGGATACAAGTGCCATTCGAGAAGTGATCTATAATATGTATCACAAAAGTAAGATCTTATTATAATAACTTATCAGAAATTTGCATTAATTTGTTAACTAAATTATAATGTCATATTACACATGGTTTCAGAAGAACAAGTTACGATACAGACTTTATGGTCTCGATTAAGAGATAGGGCATTATTTGATGGTAGTGCCACGTCTTTAAGGCGGTTGCTTAGAGATCTTGGATTTAAGTGGCTTAAGGACAATCCGCGACGAGGGCTCATGGAACTACCAAGTATAGCTTTGAAAAGGGTGGAATTTCTAAGGCAATACAATCAAGCCAAGGTTGAGGCCTTATACCAGTTTGTCTTCCTCGATGAAACTTGGATATTTCAAAATGGGACCATAGGTCGCTCTTGGCAAAATGGAAACCAAAAAAGCGTGAAAGCTATTAAAACAGATGGTAAAAGGTATGTACTTTTACACAATTTGCACTATAAAATTTAAAACTAATATATTTTAGATACATTATATTACATGCTGGAAATGAAAATGGGTTTATTGAGGGTAGTGAAGCGATATTTTCTTCGAAAACAAAATTGAGCGATTACCATGGAGAGATGAACCAGGACAATTTTTTGAAATGGTTTCAACATCAGTTATTAGAAAAATTGGAGAGTCCATCTATGATTATACTGGATAACGCCCCTTATCACAGCATGATATTGAACAAAGTGCCCAACAATGCATGGACAAAAAAAAAATATCCAAGACTGGTTGACAAATCAAAACATACCATTTTTAAACACAATGTTTAAAACAGAGCTATTGAGTATTGTTGCTCGGTACATAATGCTTCTTAATTATATATATTTTGGTTGACAGTTTATATTTCTTTTGTTTATTCCTATTCTTAAAATAACTGCTTTTTTAGAAACAAACCACCTAAAATATACGTGATTGATGAATTGGCGGAACAACATGGGCACAAAGTTCTTCGTCTGCCTCCTTACCATTGTATATTTAACCCTATTGAGTTAATTTGGGGCATAACAGACATATTGGTAGAGATGGTAACAGTGAAAAAGACTGTTTGGATATGTGGAACGAGGCTCTACAAACGGTTACCCCAGACATGTGGAAAAATAGTGTTCGACATACTGAGCAAGAAATTTTTAAATGGTATGAAAGAGAACGAATTTTTGATCGACCAGACATCGAACCTTTAATAATCAACTTTGAGAGTGATGAAGATTCAGATTCAGACAGCGCTGAAGAAAGAAAGTCCGACTAACTTTATTGTACAGAAAAAGCTTACACCAGTAGCTTACCTAATTTTAGAATGCATTTTTCTGTATGAATTCTGTAAAATAAATACCATGCATAAAATTTGGAGGACCCCATTTGGATTTTTATTCAGTACCTTTAAGCTATCAATTAAATATGGTAGTTTCATAGTGTCATCTGATCAATAATTGTCATACTTAATGATTATGCAAGTACAGATCTATAATTTTATTATACTATTATTTTTGTTCTCATTTGAGGTTAATATTGCTTATAAACCTAGATATGTAAATAATAAATTTTATTATTTTACAAAAAGTTTGGCAACAATGTAAATTTTTCAACACACCCACCTTGATGACGTGCACGCCACTTTGTTTGGCGTTGACTATACCTCTATCAATCCTTCAAATTCTCACCTTTTTACTAGTTTGAACCAGCCATTGACGTATTTAATTCAAATCAATTTAAGCATGTTACCCTTGTTATTTTGCGTGATCCTCTAAAATGGGCTGATGCTCTCAACCTATTTAAAAATTCTAGTGTCGAATTCCAACGTGCTGACAATATCGATAGCGGAATGAAGTGTTCCAAAAACTGTGGATGATTACCGAAAGTTCATCCACATTTTCAATGATCATAATTTTATACATCATACTTTTACTTTGCCGGAACAAAGAAATATCCGTGCTATCATACGCGTTGTACCAATTCACTTTTTGGATGACGAAATTAAACTAGAAATAGGAAGCCTTTGGTACTTCCCTCTACACTTAGTCAGATTACAAAAGAAAGGTAGTCTGCCTATGCCGCTGGTATGCGTGGTACTGCCGAAATCAGAGTCCAACGAACAAATTTCCAACGAATCAATTCTCTTTGGTCTATCAATTGCCGTTGAAACTCCGAGAAAAATAGTGGTACGATTGGACAGTGCCATATCACCAGTGATATCAGAGCGATTACAAGATTTTCTTTCGGAAAAACAGGTACTTGACCAATAATTTGAGTTCCGCAAAGAGCACAGTACAGAGCTTTAGACAGTAAGGTTGATAGAAATGATATCTAGTGGATTTGTCAATAGTCAAAACTGAGGTGTTGTGCTGCTGGATATTGCCACAGCATTCGACAAGGTCTGGCATCATGGTTTAATTTATAAGTTGATTGAATTTCATTGTCCATTTTGATCAGCGAAACTGCTGTAGTCTTTTCTTGCGGACAGGGAATTCGGAAAATACAATCGTCACTTATCTCTCTAAGAAACATCCAAGCAGGTGTTCCACAAGGCTCTGCTTTGGCTCCGACACTATACATTATATACACCGCGGATATTCCTCACATACCTCACACGGACATACTACTGTATGCTGATGACACAGCACTGACAACTACGAGTAGGCTTGTCTCTAATCAAGAGATTGCAGGCAGACTGCAAGAGGCTGTGTCCCAGCTGCACGATTGGTGACTCCGTTGGATAATTAGATTGAGTGCTGAGAAAACACATGCAAATACCTTAAGAAGAGATGCGGTCACATATGATCCAGCACCGGTTCACATTCACAAAAGGCCTAGATTAGCACTTCTTTTAAAATCTGACAGGGGCGGCTGGCCCTTAAGTTCTGCAGAGCTGCAGAACTGCCAAAACTTTTGTCTTAATAGAAAAAAGCAGTAGTAATTTGATCATTATTTATTTTCTATGTTATCAAACAAATAGAAACAATACCGACCTGCCCCCGCAAGACACGGCGTCGAGTCTATTCTGTACTGAGAAAGCATTATAATCGACCAATTGTGTACTTGTCATTTTCGTCGCGATCACAGCGTAACATTATTCATGGGCCAGTTGAAAAGGGTCTGTGCTGCAAGTTATACAGATCCGTACAGATTTAATGCGAAGTTCGATATCTAATTGGTCGGTCGGTACTCGGTCCTCGGCGGTATTGGCATATTGGTCTTGTCGCGTGACGTGGCTTAAAATTTGAATGCGAAACATTTTTTATTTAGGTATTTTGGGTCTTACGTTGAGTGACTAGTGACTCACTGACTGACTGTGGCTGTGTAGAAGGGTAGTGCAAGACAATGGATGTAGTTTACAGACTTCAGCGTGAAACGATTCTGGAAATACACATTTGAAGAAAAAATTGAGCTGAAGGTGGTAGGTCGACCGCTGCCGGACATATTTATAGAAACACAGGTTTGTGGGTTCAACTTGCATACTTTTCGGCGGTGACCAAGCTTGGACGGAAGTAGGTGTTACAGATTTAGTGCACCTGAGTGAAAAAATTAAGAAGCATAAAAACTCTAAAACACATCATAATTCGATGGAATTGGCTTTAT